ATTAGACGCGAGTGATCATGCTCTTCTGAAGTTTACTATACAGCGGAAAGGAGCAGCCAAGCATACTAGGACTCAATTTCTTGACTTTAAGAAAGCCGACTTCATAAAACTTAGGGAAGTGCTGGGTGAGATCCCATGGACAGTAATACTAAAAGGAAAGGGAGTTCATGATGGCTGGGAGTTTGTTAAGAGGGAGATAGTAAAAGCACAACTTCAGGCAATACCAATGAGACGGAAACATGGAAGGTGCCTAAAGAAGCCAGGGTGGCTATCTAAAGAACTTTTAACTGAGTTAAGATTAAATAGGATGTGTACATAAACTGGAAAAGGGGGGGAAACCACCAAAGAGGAATTCAAACAAATAGCCAGCACGTGTAGACACAAAGTCAGAAAAGCTAAAGCACAGAATGAACTCAGGCTTGCTAGAGAGGTTAAAAGCAACAAAAAAGGCTTTTATGGGTATGTTCGTAGCAAAAGGAAGAACAAAGAAACAGTGGGGTCACTCAGAGGAGAAGATGGTGAAATGCAGACAGGGGACACAGAAAGGGCTGAACTCCTCAATGCCTTCTTTGCCTCAGTCTTCTCCGATAAAGAAAACAATGCCTGACCTGAAGAATTTGGAGCAAATGATTCAGCAAAGGAAACACAGCCCAGAATAACTAAGGAGATAGTACAAGAATACTTGGCTAGTCTAGATGTATTCAAGTCTCCAGGGCCAGATGAACTGCATCCAAGAGTATTAAAAGAACTGGCAGATGTGATCTCAGAACCACTGGCAGTCATCTTTGAGAATTCCTGGAGAGCAGGCGAAGTCCCGGCAGACTGGAGGAGGGCAAATGTTGTCCCTATTTTCAAAAAGGGGAAAGAGAGGACCCAAATAATTACCGCCCAGTCAGTCTGACATCAATACCAGGGAAGATTCTGGAGCAGATCATTAAGCAAACAGTCTGTGAGCACCTAGAAAGGAATGCTGTGATCACCAATAGTCAGCATGGATTTCTGAAAAATAAGTCATGTCAGACTAACCTGATCTCGTTTTTTTGACAGAATTACAAGCCTGGTAGATGAAGGGAACGCAGTGGATGTAGCCTACCTTGATTTCAACAAGGCATTTGACAAGGTGCCCCATGATATTCTTGTAGAGAAGCTGGTAAAATGCGGTCTTGACTATGCTACCACTCAGTGGATTTGTAACTGGCTGACTGACCAAACCCAAAGGGTGCTCATCAATGGTTCCTCTTCATCCTGGAGAAGAGTGACTAGTGGGGTGCCACAGGGTTCTGTCTTGGGCCCGGTCTTATTCAACATCTTTATCAACGACTTGGATGATGGACACAAGGGCATCCTGATCAAATTTGCAGATGACACCAAACTGGGAGGGGTGGCTAACACCCCAGAGGACAGGATCACACTTCAAAACGACCTTGACAGATTAGAGAACTGGGCCAAAACAAACAAGATGAATTTTAACAGGAGAAATGTAAAGTATTGCTCTTGGGCAAATATATGAGAGGCACAAATACAAGATGGGTGACACCTGGCTTGAGAGCTGTACATGTGAAAAGGATCTAGGAGTCTTGGTTGACCACAAACTTGACATGAGCCAACAGTGTGACACGGCAGCTAAAAAAGCCAATGCAATTCTGGGCTGCATCAATAGGAGTATAGCATCTAGATCAAGGGAAGTAATAGTGCCACTGTATTCTGCTCTGGTCAGACCTCACCTGGAGTACTGTGTCCAGTTCTGGGCACCACAGTTCAAGAAGGACACTGACAAACTGGAACGTGTCCAGAGGAGGGCAACCAAAATGGTCAAAGGCCTGGAAACGATGCCTTAGAATCATAGAATCATAGAGTTGGAAGAGACCACAAGGGCCATCGAGTCCAACCCCCTGCCAAGCAGGAAACACCATCAGAGCACTCCTGACATATGGCTGTCAAGCCTCTGCTTAAAGACCTCCAAAGAAGGAGACTCCACCACACTCCTTGGCAGCAAATTCCACTGTCAAACAGCTCTTACTGTCAGGAAGTTCTTCCTAATGTTTAGGTGGAATCTTCTTTCTTGTAGTTTGGATCCATTGCTCCGTGTCCGCTTCTTTGGAGCAGCAGAAAACAACCTTTCTCCCTCCTCTATGTGACATCCTTTGATATATTTGAACATGGCTATCATATCACCCCTTAAACTCCTCTTCTCCAGGCTAAACATGCCCAGCTCCCTTAGCCGTTCCTCATAAGGCATCGTTTCCAGGCCTTTGACCATTTTGGTTGCCCTCCTCTGGACACGTTCCAGTTTGTCAGTGTCCTTCTTGAACTGCGGTGCCCAGAACTGGACACAGTACTCCAGGTGAGGTCTGACCTTATGAGGAACGGCTAAGGGAGCTGGGCATGTTTAGCCTGGAGAAGAGGAGGTTAAGGGGTGATATGATAGCCATGTTCAAATATATAAAAGGATGTCACATAGAGGAGGGAGAAAGGTTGTTTTCTGCTGCTCCAGAGAAGCGGACACGGAGCAATGGATCCAAACTACAAGAAAGAAGATTCCACCTAAACATTAGGAAGAACTTCCTGACAGTAAGAGCTGTTTGACAGTGGAATTTGCTGCCAAGGAGTGTGGTGGAGTCTCCTTCTTTGGAGGTCTTTAAGCAGAGGCTTGACAACCATATGTCAGGAGTGCTCTGATGGTGTTTCCTGCTTGGCAGGGGGTTGGACTCGATGGCCCTTGTGGTCTCTTCCAACTCTATGATTCTATGACCTTGGTTGCCCCACTATGCACATGTTCCAGCGTGTCAACATCCTTCTTAAATCATGCTAGATTTTCCTCCAGCCTGGTGTTGTTGATGATGAAGGTCATGCCAGTCCAAAATAAAACATCACTCTTCCATGATTTGATCATAGTTCAGGGGACCAATCTGGAATGCATCAGCAAGACCGGGGGGGGGGATGAGTTGGAGCAGTGGCCTAACACAGGCCACTGGCCTAACACAGATTTGTCCATCGAGATACTTGAACACCATCACACCTTGGAGAGCCAAACCCAAAATTTGAAAAATGAAACTAAAGCATCCAGGCAAAAGAACCTAACAAAAACACCATACTTCTTTCTTTCTTCCTTCATTTACATACCTTACAATCAAATAGGCATATTACAAAGAAACATGAAGCCTTGGATTGTTTGAAGACCATGTGATACTCCTGGACTTTGAACTTTTAATTACTAGATGAAGCCACGTACAAATCCACTGAAGCGCATTTGAATACTATGACATTTCACTACTTAAATTTCAGAACTAAAAGGAGGCCTTTTTCACAGAATGTGTTACCAGAAGCAACAAAACCAGTTTTCTGCCCCCAACATCTCTTTCTATCTCTGTGTGTATCAGTGCCTTATTTAGTGACAATAAATAGTCTCTCATATAACTAATAGAAGAATGGTGTTACTTTCACGCTTCCAGGGACCAAAATTATACATCACATGAACTTTCACCTAGTTCTATATAAATCCCTAATCTAATTATGTTCTTGCACTGAAAAACAGATTTTCATAAGCCACATTACCCGAGTACAACAGTACACCTTCTTCCATGACAATGACAAAGATTTTTATTGTTGTTAAAATAGCTGTCTCTCTTAGTCTAGTGCTCTTCTTCCAACAGTAGTCAAACAGATGTCCATGAGAAATTCATAATCAATCCATATTTGAAGTGTCAAATGAGGACATTAAAATGAAGGACTTATTGACTGTAATGGCAGCAGGGCTATATGCTGCTTTAAAATAGGAACTGCAGAATTTGGATATTTAACTTTGGTATAAAAATGCCTGGCATATAACCATAGTGGAAAAGCTTAACACATAAAATAGGAATATTAAAAGGAACTCAAAAACCCACAAGTGTTTTATGACATATTGTGGAAATTCATGGTATATAACAAGGGCTGAAAAACACTCAGTCACCTGCATCTTCAAAAATATTATCTTCATGATATTTTGTATCTTAATTGTACTGCTGACCATCTGTACAGTCAAACTGGAGGACTATTGGATACTCCTAGGCTGTACCTATGTGATGGATTTAATTAAATGCTGGGGGGGGGGGGAGAATAATGTCACAATTATCACTTTAATACCAGGAATTGGTTGTAAGTGGGTGGGGGAGATGTTTATTGGTTGCAGTTTTGTGTTGTATATTTTAAAACTAATTTAAAAAATAAAAATATCATAATCAGAGCAGTCATATTTTGTTGTATACTCCCATCAGCTGCTAGTCAGAGATACTTTTGATAATCAAAGCATTTAAACAGCATGTAGTGAAATGAAAATTAAGAATACTATATAAAAGTTCTGGATTATTGACTTTGGTGACTTTAGTATTTCCTCATGAAAATAATCCAGGTCAAGTATACATCAAATGTTTATATTGGTGCAAATGAAACAAACCTGCTTTTTGCTTTAGAACTGTTTAAAATAAAAAGGCTGAAGCCCTCGAAATTCATGAACAATCGGTTGTGTTTCATTGTGCTCCACACTTTTCTTGCTAGCTTTTTTCCTTTGATACATACAGTTCCTTGTTCTGGGAGTAGAGTATGTGGCAAGAGAAAAACAGATTCTTTCACTTCTACTCTTGGATTCTGCTCCCCTGCAGACTTCATGCTTAAAAGCTGGCAGGGGATTTGATGAGAATGCTTAATTCTGAGGGGCTGGAGCATAGGATCCTTGTCAGTTTCAACTCCTGCTGGCTTGCAAGGATGGAACTGGCAGAGGAGCAAAGGGTTCGCACAGCAGGCCTGATACAAAACTTAGGTCACATGCACAATGAAATGCAACACCCCAGATGCGTCTCTCTTTAGCTTCCCATTCAACAGTTAACATACTGCATACCTAAGAGGCAACCTGTTACGTTGCACCAGAAGATAAAACACACACATGTCAAATTTAAGGTCTTTTAAAATATGGGCAAATAAAGCACACACAGTTCTCATGCCCAAGTGTATAAAACAGAGTACTGTATCTTTATTATACTGCCATCCTGTGGCTGCTTTGGCTCATATACTAAGCCTCGTCTCCTTGTTACACTTCTGTTTCTGCCATTTTTCTCCAGCTTGTTCAGATGCTCTTCAATTACCAACTTTGAATAAATCTTTTACATTGTCATTCTTCCTGCATTATTAAAAGAATTTCCTTTAAGTAAAAGAAAGCAAGTACACACACCCATTTGCTACATACACTGTTCATTGCTTCTTTGGAAGTGACGGGAAAAGTGCATTCTTCCCTTGCAAAACCTGGCTACTCTGGTGTAGCACAGTGGCAACAAAGTCACTGTCATGAACTCACTAGGTGGTTTCAGGCAAGCCACTCTCTTGTTCTTCCCTCTGCAATGTGGAAGAATAAAGACAACTTACAGCAGTGCTACTCAAAGTAGTGGTCCACTGACAAGTGCAGTCCATAGGCCATTGGCTTCTGGTCCACACCAACTTCACTGCAGCCCATGTTGGGTGTGGCACTTCAAGGACAAAGTATGGCACCAGTCCCTGGCACATAGGTGGGGTGGGGAATTGCTGGTCCACCACAGAGTTTGAGAAGTATTGCTGTTCAGGCTGTTGCGAGGATTACAAACGCTGTAGGACATGAACATGAAGTTGAGCTTATCAGAGATTGCAGGGCAGCAGTTGAAGAAGGAGCAAAAAGGGTTTTCTTGTGTGTGTGTGTTTCTTTGTGGCTGATTGGCTGCTCTCCCTGTGCAAAGGTCAGAGGGGGCAGGGTTTCTGTTGAGGCAGGTGATTAGCTGTGGGAGGAGCTTATCAGAGCTTGCAGGGCAGCAGTTGAAGAAGGAGCAAAAGGGTTTTCTTGTGTGTGTGTGTTTCTTTGTGGCTGATTGGCTGCTCTCCCTGTGCAAAGGTCAGAGGGGCAGGGTTTCTGTTGAGGCAGGTGATTAGCTGTGGGAGGAGCTTATCAGAGATTGCAGGGCAGCAGTTGAAGAAGGAGCAAAAGGGTTTTCTTGTGTGTGTGTGTTTCTTTGTGGCTGATTGGCTGCTCTCCTGTGCAAAGGTCAGAGGGGCAGGGTTTCTGTTTAGGGAGGTGTTGAGCTGTGGGAGGAGCTTATCAGAGATTGCAGGGCAGCGGCTGAAGGAGGAGCAAAAGGGTTTTCTTGTGTGTGTGTGTTTCTTTGTGGCTGATTGGCTGCTCTCCCTGTGTAAAGGTCAGAGGGGCAGGGTTTCTGTTGAGGCAGGTGATTAGCTGTGGGAGGAGCTTATCAGAGCTTGCAGGGCAGCAGTTGAAGAAGGAGCAAAAAGGGTTTTCTTGTGTGTGTGTGTTTCTTTGTGGCTGATTGGCTGCTCTCCCTGTGCAAAGGTCAGAGGGGCAGGGTTTCTGTTGAGGCAGGTGATTAGCTGTGGGAGGAGCTTATCAGAGATTGCAGGGCAGCAGTTGAAGAAGGAGCAAAAAGGGTTTTCTTGTGTGTGTGTGTTTCTTTGTGGCTGATTGGCTGCTCTCCCTGTGCAAAGGTCAGAGGGGGCAGGGTTTCTGTTGAGGCAGGTGATTAGCTGTGGGAGGAGCTTATCAGAGCTTGCAGGGCAGCAGTTGAAGAAGGAGCAAAAAGGGTTTTCTTGTGTGTGTGTGTTTCTTTGTGGCTGATTGGCTGCTCTCCCTGTGCAAAGGTCAGAGGGGGCAGGGTTTCTGTTGAGGCAGGTGATTAGCTGTGGGAGGAGCTTATCAGAGATTGCAGGGCAGCAGTTGAAGAAGGAGCAAAAGGGTTTTCTTGTGTGTGTGTGTTTCTTTGTGGCTGATTGGCTGCTCTCCCTGTGCAAAGGTCAGAGGGGGCAGGGTTTCTGTTGAGGCAGGTGATTAGCTGTGGGAGGAGCTTATCAGAGATTGCAGGGCAGCAGTTGAAGAAGGAGCAAAAGGGTTTTCTTGTGTGTGTGTGTTTCTTTGTGGCTGATTGGCTGCTCTCCCTGTGCAAAGGTCAGAAGGGGCAGGGTTTCTGTTGAGGCAGGTGATTAGCTGTGGGAGGAGCTTATCAGAGCTTGCAGGGCAGCAGTTGAAGAAGGAGCAAAAAGGGTTTTCTTGTGTGTGTGTGTTTCTTTGTGGCTGATTGGCTGCTCTCCCTGTGCAAAGGTCAGAGGGGGCAGGGTTTCTGTTGAGGCAGGTGATTAGCTGTGGGAGGAGCTTATCAGAGCTTGCAGGGCAGCAGTTGAAGAAGGAGCAAAAGGGTTTTCTTGTGTGTGTGTGTTTCTTTGTGGCTGATTGGCTGCTCTCCCTGTGCAAAGGTCAGAGGGGGCAGGGTTTCTGTTGAGGCAGGTGATTAGCTGTGGGAGGAGCTTATCAGAGATTGCAGGGCAGCAGTTGAAGAAGGAGCAAAAAGGGTTTTCTTGTGTGTGTGTGTTTCTTTGTGGCTGATTGGCTGCTCTCCCTGTGCAAAGGTCAGAGGGGGCAGGGTTTCTGTTGAGGCAGGTGATTAGCTGTGGGAGGAGCTTATCAGAGATTGCAGGGCAGCGGCGCGCGCCTAGCGGCGCGCGCAGTTTGATCCATCTTTTAGATTTAGGGGAGCTAGTCTCAAACGTTTGTTGGGGAAGACCTAGGTTTTTTGGGGGGGAGTTATTTGTCCTGTCTTCACGCTTTTTATGATGGAGGACCACTGTAGCCACCCCCAACGACACGTTCTCAAGATGGAGGGGGAGGGAACAGCTGCAGTCGCCTGCGGTTCCTGCGCAATGCTTGCCATCTTGCCAAAGGTTGCAGGCAGCTTTACCTGCAGCAATTGCATGTTGATTGCCCTCTTAAAAGACAAAGTCCAGCAACTGGAGGAACGTGTAGCTACGCTCCAAAGAATTAGAGAGCTGGAGCTCTTCTTGGAAGCAACAGAGCACACCGTCTCCACCAAGGAGGAGACAGGGGACTCCCCTGAGAAGGACGCTAGTTCACCAACACAGGAGCCAGATATATGGAGAAACGTGACTCAAAGAAGTAGGAGGCCCAGGGTTCGCTCTGATTGTTTAGAAATACACAATCGCTTTGAGGTCCTCTCCCCTAGCATGGAAGACGAAGAGCAGACTCCATTTGAGGATCTCTCCCTCATTACAGTCGATCAGGTATATGAAGACGAGCAGCAAAGTCAGTCCTCAGGGAATGTGCAGGCGACCTTGGAGCGGACAGCTCACGGAAGAACCCCGGCCAAACCTAAGAGGAGGCGTGTAGTGGTGATAGGGGATTCCCTACTGAGGGGAACAGAAGCAGTGATCTGTGGGCCTGACAAGATGTCTCGGGAAGTGTGCTGTCTCCCGGGGCTAAGATCCAAGATGTAACTGAACGACTGCAAGGAATCATAAAACCCACTGACAAATACCCCTTCCTCTTGGTTCATGTGGGAACCAATGACACTGCAAGCAATAGCCTCCAGAAGATCAAAAGAGACTACGAGGCTCTGGGCAGGAAATTGAAGCAATTAAATGCACAAATTGTCATCTCATCTGTCCTCCCAGTTGAACGACGTGGCCCAGGGAGAGAGGGGAAAATAGTGGAAGTGAACAGCTGGCTTCGCAAATGGTGTAAACAGGAACGGTTTGGATTCTTAGATCACGGACTGCAGTTTCTTGAAGATGGACTTCTGGCAAGCGATGGGCTGCACCTCACAACGGTTGGGAGAAATGTTTTTGCCAAAAATCTCAGAAACCTCATCAGGAGGGCTTTAAACTGACTAATGTGGGGGAGGGAGATAGTGCTCCTGAAGGTAGGAGTCTATCAATTGATGAAGATGATCATCCAAATGTCATAGACCAAATGGAGCATACAGCACGCAGACCTAGTGGTGGGAGGAAAAAATCCTTAAATAAGAGACACGGGGGGATGATTAATGGACTTCAATGTCTGTACACTAATGCGCAAAGCATGGGAAATAAACAAGATGAGCTTGAGCTCTTGGTACAGCAAACTAAATATGACATAATAGGCATCACTGAAACCTGGTGGGATAAGTCCCACGATTGGAATGTAATAATGGGGGATACAATCTATTTCAGAGAAACAGACCAGACAAGAAAGGAGGAGGAGTGGCGTTATATGTCAGGGATGTGTATACCTGTGAAGAGATCCAAGATTTAGAACCTCAAAGCCAAAGTGAGAGCATTTGGGTCAAAATTAAGGAGAGAAGAATAACAGTGACCTCATTGTGGGAGTTTACTATAGATCCCCAAGCCAAACGGAGGACATAGATGATGCCTTCCTGGAACAGATGGCCAAGCATGCAAAAGGAAGGGAGATAGTAGTAATGGGGGACTTCAATTACCCGGATATTTGTTGGATGTCAAACTCAGCCAAGAGCATAAGGTCAAACAGATTCCTCACTGGCCTTGCAGACAACTTCATTGTCCAGAAAGTGGGAGAAGCAACAAGAGGAACAGCCATTTTAGATCTGGTCCTAACCAATGTTGATGACCTGGTTAGTGGGGTAGAAGTGGAAGGATCATTAGGCGCGAGTGATCATGCTCTTCTGAAGTTTACTATACAGCGGAAAGGAGCAGCCAAGCATACTAGGACTCAATTTCTTGACTTTAAGAAAGCTGACTTCATAAAACTTAGGGAAGTGCTGGGTGAGATCCCATGGACAGTAATACTAAAAGGAAAGGGAGTTCATGATGGCTGGGAGTTTGTTAAGAGGGAGATACTAAAAGCACAACGTCAGGCAATACCAATGAGACGGAAACATGGAAGGTGCCTAAAGAAGCCAGGGTGGCTATCTAAAGAACTTTTAACTGAGTTAAGATTAAAAAAGGATGTGTACAAAAAATGGAAAAGGTGGGAAACCACCAAAGAGGAATTCAAACAAATAGCCAGCACGTGTAGACACAAAGTCAGAAAAGCTAAAGCACAGAATGAACTCAGGCTTGCTAGAGAGGTTAAAAGCAACAAAAAGCCTTTTTTGGGTATGTCCGTAGCAAAAGGAAGAACAAAGAAACAGTGGGGTCACTCAGAGGAGAAGATGGTGAAATGCAAACAGGGGACACAGAAAGAGCTGAACTCCTCAATGCCTTCTTTGCCTCAGTCTTCTCCGATAAAGAAAACAATGCCCGACCTGAAGAATTTGGAGCAAATGATTCAGCAAAGGAAACACAGCCCAGAATAACTAAGGAGATAGTACAAGAATACTTGGCTAGTTTAGATGTATTCAAGTCTCCAGGGCCAGATGAACTGCATCCAAGAGTATTAAAAGAACTGGCAGATGTGATCTCAGAACCACTGGCAGTCATCTTTGAGAATTCCTGGAGAACAGGCGAAGTCCCGGCAGACTGGAGGAGGGCAAATGTTGTCCCTATTTTCAAAAAGGGGAAAAGAGAGGACCCAAATAATTACCGCCCAGTCAGTCTGACATCAATACCAGGGAAGATTCTGGAGCAGATCATTAAGCAAACAGTCTGTGAGCACCTAGAAAGGAATGCTGTGATCACCAATAGTCAGCATGGATTTCTGAAAAATAAGTCATGTCAGACTAACCTGATCTCGTTTTTGACAGAATTACAAGCCTGGTAGATGAAGGGAACGCAGTGGATGTAGCCTACCTTGATTTCAGCAAGGCATTTGACAAGGTGCCTCATGATATTCTTGTAAAGAAGCTGGTAAAATGTGGTCTTGACTATGCTACCACTCAGTGGATTTGTAACTGGCTGACTGACCAAACCCAAAGGGTGCTCATCAATGGTTCCTCTTCATCCTGGAGAAGAGTGACTAGTGGGGTGCCACAGGGTTCTGTCTTGGGCCCGGTCTTATTCAACATCTTTATCAACGACTTGGATGATGGACTCAAGGGCATCCTGATCAAATTTGCAGATGACACCAAATTGGGAGGGGTGGCTAACACCCCAGAGGACAGGATCACACTTCAAAACGACCTTGACAGATTAGAGAACTGGGCCAAAACAAACAAGATGAATTTTAACAGGGAGAAATGTAAAGTATTGCACTTGGGCAAAAAAATGAGAGGCACAAATACAAGATGGGGGACACCTGGCTTGAGAGCAGTACATGTGAAAAGGATCTAGGAGTCTTGGTTGACCACAAACTTGACATGAGCCAACAGTGTGACACGGCAGCTAAAAAGCCAATGCAATTCTGGGCTGCATCAATAGGAGTATAGCATCTAGATCAAGGGAAGTAATAGTGCCACTGTATTCTGCTCTGGTCAGACCTCACCTGGAGTACTGTGTCCAGTTCTGGGCACCACAGTTCAAGAAGGACATTGACAAACTGGAACGTGTCCAGAGGAGGGCAACCAAAATGGTCAAAGGCCTGGAAACGATGCCTTATGAGGAACGGCTAAGAGAGCTGGGCATGTTTAGCCTGGAGAAGAGGAGGTTAAGGGGTGATATGATAGCCATGTTCAAATATATAAAAGGATGTCACATAGAGGAGGGAGAAAGGTTGTTTTCTGCTGCTCCAGAGAAGCGGACACGGAGCAATGGATCCAAACTACAAGAAAGAAGATTCCACCTAAACATTAGGAAGAACTTCCTGACAGTAAGAGCTGTTTGACAGTGGAATTTGCTGCCAAGGAGTGTGGTGGAGTCTCCTTCTTTGGAGGTCTTTAAGCAGAGGCTTGACAACCATATGTCAGGAGTGCTCTGATGGTGTTTCCTGCTTGGCAGGGGGTTGGACTCGATGGCCCTTGTGGTCTCTTCCAACTCTATGATTCTATGATTCTAAGTGTTAAAACACTTGAAACTGCTGTGCAAACATTGAGCATTATTACAGCATGATCCTATACAAATCTAATTAAAAAGTAAGTCTCAATGAGTTCAGTGTGCCTTACCTCCAAGGAAGGTGGGTAAAAAAATGCAGCTTATTATATCATATTCCCCCCTTTCCCCCCTTAAAAATAAGAACCTTTGCTGATTTTGTGGAAAGGTTTGTTGTACATTTGCCAGCCAGTCATTCCCCGCACATTTGGCTCTTTCATGCATGCCTCTTTCTTTTCTTTCCTGTCATCCCTTGTACTGTCATGTTTGAGATTGTAAAATCTTTAAAGCAGACACCTATACTTTTGTTGTTCCTTATTTTACTACGTAAGCATACTATGTACATTGATCTCACTGCATACATTAATGACAATTGTAATCAGGCGCAAGAGCTGAACTGGCCACTCATTCAAAAAATAAAGGTAAGGCTCATGTTTACAGCTAGGTATCTTAGCACTTGAAACTGACAGTACAACCATGTTCCTTTGCTGAGCAACTGAAACTCCTCGCTGCAACAATATAAAAGTGATCAAACGGCAATCGTATGTACCAGAAGCAAATGAGGAAGAAAAATAGCTTATTTTCTTTCAAAGTGAAAGGTTGATCATAGGGAAACATTTTTTACATTATTTACAATAGAAAACAGCAGAACAATTCAAGTAAGGCTGTGCTTATTACTGGCATTTGGGACTTGAGAACACTGACGGTAAGTACAGCTCAGTTATTAAATCTTAAGAATGTAACAGATTATGCTAAGCTTCTGCAATGCAAAGCATATCTTATCTCATTTCTGGGAAGGAAGCAATGCTTTTATTGCATGATTTTACCATTTTGTGGCTATTTCTGAAGAGCAGGATACGGCTAATCCCATGTTTGCATTTTAAAAAGAAGGGGGAAAATAGTTGGGTGGTTTCAGGTTGCACAGAGTGGAATAGGCTATTTAATCCTTTGTCGCTCAAAATCAGCAGCCCAGCCTTTCTCACACAAGAGGGGGTGGGGGAAGGATACAATATCCCCCATATTTTCCCTGATGAATCCCACAAACATAAGCAAATGTTACCTATCTTGCCTCAAAAGGCACAATCTGGCAAGTCAAATTGCTTGAAAGAACTCATTTCTCTGCCGAAGAAGCTACAAACCGCTTTTTACCACTTATTAGAGCAAAAATATGTGCACACTAGTGTGAAGCAAGGACAGAGGTACACATTGAAAACTAATCCACCATTTTGGATGCTCCTGCTATTCTATGTCTGTCGGAGCAGAGGCCCCAAGCATCACTAATCCCTTTCTCCTCACCAAGATGGGCAACAATGTCACCTTCATTTAGGGAATAAGGATGCACTGGACCCCATGATAAAACAAGAACTTTAGCTGAAAATATAGCACAAATGATTCTTAAGAAGCATCAGCACTGCCAGAAAGCACAGCCCCATCCTAGAGCCCCAACTGGGTGGGGAAAGGTAGGAACTTTTAACTGCTGCTCCATCAGTATGGAGTATACCTGCCTGCAGATTTACCTGCCTACCTTACCTTTAACATAAAATACCTACCTATTATTGCAGAATGAATTTAAGAATTTTAGATGCTGAAAAAGTGTGCCTCGGATATAAAATATCTGGAAGAGCTGCTGCAGTATGAATAACTCTGGCATTTAAAGCTGAGTTTCGTTGAATATATGCAGAGTTCTTTTTCCTCCATTGGAAGACAATTTTTCAAATAAGAACTGAGTAACAACGTTTCCCTGAATGCCCTTCCTTTAGGAAATAAGTGCTTCATTTATCCGAAGACTATCTGGATATACCATCAAATCTGTACTTCAGTGCTTCACCATAAGTCACCCTACCAAAGGTGACAGTGGCTCCACACCAGCTCAGAGAGTGACATTCCGGGGCGTGAGCGGCAAGAGTCCTGGGCAGGAACGCTGAGACGGGTACGGGTGCTGGTGCTGGTAGCAGAGGCAGTCCGAGTAGTCAAAGTGAAGTCCAACGGAGGGAGCAGGGGCAAGAGGCAGTCCAATTGGTGGGCCCATGGTCAGGAAGCAGCAGCAAGTCAAATAAGGGTCAGAGGCAAGAGGAAGTCCAGAAGCGTACCAGAGTCAAGGTGGGTAAGAAGTCCAGCCAGGCAAGGTCACGATGCAGGGTCACGGGAGCTCAACAAAAGACCAAGTTGCTGTGGCAAAGACCAAAAGTGAAACGCAGGCCTGATTTAGCTCTCCTGGGCTTGCTCCCAGCTGCAGTGCATCTTGTCACCTGACCGTGCTTGCTGGCCTGCGCCTGATTCATATAAGGTTGGCACAGCCAGGGTCTGGCTCCCACAAATCCTCAGAGTGCTCAGGGCCTGCTTCCTGCAAAACCTCAGTGCTCATTACAGGCAGCAGGCAGTGAGAGGCCCAAGTATTAATTGGCCTTGTTAGGAGATCTGCTGGGAAGATGACAAAAACATGCAGGTTGTTGCACTGAATGCCCCTTGAAAATGATGCCACATACCTCTGTGGTCTTCTATGAGATAGCACAGTGTGCATACACTGATATTCATAAAAATGCACAGCCTTTACATGTTTGTGCATTGCACTAAATATGTGGCTACCATCTTCCATATCATATTTTAGTATTACATGAGAAAGAAAGCTCAAAAATGCACTATACCAGACAAAAGAACAGCTCAGCTGCCATTTTTCTGGCACCATAGCCAATTCTAGCAACTAGCCCAGAGGGTAAAATTCTGGTCCAGGGGTCAGCAAACTTTTTTTGGAGGGGGTCGGTTCATTGTCCCCCAGACCTTGTGGCGTGCCAGACAGCGCACACACGCAGGCGCGCACGGAGGAGGGGGCTTCTCTCTCTCCCCCTCTCCCCCCAGCCCCTCCCCCGCCTACCTATGCTGCTGTCCGTACTGCGTTCTCCCAACTGCGGCTCCTGTGCCCTTGCGAGGGCTGCTTTCAGGCTGCTCGTCCCGCTGCCGCTGCCGCCGCCGCTCGCAAGGGCAGGCACAGGAGCCGCAGTTGGGAGAGACGCTGCGCTGTGCTCTGCCAACCGCTGCTCCTGTGCCTGCCCTTGCAAGCGGCAGAGGCTGTCGGCGGCGGCGGAGGGATGAGCAGCCCAAAAGGGCTAGCTGGCTCCAGAGAGGCACTGCCCAAAATGGCGCTCAGCCAGCTCAGCCCAGCCCACTTCCTCCACTACGCAGGGCGGGGAGAAGGGTGCAGAGAAGCGCGCAGGGAGAGAGGAGGCGCCGCGGTGGGTGGGCGGGTGGGGGGGGAATGGCGCCCGAAAAAAGGGTGGTGCCCCAAAAAAACTGAAGGGGGAAAAAATGAACAAACAGAACCGCCGATCCACGGAACATCCGCAGGCCGGATCCTGAGGGCAATTGGGCCAGATCTGGCCCGCGGACCGTAGTTTGTCGACCCCTGTTCTGGTCAGTCTTGCTGGGTGGCAACCCTAGTGGCTTTCTTAGGATATACGTATATTACAAATGTAAATTACTTCGCCTTCCACGGCTTCCAACCATGGAACTTAACTTCAAAGATTCCAAATAAGGGGGGGAAATAACTAACTAGGAATTTATTTTTTTGTGTTTCAGGATTGTCCAACTTACAGGAGCAATATTTCCATACACTATGAACCTAGAAACAGAACCATTTTGCCAAGAATACCTAGCACATAAAGGTACAGTAGTAAAACCATATTACTGGCTAAGCGTGAGCCAAAGCTGTGTCAAGTGCCCTTATCACATAAAAACAGGTGAAGAAGCAAGAGTTCCTTATGTAGAATTTCATAATGCCTTTGGATTCCCATACAGATCAATGCCTTCCCATAATAAACACCTTCTATTTTATGAATTGAGGCATTCATCAGGGAAATTAATTCAAAAAGGCCATGCTACAAATTGCACAGAGTACAACATTCATCCAGAATCAATGTTATTTGAAATAGGCGGTTATCTAGATTCAGTTGTGCACAATTATGAGAATGCTGGATACATAATTATTTATTCAAACTACTCACCTTGTAACGAGGCAGAGCATGGCTGCATAAGCAAAATGTACAACTTCCTGATGAAGTATCAAGACATTACACTCTGCATTTATTTTGCACAGCTGTACCACACAGAGGAGGATTTCCCAGTATCCCCATGGAACTGTGAAGCTCTGCAAAGCCTGGCTAGCATGTGGCCTCAGGTGACATTGAGCCCACTGTGTGGTGGACTTTGGCATTCCCTCCTAAACAGTTTTGTGACTAATATACCACACCTAAGTCTCCATCATCCAATTTTGCCTGCAAGAGTATGGGCTGACAGACAAAATGCACAACAAATTAGCAGCATTACAGGAATGAAATTTCCTTTTATGAGGACCCTGCCTCAGCCAGGCTATGGAGACTCTACTGCTCTGCCATCTCTGCAAAAGTACTTTTTGCCCAGTTCAGACTCTCAGCATCCAGCACCAATGATGAATGGTAGATTGCTCCCTCTGAGGATACCACCCCCCCATTCAACACCTCCCATTGATGTTTTTTCCAGTTTTAGAAAGCAGCCACTATACCCCCAACCTAAAAATATTGTCAGACACTTAAAAATGCCAGATAAGTCATTAAGCAAAGCTAAACGTTTGCAAGTAATTCCAAACGGAAGATCTGTTTACATGGAAAGAATTACTGAACGGGTTTAAAGTATCAAGTCTAAAGAGCATGAACTGCACAGAAACAGGATCCAATTCACCTCATTCAAAAACTGAATGCAGGGCTGATAATTCACTCAGCGTGTAAGCAGCTCAAATGCTTATACGCATGTTTTTCATATGTACTGTGGCTATTATGCCAGCATAGGAAACACCAACTTCGAGCAGCTGAATGAAGAGACTAAGGCAATCCTGCTAGTCAGTGTGGCTACTGGACAGCGTCACCCTCCATTTTCTGTTAGAGTATTAAGACAACTTTTCATCTTAAGGATATTTCCTTTATAATAATTATTTTGTGCTGATTTGTTGTCATTGTTCTATGCAGTTTTGGCTGTAAACTTGTACCTGCCAACAGAAAGCTGGGATATAAATGTAATAAAATAAATCCAATCATCAAAAATGCTGCATGTAAAAGACTAATATTCAATTCTTCTATCGTCTCCAGAAAATACCTTAAAGTCAGCCCAGACATCATCAGAGTTATTTGGAAATTCAATTTCTTTTTGCTACGCCTTGCTTTTTAGTGGATATCACAGGTAGCTCTTCAAACTTCCCTTTGAAATTATTAAAAGTACTTGCAAGCATAATGGTTCGGAGTGGGTGGATACCTATTCCTGGGATAAACTTGCATCTGATGAAGTTCAATCAAGTCCAGAGGTCGGCAAACTAGGCTCCGTTGGCCAAATCAAGCCCACGAGGGTCGTTAACCTGGCCCGGCCACTGTCTGAGCTCCCTGGAAAAAAAGACAAAAAAGAGGGAAGCCGCCGCACGTTCTTGTGTGAAGTCCTCCTTCAGGAGGTGCAGGAGGAAAAGGAGGAGGCAGAGGTGCCACTGGCGGGAAAAGAGGCACCATCCAGGGCAGGGGAGGGGGCGAGAGATTTACGGGTGGAGGGAAAAGAGTGAGGGTGGGGAGCTCTCCCCACTGGCTGCACAGTGGCGCTCTGGCCTCTGCTGCTGGGGGGGCCCCATCCCACCCCTGAAGCATGGAAGAGGTGCCAGCAGCAGGAGGCCCAGCAGGCCACAACGCAGCACCAAACCCAGGTGAGGAGCCCCCCATCCAAACAATGACTATCATCAGTGCAGGTAAGAATTTTTTTAAATTTTTTTTTATCATGTACAATACTGTCTGGCCTGCCTGGTGCTCTTGCATGGAATGGGTTCTTTTAAAATGCACCTGTGGGTTATTTGTGGGGCCTGCCTGATGTGCATAGGAATTCATTCATTTCCCCCCGCTCAAAATATAGTCCGGCCCCCCACAAGGTCTGAGGGAAAGAAGACCGGCCCCCTGCTGAAAAAGTTTGCTGACCCCTGATCCAGTCCATGAAAGTGTATGCTGCAACAAATCTGCTGCACACAATCCCGAAGGCAGCCCTGTATAGGGAAGTTTTTAATGTTTGATGTTTTATTATGCTTTTATATATGTCATAAGCTGCCCAGAGTGGCTGGGACAACCCAGTCAGGTGGGCAGGGTACAAAATATAAAATTATTATTATTATACATATCTATTCAGAAGTCCTCAAAGATATAAATGAGGCCTAAAGGTAAAGGGACCCCTGACCATTAGGTCCAGTCGTGACCGACTCTGGGGTTGCGGCGCTCATCTCGCTTTATTGGCCGAGGGAGCCGGCGCACAGCTTCCGGGTCATGTGGCCAGCATGACTAAGCCGCTTCTGGCGAACCAGAGCAGCGCACGGAAACGCCTTTTACCTTCCCGTCGGAGTGGTACCTATTTATCTACTTGCACTTTGACGTGCTTTTGAACTGCTAGGTGGGCAGGAGCTGGGACTGAACAACGGGAGCTCACCCTGTGGCAAGGATTCGAACCGCCGACCTTCTGATCGGCAAGTCCTAGGCTCTGTGGTTTAACCCACAGCGCCACCCGCGTCCCCAAATGAGGCCTACTCCCAGGCAAACAGGTATATCCTATCGCTGGCTTGATTATTCTCTTACTGCACTACATAATTATTTGCTGTTCCTACTTTGATAAAGAACTTAAACTTGGGGGTATGCACTGGCTGCTGTTTTTAAAAGCGATGCGTCCACCTCATAACCTTGAGGATGAGGTGGAAATCCGAATTAGAAGGGGAAAGTTGTACCACAAAAAAACCCGTCAGAAGATACAAAAGTCTAACAATTTTGTTTTACGAGCACTGAGCAAAAATCAGAGCCAACCGCCCGCTGGTTCCGAGCAGCCGTGGGGCTTCTTTCAGGCCTAACAGCCCCCCCCCCCGCCTCACCAGCCAGGCGACATTTTGGCCCCCGGCTGGAATTAGCAGGCCGGGATCCCCGGCCCATCCGTTGCTATAGGAACCTGCCAAAGATCACGTGTCAGCCAACTTCTCACTTGCCTCCCACAGCCCATCGCCCCACCCCGCCGCGCGCGCAGTTCTGCGCATGTGCTCGTTCACGGGTAACGGGGGGGCGAGAGGGAAATGGCTGCTTGACGCATGCTCATTAGAATGGGTGGCGCGCGCATGCGCAACGCTAAGACTTCAAACCCAGCGCTTGTTGGGGGTTTTTAATCAGAAGGGCCTGGAAAAGGTCGCTCTCTCACAGAAGCTTAAAGAAACGCGCAGGAGGAGAAATGACGTAATGGCGGTTAACCTGGTGTGGATTGTCCGCATGCGCAGAGCGGAGGAGAGGTGGGGGTGAAACCACTCGCGCATGCGTGGTGTCGGTGTTGGCTGCCGCTCCCACCGTGACGTCAGTCCTTCCACCGCCTGGAAGGGGCGGAGTCCCGCCTCTCGCCGCCGCCGCCGCCGCCGCCTTCCTTTGCCCGAGCGAGTCAGGCGGGCGCAGCCATGGCCAAGCACACGGTCTCCTCCGCGCGCTTCCGCCGGGTGGACGTGGACGAGTACGACGAGAACAAGTTCGTGGACGAGGAGGACGGCGGCGACGGCCAGGTGGGCCCCGACGAGGGCGAGGTGGACTCGTGCCTGAGGCAATATCCTGAGGGAGACAGAAACGAGTCGCGGGGATCGGGGGGTCTCTCTCCCTTCCCATGGAGGGCGGGCGGGCGGGCGGGCGGGCTGAGGAGGTGCCTTCCCCCCCCCCCGGGACAGGCGCTGCGCCTCCCCTGCCATCTCCGCTCCCGCTGGAAGGGACCTCGGGGGTCATCTAGGCCAACCCCCAGCAGTGCTGGGATCTTGTCGCCCAACCCCCGGCCCCGAGGAGCAGGGTCGCCCTGCCTGCCTGCCTGCCGAGGCCCTTGGCTTCTCCATCTTCCATCTCTTCCGCAAAGGAGGAGGAGGAGGCGGGGCGGGGCGGAGAGAAAGGATGACAGGAGCCCGGAACGTGGGCTGTGCTCCCCACACCCCAGTATGGATACCGTTTTTTGGGGAGGGGGCTTCTGCTACACCCGCAGCCGGTGCCTGCTCGGTGGGAGCAGATCCTCCCTCGAATTCCTCCCTCGCCCCGTCTGACTCCCTAAGGGGGGTTTGCGAACCCTTCTCCCTTTCACAGAATTGTAAAGGGGCCCCAAGGGGTCTAACTCCCTGCAATGCAGGAGTCTCACCTGAAGCATCCAGGGCAGATGGCCGTCCAACCTCTGCTTAAAATCCTCCATGGAAGGAGATTCCACCACCACCTGATTGAATCCTCCACTGTTGAACAGCTCTTACTGTTCAGGTTAGGCTGAGAGACAATCTTGCTTGTTGGAAGAAAACCTTACTGTTTTCCGTGGGGCTTTCTCTTGTGTAACAGCACACAAGACTGCATCTTGGTTTTTAATCATGTGTGTTTACTTGGAAGTAAGGCCCACAGTTATGGGCTGGTTGTATTTTTCACCCACATTTCACACAGATGCTTTGTAGGCGGGGTATAAAGGGAACCTAGCTGACATTTGAACTTTTAACATTTCAGACCCATTCTGTACAACTGCAAACAATTAAGATATCTGTATATGCTTTAATCTGACAAAGGAGCATTGAGAGACCATTGTAAACCACACTGGCTCTGAGCATGAAGGCATCTCAATGTAGCCATTGTTTCAGCAGACTGTAATGTTGAGGTTCACAGTCATGCTGTCCTGTAGTTCATGCTATTCCTCACAACATTTCCATGGAAGAAAAAAGAACTGTGGTGTAAAACAGAGAGTGATTTATGCAAGAACAAGTCAGTAAAGGCACTAACAGCTTTGGTTGAACATATATTTTAACTTTCCTCCACCTTTAATACACAAAGCTTTATCTTGTTTTCCTGCTGAACACACACACACACTACTCTGCTCCTCCTTCAGGGTTCATTGCTCTTTTTTTCCACAGGTCAAAAGTTAGGTCTGGAACTTTTTCTTGATTGACACTCTATAATCATTTAATCACTTCGTGGATTTTTTTAATTCAAAAGTGTGTGAAAGAGTTTCATGGTTAACAGCATTGTTGAAAACACACCTCTTCAATAATGTTAAAATTACTTGATCTGTTTTCCAAGCTGTGAATTCATGTGTCTGCATAGCATAGTTGAATCTCATTTTTTAACATTCTCAAAAATACCCCATATCATGATACTGTAGTGTAGTACAATTTAATATTGAAAAATGAGATTGTTAATCAGCTAAAAATGTTTAGCCATATTCAGTGGGTCTACTTGTAAGAATTGCATTAGTCTGTGGATAGCTTTAGTACGAGATAAGTGTTCATGGGGCAGATGTTCTATTTTCATTAGAACTTATTTTGTAATAAGCTTCAGGCATATCTGAAAAGGAAAAAATAGCTTAATATAGTATAATCTGAATGGCTTAACATGGTAGCAGCTTTGCACATCTACTTTTATAAGTGTCTTTTCTCACTGTTTGCCTGCACAGTCCTAAAGCATGCATTTGATAGTGTTACATCAAATTGAAGAACATGGGAGGAGGAGTCTGCAAAGCATTACAGCCGTCTAACTTCCTCCTGTCAGACTAAAACAGTAGAGGAAGTACATGAATTCAGTAGGGTCTTTCCTTTTATGGAAACAGTTGCATCTAGTCAGTGATAGTGCAACTGGTATTCAGTTCCATTTTGTAATCTTAAGTACACTCACTTGAGAACACAGTACAACTTATTTCTGGGTGAATTTTCATAGGATCAGGAAATTAGTGATTTGTCTCATTTATAGAAGAAACAGTTTCTAAGAATTACACTGTTTAAATGGGTTCCAGGAAGTAATCAAGAAAGGAACCCCCCGCCCCCCCATTTCCAAAACCAAATTGGGTCTAATTAAAATACTGTTCTGCATTGTCAACAGGCTGGCTGTTTTTTTAAATCACTTGAGATGTGTTAATTTTTCTTTGCTTATTAGATATAGCATTCTCTAATCAACCACTAAGATTTTTCAATCTGCTTGAGGCTTCTCTAAGCTCTGTGCTATGTAGTGGGAAAGAGTAAGGTTTGAGTCAGAAAGTCCTCTCTTCAAATTCAACTTCAGCCATTTGTGAAGTGTCCTTATACAAACTAGTCAGCTTTAGTGATTCTCTCTTCACCCCCAGCTGCATAAGATACTACATAAGATACTGAAAAACCTTACGGGGCTCTTTTAAGGTTCCTGTGAATGTATCTGAAGCATTTTGAACTCTTGAAATGTGTTCTATAACCATTACTAGTTTTTGAACCCTCAAAGCTTGGCAAAATTGTCTTTTCCTTAACTGCTGTTTACGGGGAACATGATGGCTGCATTACAGGCAGCTCTGAAAAATCCTCCAATCAACACCAAGAGTCAAGCCGTAAAGGTGAGGTAACAGGAGAATTATGGTGTAATAGTGATTGAAGACTGCTCTTCTTTTTCAGAATATTTTAACCACATCTAAAAACACTGCTGAATTGCTGCATCACTGCTGTAACTCTCAAAACTTAGTGGACGTGTTTAAGTGTTATTGAATTGGTGACTTCAGGATTGGATAACTGCAATTAATGTAGAATGCTGCAGCACAGTTGCTGTCAAAGAAGACTGTTGTCATACAACACCTCTATTCAGATATCTGCACTGGTTGCTGATTTGTTATTGGGCTGAGTTCAGGGTATTAGTATTGGAGTAGAAAGCCCTTAATGGCTTGAGACGAGCCTTACCCCACTGGTGCTCACTTGACTGCTTTGATCTGTGCACCTGGCACTGTTACAGGTGCCACATAATACTCTTTCTGCAATTGTAAGAAATCAGTATTTTAGTATAGCAGTACTTATACTTTGGAACTGTCTGTCTATTGACATCAGGCCATGTATTGTGTCTTAATTGATTGCTTTCAGATCATCCTATTTTTTTCAGTCCTGAACAGGCTGACGAAGCAAAACGAATGAAGCCCTAGTTTGCATTCAGTGGTTCAAACATTGTGCAGATGGCTATAATGTTTAAAGTTCTTTTTAGAAGACAAAAGAGAAAATTAATTATAAAAGTAGAAATCCATTGTGTTCCTGTTGCTTTTTAAGTAAGGCATGGGAGACAGTTCTGCAGTGATAAATATATATTTGTTTACATTTTTAATCCTACTTCTATTTAATTCAAAACAATGGTTTAGCATTCTATGAACAAGCAAGCCTTGGGCTCATCAGCTCTCCATCTCCAGTGCAGCTGTGTGGAGGAGATTGAAAGCTTTTGCTTCCAGTTTTAACTATCTGTAGTTTGTTGTTCTGTCCAAAGTGTGGTTACTCTAATCTAGGTTTAGGGTGGGGAAAAACAACACCAAACAATGGATTTGGAAGTTGTATTGTTTCCCTAAACTTTAGTTAAATTCAACCATGGTTTCAAATTTGGACATAACAATAAACTGTGGTTCATTGAAAAATACAGAGAAAGTGTCTGATTACATAACTGTGCTGGACTTTGGGTAGTGCACAGTAGTTTAGCGTTATGTCCAAACCAGGTCACTCTAATAAGAACTTGCTGAACTGTTTTTGCCAAAGCAAGACAAAAGCATAAAGTGAGAAATGCAACTTAGACCCTGCAGAATGATCTGGGTCTGGTGTACCAATGAAGGGAACTGGGTAGGAAATGGCATAGAACAGGAGTGTCCAACTGGTCAGTCGTGATCTACCAGTCGATCACAGGGTGCCCCAGTCAATCCTGGTCGATCGTAGGACCCCCCCCAAAAAAAAAAAGCTCAACAACTTTGGCTAATTGGCTAATGTTCCCCCCCTAAAAAGCTCAACAACATTGGCTCATCCTCCCTGCAAAAAAGCTTAACTACTTTGATGCTAGTTTTTTATAGTGGGAGTAGATCACAGTCTCTTGGAAGTTGGACACCCCGGGCATAGAACTTTTATTTGAGTTTGCCTCTTTTGAAAATTGTTATCTGCAGCCTAGTTAATCTTTTGCCATTTCAGATAAAACAGAAGTATTCATAAGGTCTTATTAATTCTATATTAGAACTAATTTATTTATGCAACACAGTTGCAGACACAGTCATAATAGTCATGTAAGTCTAGTAGCTTAGTACTTGTTGAATTTTCATGGTAATTAGAACCTTTCTTAATAGTATAAACTGCAGTGGTCAAACCAAGTGCATGTTTGCTCAGAAGAAAATCAGCTGAGTTCAGTTGGACATGCTTCCAAGTAAGCGAGCACAGGATTGCAGTGTTCATGGTTCTTTTTCTGTTTGTCTTTTTCAATTTTTCTCTAGGATCGTGCAGAAAGTATTGTCCTGAAGGTTCTCATCTCTTTCAAAGCCAGTGATATTGAAAAGGCAGTACAGTCTTTGGATAAGAGTGGAGTTGATCTCTTAATGAAATACATCTACAAGGGCTTTGAGAGCCCATCTGACAACAGCAGTGCTGTTTTACTACAGTGGCATGAAAAGGTATGATGGCTTGGAATCATTCCTTTCTTGGGGTCTCTGAGTTGTGTGCTATTTTTTCTCCCTTCTCAATAAAGCATAGGCAAGAAGGGAGGAAAAGGTAACAGAGCCACATGCATCCCAAAGAATATAGTATACCTGAAAGAGTTATTTAGATAGACTAAAAAAACTGGAACTTTATCTTAGAAAAGAAGCGTCAGGTGAATTGGGGAACACAGCAGAAGTAAAATGATGAACAGGCTGGAAATACTAGAATTAACCCAATGGAATGGGCATACACATATTTTAATATTAGCAAACAATTCATTTTCCAAACTTACTACACAATTTAACTCACTGAATAATGTTGTTTTTTTCTAAAAAAAACTTGACTGTTTTGTCTTTGGCAATGAGGGAGAGATTAATCATGAAAGATAGGAATTGCCTGTGACAATCCTGTTGCTTAAGGCATGCATCCTTTTACCTTAATTACTTAACTGCTGGAAACCAACAGAACCAAATATATTTCCTTAGAGTTTATTCTCACTTCCATATTTATCACTTGATGATCACAAGATCTAGGGATGACTTGTGTGTGAATGTAAGCCCTTGTACAGATGGAGAGAAACATCCAACTGTATGATGGGACTTCTTCCATCCCTGCTAGAGCTCTCTACACTCCTCCAAATCTGCCCTGGAAGGTTTCCCAGTTTTTTGGAGTAGTCATTGGGGGTGCATTAGGAGTTGCAAGGGAAAGGGGGAATCTGTTCTGCTGGAGGACGACACCATTGGATTTTCCCCAGAGCTTCCACATCTCCTGATGCTTCATTTATTATTTATTCAACTTATACACTGCCCTGTAGACAGAGATCTCGGTGGTTCACAACAAGATGGCAACATATAAAACCAAACCAAAAGCATCTCAGACTTGAAAAGTTTGCCGTGGCGTTGGTTGACACATTCAGCTATCAGTCATCAGTACTTGAGTAATGAAATGAAATGAAGTGAGGTGTATGTATATTTAAAAAGCTGAGGGTGGTATTTAGCTAAGCCTTGCTTGGAGTAGACCCACTGAAATTGGTGGATCTGCTCTGAGTAAAACTTCATTGAATACTAAATACATTGTACTTTTTCATGTGTTGCTAGACACCTAATAGAAACACTACTTTTATGCTTCTGTGGACCATAGTAATGATTTGGATTGGAGTAACGTTCCTCGGAGAAAAATAAGGCACCCACCTATGACATCCTCAGTAAAGCAAAATAAATATTTCTGTTCACTTACTGAGTATGATTGAGTGCCATAGAAATAATGCCCGTTGTCATCAAAATTTGTAATTGCCCAGTGAACTGAGATAATTTAATATACATTAAAATGAGTTTTAGTTGAGGAAATATATGTGAACATGATTCTGTGAATGGTTTGTATCTTAATTCAAGCTAGTGTGTTTATGGAGTGTACTCCCCTTGTCTTTTTTGTGTTCCCAGTTCAATAAACTGATGTTTCTGATTTCTTGTGCCTCTTTGAGATAGCCATATAAAACATGCTAGTAGATGTCTGCTTAGTTAGAGTTGTCTTCAGTGAGTGCTTTAACTTCCTCTTCCTTGTTGTCTGTTTTCAGGCTCTTGCTGCTGGAGGTGTAGGATCCATTGTCCGTGTCTTAACTGCCAGGAAAACAGTTTAAGTCCAGCAAAAATTGCCCCTTCTGCCATGGGTGTGGGAAATGCTCATACAAAGACCAAAACAACCAAATGCCATCACCGCCCTGTGGGTAGCATCTCTCTTTCTTTCAGCTTGCCTTCTCGCTTTTTCATATCTGTGGTATAATATGCATATCAGACTTCTTTTGTGAAATGTTGGATAATTATATAAGTGCAGTTTTATTTCTAAAATGAGTATCTGGTACTCGCAAAGCATTTCAGTGACACATGTACAAGTGTTTGCATAGGATGATTTAAAAAAATCATGACAATGTGCAACCTTCCTTCCCCATTTTTGGCCAGAAAGTCTGAGCAGATGGTGGGGATTGAGGTCAGTTTTAAATTCTTTAGCTGGTTGGGCAGCATTCCATGTAAACTGCGTTGATATGGGACAGCTTACAAATAACAAACTGGACTAGTCAATGTCTAACCTTACAGCAATCGGCAAGGATCTGTCGAGTCAAGTTGCTCATTGCTTGGTTTTCCTAAGTGTCCCACACTTTTCTTTGCAAACCTTTTTACATGAAGAATCCACAAGCGGAGAATGTCATTGTTTCTGTGATAATCCATCAAGCAAAGAGAACAGGGAAAACATTTTGGAACTCTGCATAATAGCAGCTGCCTCTGAATAACCTAACAAGTGTACACTGAAGTAAGGGCAGAATTACACATTGCACTTGACGTGGGACTGCTGCCAAAAATAAGGTCTTCATGTCAAGTTTCCTTCTCCCCGTAACTTTTAGAGTCTCTTGACACATGCCCTGATGTCATGTGTTTCCCTGTCTTCATCACATCATTGCCTACTGTTGGAATGAAAATTTGGCATAAGTTCAGGACATGGGAAAAGTATCCTATACTGCAGAGGTCAGGGGGAGGGGGGACAAAACATGAGAGTGCCTATTTTGGTGTTAGCCTCATATCAAATCTAATGTATAGTTTTATTCTAAGTTGCAAGCGTTTCTTGATCAGTGTTCAACTAGTGGGACCTATAAAATCTTAACCTCTATTCCTAATATGGTTATGTTCCATGTATTAAGGGAGAAAGTACTGACCAATAAAAAAGTACTTAAAAAGAAAAAAGACTTTCTAGGAGATCATTTGCATTCCAGACCTGGAAACAGCTTGAATGTGAATGACATAGGAGGAAAGTTGACCAATGTGTTTAGTTTATACTTAATGCCAGTTTTGTATCACAAAACTGGAAAGGAATTATAAAATGCTGCTCATTTTTATACCTGCTTTTTTTGTAAAATGAGAAATCGAAAATAAAATGGTCACTGCTAAATATTTTAATATTCAAGTGTAATTTTGTTGTCTGTTGTTAATCCACATTTAGATGGGAGGTGATAATAAATGAGCATCTAAGAACAAAGTTGTTTATCAACTCCAAAAACAAGCACTATATAAATGCTTTTAAAGAAGTACAGTTGCTGAGCAATCCTGTGATCAAGCCTTAGGCTACAATCCTATGCACGCTTAACTGGAAGTCAGCCACACTGAACACAGTGGGACTTCCTTCCATATAAAAATGCATAGGACCACCTTAATGTCTTAAGTAGGACCTCTAGAATGTCACTTATCTTAAAGCTTTTCTAGGACTTTTTATTATTATTTTTTAAATATTTATTGATAATTTCCAAATTACAAGAAAAATAAAAAATAAAAAACAGCACTACAATACAAAAAAAAGAGAAAAGCACAAAATATGAAAACCAATACGACAATACAGCAAAAGAAAGAAAAAAAGAAAAAAACACAAATCCCAAATTGCATATCCATAATTTCCATTTGCTTGTTTCATTGACCTCCTCACACCTCCGTTTTTGTGTTCTAGTTTAGTAATTATTTCAGCAAATTCTTTCCATCTTTCTCAATTTTTGTTATAAAATTTATCTTAACAATTTAACCTAATAATTAACTCAACAAATCCTTACCATCTTTCCCCATATTCTGTTATTCAGATTACCTTAATTTATTTAACCTTATCTTACCCCTAAGTGCCTTAAGACTTAAATCTTAAATTTCAAATATACATAGCTCCTGATATCATTTCTGCTAGAGTCGTATAGTTTCATTCCCACATTTTCCCTAATATTCATTAGCTGATTCTAAAATAAAAAAAATCCATTATAAATTCTCTTCCAATCATCATCCAGTGTCTCTTCTTCCTGGTCTCAGGTCATGTCAGTCCTTATTGTCCATTCCATCTAGTCCATCAACCTGGAAGCCTTATGTCCGAGGCCCTTAAATCTCTTCCATGTCCCTTCTGCAATTCTTCTTCATCTTGTTTGTGCTTGCCCTTTTCCTTGTCTCTTGTTGGTCTCTGTCTTAGTTTCTTTCCTTTCTCATTGAGGAGTAGGTCTCTGGGGGATTCCAACCCAAAATTGTCTCCATCACCCTTCATCCAGCTCACCCATTCCCCACAGTCCCACTCCCCACAGTCCTCGATATAATCCAAAATGAATTTAAAATCAAATTTCAAGGTCTCTCCAAAGCTAGGAACCTCCTCATCTCCAGACTCCCCTTGGCCCACTCCAACTTCAATCTTCAATAACAGCGGCTTATGCTCCTGTAGGGCCTCGGGTCTCTCCATTTGTACTATTTGAGGTGCAGCCGCATCCTCCTCCATTGTCATCTGCACTTGCCCAGTCAGTACAGATTGATAGGTTGGTTCTTGGATGATTTCTGTATCAATGTTATTAACCACAACAGTCAAATCCATTTTCTCATTCATCAAGTCCATCTTCTCATGCATCTGTTCCAGCAAAGCATTTGTCTTGCATAGAGCAAGCACCCAGTCTTTCTCCCAGCTCATCTTTGTTCAAGGTCAGAAAAGACTGTTCCCACAGTCTTAATCTCACAGATGTTGGGTCTCAAATATGCTGCAACAACAATTTAGCAAGCTCCCTCTAGAGGAGACAATCTACTTGTATCCATTTAATTTTTTTTGAAGACAAAGGAAAGTTACTTTCATTTTTCAGATATTTCAGATGTTTTTCAGATATTTTGTTTCTTTAAGATGCAAAAGGCAACATTAGAATCAACTTGTTTCTCTTCATTAGCTATCTGTCAAAGTGTTACGTTCACAGTCAATGAACCTCTCCAACAGTTTCTGTCTCTGACACCCCGTTCCCAGGTTAGAGACGGTGGAAACTTATCCTTCTTCACTCCCTCTCCTGCTGGGGTTAAACAGAGTCCCCCCCCCCTTTTCTCCTGCTTCCAAGGGGGGTTTCAGTGATTCTAAATGAAGGAAATTTAGTCCTTTTTTAACAGCTTCCCGGCTTTAGCTTGCAAAATTTTTGCTTTAGTCTATATACAAAAAAGCGGAAGGCGGACTTCCTGTTTGCACCTTCCCGCTTCGATACCAAATTAAAACAATTTCTTGATCCAATTTTCCGTTTCTACTCACGGGTACTTGTTTTAAGTCCAATTGTCCACAGGAAAAGTCAGCGCTCTCTGGCAATGGCTGTGCGGCTTCACTCCGTGAAAGTAGCAGTCAGTTCGTAGCACCGCGCTTCTCACCCCACTTCGCTCCGGAGCCCCTAGATGGGATTCCCCGCGAGTAGGGGGCGCTTCTGGTGCCCTGCCGAACCCCACGTTCCCAGGCTTCCTCCGCCTGGGATTTCTAGCGGGTCCCCACCTTCGCCGCGGCGGGAAGACCCAGTTTTCACAGAGCCCGTTCCTCTGGTCGGAGGAACTCCGCCATTCACCAATGGCGCTGACCCGGAAGCGCTTTTCTAGAACTTTAATTTATTCATCTACAGTTTAAAAAAAAGTTTTTCCTAGTCCTCTGTGCTGCAAAAAAAAAAGAAAATCCCTTAGTAAATGAGATTTTAAAAAGCATACAGAAGATCAGAAGTAGCTCCCCAAAGAACATCTTAAGAATTCACCATTCCATTTCCAGTAGGAGCACCTCCAGGAGTGAAGTCAAAACAGCTGCATTAGCAGCACTGAAGTGCCCTCCCTGGGATGCAAGCCTGGGCCATGTGTCTGGAGGTTGTGGGCTGCCCAGATGACAAGAGTCATCTTGTCTCAGCCTCACTAATGTGGTCCAAAGGAAAGCAGAGCAATACGTTTGGCACCAACTTGGCTGCGGAAGTTGCCGGAAGGAGACGTACAAGGCGCCATCTAACCATCTTTGGGACTCCATTCCAGATTTGTGTAGAGTTTGCTCCTTAGTCTTTTCTTTTCCCAAAGATATTCCGCAAAGCAGAAGAGGTTTAGGGTCAGTGTTTTCCTTCTAAATGGGCTACCTTCCCAGGTTGACAAGCCCCATCTGCCCCTCACTTTCCTCTACAGCACCTGCAGAAACCACCTTCATGACTATTGGACCCACTATTGGACTTGCCAGTTTAATCCACTGGAGCCTGTCTTCTCACACAGGTGAAGTCCCTAAACCCCAAAGGTTTGAAACCCATCAGCTACCCTCACCTTGTTTAACCGGCTAGTTGAAGTGGTTTCTGGGGTGTGGCTGTTGTTGCATGCTTACAACTTGGGAGCCACAGGTGAGAACTGAGTGCAAAGGTAGACAAACTACTCCAAAGGAGCACAACAAGTCCTGCACCAGAGGTAGTATCCTTCCCCTAACACCCCATACATCCCAAAGTGACTACTAACTTAGTTGCGTTTTTAAAGGATTGACAACTGTATAGATCCATCAGTGATATTCGCCAAGACAGCTAAATGAAACTTCCATGTTCAGATACGGTGTCCCTCTGATGTCCTCTGGCTCTGTCTGATCAGCTGCTGTTGGAAATAGAACTCTGGTTTAGATTTACTATGGTCTGAACCAGCCAACACAACCTGGGTAAGGTGATTGAGAGAGCGGTTGCTGAACAGTTTGGTGGATTTCTTGATGAAACATCGGCTTTGGATCCATTCCAGTCCAGTTTTCGCTCTGGTCATGGGACCAAGATGGCTCTGGTCACCCTAACGGATGACTTCCATAGGCAGCTGGATTGAGGCAGGTTGGGGCTGTTGATTCTTTTAGATCTGTCAGCAGCCTTCAACATGGTTGACCACAAACTTCTAGACCACTGCCTTGCCAACGTGGGGATTCGGGGCGCAGTCCTTCAATGGCTGCGCTTGTTCCTCTCTGGTCGGGGACAGAGGGTGGTGATGGGGGAGGGAAGTTGTCGTACTACTCCTTGGTGTGTGGCATACCACAGGGCGCAATTCTCTCCCCTATGCTTTTTAACATCTATATGCGCCCCCTCACCCAGCTCGTCCAGAATTTTGGTTTGGGCTGTCATCAGTATGCTGATGACACCCAGCTTTATCTGTTGATGGATGACCACCCTGACTCGGCCCCTGACACACTGTTCAGATGTTTGGAAGCCATGGCTGGATGGCTATGTGGGAGCCGGTTCAAGTTAAATCCTTCCAAGACAGAGGTCCTTTGGCTGGGTCGGGACAATATGGGGTTGGGGGGCCAACTCCCATCCCTTGCAGGGGTGCAACTAGTACCAGCACCTTCCATCAAGAGTTTGGGTGTAATATTCAATGCCTCCTTTTCTATGGAGGTGCAGGTTACACCTATAACAAAGGCAGCATTTTTTCATCTCCGCCAAACTAAGCAGTTGGTCCTTTACTTCTCTCGCTCGGACTTCTCCACTGTGATCCATGCGACAGTCACCTCCAGGCTTGATTATTGTAACTCGCTCTACGTGGGGCTGCCCTTGAAACTGACTCAGAAACTCCCGCAGGTGCAGAATGCTGCGGCAAGACTCCTTACGGGGTCTTCACCGCGGGATCACATTCACCCAGTGCTATACCAGCTGCACTGGCGCCCAGTGGAGTACAGGATCAGGTTTAAGGTGCTGGTTTTAACCTTTAAAGCCCTATACGGCATAGGACCTTCGTACCTATGGGACCGCCTCTCCTGGTACGTCCCTTACGGTCTGCAAATAACAACACCCTGAAGATTCCGGGCCCCAGGGAGATTAGACTGGCCTTGACCAGAGCCAGGGCTAATTTTTGGGCCGTAGCTCCGGCCTGGTGGAACGCTCTGTCACAAGAGACTAGGGCCCTGTGAGATTTGACATCCTTCCGCAGGGCCTACAAGATGGCGCTGTTCCGCCAGGCCTTTGGTCAGGGTTCAGTCTGACTCATTTTCTCTTTGTATAAGAACAAGCACAAAGGAGGTTTCCCAGCCCACTCACAGGTCCTTATAATATCAGTGGAAACAGTTGGTCCTGGTGAGAATTAACCGCTTTCAATTTTAACCTGAGGATTGTCATTTGTCTAGTTTTAACTTTAATTTTAATTTATTTGAATTAATTTTGGGATGCATTTTAATCAATTGATTGCTTGTTTTTATGCATATTGTATTATTTATAGGATGTTAGCTGCTCTGAGCCCGGCTCCAGCCGTGGAGGGTGGGGTACAAATAATAAAAAATAATAATTATTATTATTATTTTACATTGTGCCCAACTAGATATATTTTGGGCATTCTTGTGTTTCTAGATCTCTGTGATTTTTATTCTGAAGTAACTTGAATAAACAAAAGTAATACTCCGGATAAGCCTTATAGCATAACATATTGGATAAAAAAATACTCTTGTATTTGCAATGTTGCTTTTTAAAAACTTTTCCTCCTCAGTTTTGAGAAGTAACATAGTAGGAAAACAAGGTCCCCTAAATGTCTGAGACTATGACATTGGAAAGATGACTTGGAAGCCAATATAAAATGATATATGCAAGATGAATAGAATACATCATTTGCTTTTATTGTAAAATAATACCAAGGAGCTCTGGCAAAGGTAGATGTTCATACGCACAAGACTTTGCTTCTGTTCAAGTTGCCTGAAGATTCTACTTTGCTTTTGGTATCCAAGGAAAGTTACAACCACACAATCACCCCTGCGTTGCACAAGGTTGCTATAGCAATCTTGGAGAAGCCAGATTGTGACTCATTAAGAATGCTTGCAGGACTCCCTGCTTGTGATGAGAGAATGAAATATTAGTCATTGCATCTCTTCCAACCTCTGCTTCCATTTTTGAACAGAAATCAAATCAAGGATGCACCCACAATGAAAAGATTTATGAAGATTTATTCAGCTTGTGAATATGCTCTAAGGATGGGTGAATCTGAATTTTGATTCCTCTCAGATTCTCATTTTTCTAATCGTTATTATTATTTACCAGCCCTTCACTCTAAAGCTCCAGGATGGGTCACAACATTTAGAAACACAATATTAAAACAGTTTGACATAACTTGTAGTCACAGAAATAAGGTGGGTCCTAAAAATATACGTGCACCTCAGCTGTCAAAAGCCAGGCTAAAGAGATGCGTCTCCAGCATTCACAGGAAAGTACAGTAAAGGTGCCAGATGCACCTCTGTGGGGAGGGCACCCCACAACTTGGGGGCTGTTCAAGAAAATGCCCTCTCTTAGACCACCAGCAACTGAGCTTCTGAGGGCAGAGGAACTACCAGGAGGCCCCTTCCTTCACTTCTCCACATTTCTGCATCAGTTGGTGCTTTGCTGTTGTTTTTTAACGTTATGTTCACTAACATATGCATTTCTGTGCACAATTTACCCTCGTATATTCATTTCTGTACGCATTACTGGAGAACCGCAGAGCAAAATTTGGAGAAATGTGAATTTCAAAGGACGTTTGTACATAGTTCATGTACTACAGGGATAAGCAATTTGAAACTCTGCAAATATTACTGAACTACAACTCCTGTTGTTAAAACTTGTATACTGTTCTTCAACTGAAGATCCCTGAACAGTTCACAACAGAAAAATACAAAATAGGAATACAAAATACATAATAAAACCAAAACAAACCAATATCCCTGCTCCCACAAACACATTTAAAAAGCCATAGAATGTTAACTAGCCAAACTTCCGGTTGAATAGAAACATTTTCGCCTGGCACCTAAAGATACGTAACGGAAGGCACCCAGCAGTCTCCTTTAGGAGAGCATTCCACAATGGGAGACACTGCAGAAAAGGTCCTTTTCCCATGTTGCCACCCTCTGGACCTCTTCTGGAGGATACACATGGAGTAGGGCCTCAGATGATGATCACAGGGTCTCGGCTGGTTCACATGGGAAGAGGTAGTCCTTGGGGCGCAGTGGAACCTTGGGTTACGTACCATCCTCCTGACGAACGCTTCGGGTGAGGAGCTCCCCTAAGTAGATGCTCCTGGTTGCAAACTTTGCCGCGGGATGCGAGGTGAAGTCGCGTGGCGGCAGCGGGAGGTCCCATTAGCGAAAGCTCGCCTAATGTTAAGAACGGTTTCCGGTTACAAACGGGCCTACGGAACGAATTAAGTTTGTAACCGGAGGTACCAGTGTATTGTGGTCCTAATCTATTTATGTCTTTATAGGCCCATCAGCCCCAGCCAGCGTGGCCAATGATCAGGGAAGATGGGGATTGCAGTCCAGAAAAAGTGGAGGGCACCACATTGTCTACTTCTGGTGTCTTGTTTCAGCAAATGCAAATAATAAGTTTGGCCTTAAATGTGAATTGTATAAAATTTCTGTCCTATCCCTAGTTAGAGAACAGTATGGTCAGGAAAATGACTTGTAATTAAATGTTAGAACAGAACAGTTAGATTGAGGAGTATGGAGATGCAATGTAAAACTTAAAGAAATGAAGGAGGAACTGTGAAATGAGATTTAGTGGGCTTCTAAGAAAAACAGTTAAAACAATTTCCTGTATTAGGAATAGGAATTGAAACTGCTTACAGAATAAATTCCACATTTGCAGTCTATAAATAAAACCAAACCTCTGCTGTGATGTATTTATTAACTTTATTAGTTTACGAGTTAAGAAAGCTATTCAAAATAAAATATGACCTATTTGAATACTGCTGGTAACGAAGTTCCAGTTCTCTTAGACTTGCACCAGGAGATGTCAAAAAAGAAGAAAAGCTTGAGATTTTAAACAATTTGTCTATAACAAAAAAAGGAATGTATTGCTACTGGGATACCACTTTTAAATTAAATGTTTGGGTGGGTGGGAATAGGTAATTGTCCAGTCAGCTGATTCCACCAAGCAACTTCTTGAAATTAGAAAGGACACACTGTCTCGTTCTTCAGGAGGAGTTAAGTGGCATTTATCTTGGTGAGTGGGAAACCACCAAATATATTTGTTTAACCCTAAAGCTGAAAGCTTTCTACAGTGGTACCTTAGGTTACATACACTTCAGGTTACATACGCTTCAGATTACAGACTCTGCTAACCCAGAAATAGTACCTCAGGTTAAGAACGTTGCTTCAGGATGAGAACAGAAATCGTGCTCCAGAGGCGTGGCAGCAGCGGGAGGCCCCATTAGCTAAAGTGGTGCTTCAGGTTAAGAAGAGTTTCAGGTTAAGAACGGACCTCCAGAACGAATTAAGTACTTAACCCGAGGTACCACTGTATTTCTATTTTCTATTTTATTCTATTTCTTAAGAAATGAATAAACTGCTGTTGCTGGAAACCTCAAGCGGTGGTTTCCCAAGGGCATCTGACTGGCCCTTGGATGAGTCCCTCATCTAAGAACAGGATGAGGAACTAGACCCACCATTGGTCTGATCCAGCAGGCTTTTCTAATGTAAAATCATATATTTAAATGTAGAAGGATTGAATCGTCCTATTAAAAGAAAGAAATCAGCACAACTGTTGAAAAAAAGGACAAAAGCGAGCCTAACTTTACTTCAAGAAACACATCTAGACAACCTGACAGCCTTCTCCTCCCAAATGATAAATCGTGCTATGTGGGCAGGAAAATCCAGTATCTCCTAAACCTATTGCAGTTTTAAGCAGAAGTCAGGAAAATTGTTTTGGAGAAAGTAACATTATTCAACTATGCATAAGTATCTCTTCATCTTTTCCCCAGCAAGGCTGAACTGAAATGATGGGCTGGATCACTCATAAATGGCTGTGACTGAATCTTGGGCATCTGATTCTTCTTTGCCAACTCCTGACAGATTTCTATTTCCATTAGCATCATGATTTTTAGAAGGAAGTGTGTCTATGCTGCACAGGACTTTTATAGTATGAAAAAGCCCACAAGGGAGGAAAAGGAGAAGGAACAGTCCTTGCCTCATATAGGAGAAGATTGCCTCAGGTTGAGAAACTGTAAAACTCTGCCTTTAGTGGATCTTAAATCCTTACTGTTGGGGGAGGGAGACATCACCTCCAACATTTAGCTGATGAAAATAGGGACATAACAATAATTTTATTATTTATTCCCCACCCATCTCACTGGGTTGCCCCAGCCACTCTAGGCATCTTTCAACATATTTTAATAGCAAACATTTTTTTTAAAAAAACTTCCCTATACAGGGCTGTCTTCTAAGGCTGCATAGTTCTTTATCTCCTTGGCTCGGGGCCACATAAGTCCATTCCCTCCGACGACAAGAGGGGCGCCCAGTGGCAAAGAGCGTGTGCTGTGAGCCCGGAAGCCCTGAGTGCAAAGGTCACCTCAGCTGGATGTGCAAAGCGGAGGTAGGGCTGGTCAGTACAAGCACAGGCAGGAGGGGAATCTGCAGAGGCACCGTCTGTTTCTTCTTCTTCTTAAGATCTTAGGAAAGTGAAATTCAGAAACAGGAAGGCATCGCTGTAGCTGGAAGGGGAGGAGTCGCTCTCGCAAAGCACACCATGCCCAAGCCGACCTGCACAGAGAGGGCTCTGTTTAGAAAGCTGCTTGGCTTCGCCTCAGAGAGCCGGTTGGTATTACATCACCTCAGGCCCATTTCAGTTATTAGTTGAGTGCAGACACTTCCTGGTCTGTTTGCAACACACACCGAAGGGCTTTGCAGAGCGGGCCTGAGGAGCATCGCCTGCCCCTTCCAGGCTGCAGCAGCTTGGCCATGGCCCTGGTGGAGACCATCCGCCTCTGGAGCGAGGGTGTCTCTGCGGCAGATCGCAAGGACTGGGCCGGCGCCCTGGCCGCCTTCACTGCCGTTCAGAAGCCTTCTTCCAAAATCTGCTTTAACATCGGCTGCATCCACCTGATCATGGGGAATTTGGAGGAGGCCCAGCAGGTAAAGTGGACAAGTCTTAATATTGTGCAGGGTTTCTTTAAAAAACCCTAACTAACTGGTGGGTGGCTGCTGTAGCTGAGGACGTACTGAAAGAAGTTTCAGGGAGAGGGATTTGCACAAAGCCAGCAGAGAACAAAGTAAAGTTTCACATTTTTTATTACAGCAGTTTGAGTTGCAGATGATTTAACTGGCAAGTGACGATTTTCTGTGCTAAAAACAGCTGGGTATTCTTCTCCATAATTACACCAAATAAGAATTTAGGATTGTACTGGTTTTGGCTGTAGGTTTTTCAAAACAAACGAGCAAATAAACAAACCTCCTCTGCATGTAGTAAGCTAGCAGATCAGGGGCGAAGGTTTAGTGTAGCTGTCTCCTTGATTTGTTAATTTTCTACTCGCAGGGATGGGTGACCTGGGGCTAGTCATTTTATCTCAGCCTAACCTATGTCACAGGGTTGTTGCAAAAACTAAATCGTGGGAGGTGGTGGTAAAGATAGAATCCTGTACACTTTGAGCAAAGGGCACAATATAAATATAATTATAATTATTATGATGCATATTAATTATGAAACACTACATTGTGATATGAACAGTGAAAGAGTACTATATAAAGATGATTGATTAAATATTATATTATTATGAGCCAAACTGTTACACCATTCAGCCACTTTGCCAGAAGTTCCTAGAACTAGCGACAGGCTCAGACCCAGCATGGTGGTCAGAGGAATTGTACAGGGCCAGTGAAACCAGAAAAGCTGCAGTTGTAAAGTTCACCAATTGTTCAGAAGCTGAAGAGTGGAGCAGTGTGTAATAATAGCCTTGCACCCACCAGCCAGTGCTGTAGAAGTGAGCTGCAGTAGATATTTCAAATCTAATAGTGAAATAGGAAATTGCATAAAAGGGTGTACATTGCAGGGTCATGTCACAGGTTTGACTCAGGATGACTGGCTAGTTCAGGTCATCAGTGCATTTTTGAACTGCCTACCCAAACACAGCCAACACTCTTGCAGAGTTGCTTGGTTTTTGATTTCCAAAGCAATCCTGCCCTGCTGGGGGCAGCCAGGGGGCAGAGCAATAACAGGGAGAGCTAGAAACTTGAGGGTCCCGGTGGAACCTGGCAGGCTGTGAGTAGAGGCTGCAGGTCACTGATCTTGCCGGCTCCAGTGTTGGAATCCCGTCGGGAACACTTTGTGTGACAGAAATCATGCCTATGTCTCCATAACGTCTGCTTCCTTCAGGCTCTTACCAGAAGCATTAACAATGACAAACACTTAGCAGTGGCCTACTTCCACCGAGGATCTGTGGCGTACCAGATGGAAATGTGAGTTATTATTATTATTTTTTATCCTGGCTCTTCCTCTCAAAGGAGCCCTGGGCAGCAAAAATCAAAGCAGAAGCAAAGCGAAAGAAACCAAATACAGTTAAAAACAAAAACATTTTAATAGTTAAAAAAAAATTAAAACTAGGGGATGGTGACTCTGCTTGCTGCACTCACCAACCTCACCTGCCCCATTGCCAACTGCCCTTCCCCCACAAATGACCAAATCTCCCTCACAGCTCAGCCCCAACTCCCAGCTCCGTCTACCTTTAAAGCTCGCTGCGGGTGTGTTCAGTGGAGGGGGTGCCCTTCACAGTACCTGCCTCCTCAGTTCACACCTCACCTGGTCTGCTTGCTCCCTGGCTGCAGTTCCTCATGCTGGAGTTATTGTGACCACCGACTGGCAGCCACATGAACTGCCGCACGACAACAGCCTTACCCAGGAGTCGGCAAAATGTTTTAGCCGTGCGCTGGTCCACTGTCCCTCAGACCTTGTGGCGGGCTATGGAAGCAGCATCGGGGGGCGGGGGGGGGAGCTGGAAGAAGAGGCAAGGGGGCAAGTAGTCCCCCCCAGCCGCTGCGCTTACCTTCCCAGGCGCTGCCACCACCACTGCTTCTGCTGCTCATGGGTAGGCAGAGGGAGCTCGTCCGCTCCGCTCTCTGGCCCACAGAAGCACCAGGGCGGCAGCGGTGGAGGGAAGATGAGCGGTGCGAAAGGGCTGGCTCCGGAGAGGGGCTGCTTAAAATGGTGCTCAGCCCAGCCCCCTTCCTCCTCTAGGCAGGGCGGGGAGAAGCCAGGAGGAGGGAGGGAGGAGGTGCCGCCATGGTGTGTAAATGGCGCAGGAAAAAAAGGTGCAGCCTGATTGAACAGAATCCCCACACCGATCCACAGACAGTCTGCGGGCCAGATCCTGAAGGCAATTGGACCAGATCCGGCCCGTGGGCCTTAGTTTGCTGACCCTTGGCATTACCCTTTTGTGTACATAGGAAGACATAATGTAATATAATATCCTACAAGAGAGCTTTCCAAATTGGGTGTTGCGACACATTAGTGTGTCGACTGCAGTGTGTAGGTGTGTCGCATGAACGCTCCCCACGCTCCTCACAGGGCTAGAAAGGGGTTAGTTTAACCTCCAGTTTGCTAGTAAAACTGAATTACTGTTTTGCAAAATGATCCATATTTAAAAAGTGTGTCACCAACATGAAAAGTTTGGAAAGCTCTGCCCTACAAGGTTAATGGGACAGTTTATGGTTTGTTTTTTTACATATCATCTTTATTAAATTTTCTTTTTAATATACATCATAATTGCCATTTTCCATCCAAAATATACATAAACCAATAAAAAATACTTGAGTGTTAGAAATTACATGAATTTATATAATAAAGTAAGTTACTAAGACTTCCCTCCCCACAAACATGATGTTCATCAGTTCAGACAGTTCCCGCTAGTCACATCCACGCCATACATTTAAAGCACTCTTAGACCATCTAAACAGTCATGGCTTCTACCAAAGTATCCTGGGAATTGCAGTTTGTTAAGGATGGTGACCTTTGGAGCTATAATTCCCAGCACCCTTGGCAAACTACCGTTCCCAGAATTCTCCATGACTCTTAAAGTGATATAATAATAAAAATAAATGGGTTGCAATAACCCAAAATCTGGACCAAGAGAACCTGCATAAATTATGTGACTCAGACACATTTGCCTATATATTCTTATTTTGTGTAATTTATTCTGTTCCCTGTCAGATTTACATAAATTCTACTTTATATGAATAGATAAATAATAATAATAATACTTATGTAGTAGAAGTAGTAGTAGTAGTAGTAATAATTTAGTGCCATTGATGTACATGGTGACTTACAAAGTATGGAAGGGAAGATCTCCCCTTAGGAATTTATAATCTAAAATTTGACACAAGGAAAAGAACAGCAGAAGAGGAAGGAGGCTGGAGAATAAATATAATTATTTCAGTTATTTGTAGTTGCCAGACATTGCTCAAACGCTTTTAAATCTGCCTTCCCTTCTGTGAGGGCTAGAAACTTCCTGTGACTTTTTAAAGAAAAAATGGGAGTGGGAGTGGGGAGGAAGAAAACTTAGATTCTCGCTTTTGTGATTGGTTCTAAGCTCTGAGTTTTCTGTGCTTGCATGAAGTTGGTGAAGACTCACACAGTTACATTTGACAGATTTCCTGGCAGTGCTCTCAGTTCCTGAGGATGGCTCCAAAATGCAAGAAAGTGGATCAAAGACAGCTGTAGAGAAAAACCCTGGAAGAAAAAAGAGAGAGCTGTATAACTAGAAATGGTTCCCAACATGTTTCAATGAAGCTCTTTATCAAGGGAAATCTGTAACATACAAACCAAAACAAAATTATGCACTATAAAAAGATGCTAAGTTACATACTCTGAAAAGACAGCAGCCCAGAATACAAAACCATACCCAGAAAATTCAGAGGCATACAGCTTCAGCACTATATTGTGTCGTTGTTTAAATATTAACTATATACAAAAAATTGATTCATAAAAACCTTTAATACTCAATATCACAATCACAGAAAAACTGTAACTTGCAAAAAGACATAGAAACCTCCTTTAGAGCACGCCCTACGATGTGAATAAAAAACAATTGTCTTCGAATGGACGAAAGCACTTCTGAGGATCGTCAAAATATCCTGCCATTTTGTTTGCCCCAGAAGTACTTACTCTCCTTCCTTGCTTTCCAGGTATGAGTCAGCCATTAATGACTTGAAAGAGGCATTTGCTCAGCTGCGAGGGAACAACCTAATAGACTACAAGATCCTAGGCCTGCAGTTTAGGTTGTTTGCCTGTGAGGTAAGTTTGGGGTTTGAGGAATACCACGGGAAGCAGCCAACTGGCTCAGTGGACGATGCCTCAATTTTAGCATATTGCCATCTAAGCTTACTTGCTTTTTAAATCAGTTATTTTATTTGTGTCTTGCCTTCTTCCAATGAGCTCAACCCTGCGAGGGTCCCAGCCCAAAGACAAGCGTTTGGAAGCTTATTTCTTCACTGGCAAAGCACTAGGTCACATCCGCTCCCAAAGGCTCTCACACACAACCTGCCATCTAGCTGCTTAGGCAATCCGCCTCTACAGCCCTGTGCTCTGATCCAGACAATTGGAGCAACAGCGTGACAACACCCCTTTCAGCTTACTTAAATGGACTTTTCTGCTGCGGTGCGCTCAAGCACACGACAACAACTCCTGAGCGGCAGCTCTAGTTACCCCTTCTTTGTGCATGGAGACAGCAGAGGGGAGGATGGGGAGAGATTTCAAAGGCGTGATTCTCTGTGACCAACTTCCGCCACTGAGACTCCCTCACACCTCCTTTCCCCTCATTTCTGGCTACCCTGTCTCTCCCCCTTGACTCTCCTCTACCACTGCCCCTGGCACCTGCTTCACAGGTGGCTCAGAACCCCACAAATTGCTCATCTCTTCCCCTGGATCATGCCTCCTCTGCCTGCACATCCCCCCACTCCTCAGGCTCTTGCCCATCCCTGACATTGAGGCAGGTAACCGTGAGTGAAAGTCCATTAGTCCAGGCTCTGGACCGGTGTTGTATTCGACAAATACTGTTCTCACTCTGGGTGAGAGACCACCCCAAAGGCATCTTGTTAGCTTCAGGAATTTGAACCCAGGTCCTCTCAGCAGTCTACCTGCTGCTCCATCCAAGGAAATGTGATTAGGTTCAGACTGTTATTCTCTGGCACTCCTGCCCCTTTTCCCAACAGGTGTTATACAACACAGCCCTTGCCCATTCCAAGCTGGAGGACTGGAAGAAGGCAGAGGAGCATCTGGCTAGGGCAATGAAACTGAAGAGCGAACCCCGTCACAACAAAATCGACAGGGCCATGGAATCCATCCTGGTAAGAAAATGAAGGAAACGGCAATCAATTAGCCTAGGCTCAAAATACAAAGGCTTTGTAACTTTAGAGGTGGTGCATTGGTGACCGTTCTATTTAAGAATGTAGCAATGCATCGCTTTGCTCTGGAGATCAAGAAACAGCTTCTGAAACTTGCATTTGAACCCTGAGACCTGGCAATCCCATCAAGATATGTATATGCACATTGTTGGGGGAAATAGGTGTGCAGAAGTGAGGAAAAGCTGTATTTTGAATTTTGTCTACTGTACTATTGTTTAAAGTTGCATAGGAATCCAGTCTTCCTTTGTATTTGGTTGTTAGAATAATGACTATAACAGTGTTCCTCAATCTAGTACCTTCCAGATTTTGCAGTAACTCCTACTGCCATCAGCTTCAGCCAGCATGGGCAATTGTCAGGGAAGATGAAAATTGTAGTTCAACCACATCTGGAGAGCACCAGGTTGGGGAAGGCTGGGCTGTGGTATGGCCCTCATTATCCTATGTGTAACAAGCATGGTACACAAATATCGGACAACGCATGTTGGATTATTATGCCAATTTTTTAGCAGATAGCCTTGGAAAATGGTGAAGTGATTGACTTTTGTGTGTGTGTGTTGCAGAAGCAAAGATTCTTTCAGCCCTTTGTGATTCCTGAAGGGAAGTTGTTTCGGCCAAATGAGAAGCAAGTGGCACAGCTGGAGAAGAAAGATTACTTAGGGAAATCTATGGTAGGAAGTTAATCTATGGCAGAAGTGGAATTACCCAGCAAATTTCACTTGTATTCCTAAAAGGTCATTCATGATAGACAGTAATAGAGTTGCAGCTGTCTAGAAAAACACAACCCGGCCTGCTCTGGTACCTTTAACCCTAGTTTGATATGCAGCAAGTGAAGCTTCTCGTAGCATGGAGAGAGCCACAACCAAGTCCCTGTGAAAGAAACAGCTACAGAGGCTGCCTGAAACGTCAGCAACTAACTGGCGCCATAATTTTATAATACAATATTTTTAAAAAGCACACCACAATAATAAAAAATAACACTTTCAGATAAGAATCCTCCTTTTACTATTCAATTCAAAGAGCGTGTGTAAGTTTTAAAATTATGATTTTATTGTGTTGTTCAAATAAGCAGACCTCCACTTGCCCCATGGGATTTCCCTCACCTCTCCTTCCTGATAGTGTCCAGATCAAGGTACGTAATTGCACCTCTCTATTGTGCCTTGCTCAGGCCACACCTGAAGTTCTGTGCCAGTTCTGGGCACCACAAATCAAGGAGGATATTGGCAAGCTGGAATGTGTGCAGAGGAGGGCAACCAAGATGATTAAGGGTTTGGAAACCAAACCTTATGAGGAACAGCTGAGGAAGCTGGGTATGTTTAGCCTGGAAAAGAGGAAACTGAGAGGAGATATAAAAGCCGCCTTCAAATATCTCAAGGGCTGTCATATGGAGGATGGAGCAGGCTTGTTTTCTCCTGCTGTGGAGGTTAGGCCCCAACCAATGGCTTCAAGATACAAGAAAGAAGATTCCGACTAAGAACTTTCTAACAGTAAGAGCTGTTTGACTGTGGAACAGACTCCCTCAGAAGGTGGTGGACTCTCCTTCACTGGAAGTTTTTAAGCAGAGGTTGGGTGACTATCTGGCATAGATGCTTTAGTTGAAATTCCTGCATTGCAGGGGGTTGAACTAGATGACCCTCAGGGTCCCTTCCAACCCTACAATTCTATGAATTCAGCTTATTGGCAAGGAATGCCAGGATCAAATAAAACTTCAGTGAGTCCCTAACAAAGGAGAGAAATAGAGAACCCTGCCAATAATTACTTTTATCTATATAGTGCTGAAGATGTGGCACTCAGGAGGTTAATATGAGCAGCCTAGCAGAAACCTAGATTAAGAGAGCATAAACCACTTGACATTACCAGTGTGAATAAAGCTACTAATCATGTTCCTCCTTCTAACTCCAGGTTGTGGCTTCTGTGGTTGACAATGATGAGTTTTCAGGCTTTGCGCCTCTTCAGCCTCAGGTAAGACAGAGGACTTTCCTATGACAGAACATTTTGATGAACTTCCCCCCAAACCAGCTTCAATCTGAATTGAGAAAAAGAATGGCCTGGCTGTGATTTAAGCTGTAATGTATCCTCAGTCTTGCCGTCAATGAACTGGAGGCAGCAGCACTGGAAAAGATCCCTGATCACGTTTTCAGGCAGAGAGGCAGGCAGCGCAGGCCACACACACTCCAGCAAGCATTGGGTGTGTGCCTGTGTTGCTCAGCTGGGCTGCTCTGTGGTGCATGCAAGCATGAAAGTGGTTGCCAGGCAGAGTAGTAAGTGTCAATGCACCACCTAAACCACTAGCCTGCTGCCCTTGAGATGCAGTGGGAGGTGCCATCCTGCTGCCAGTGTTGAAGTAAGATTCAGCTGCCAGTCCAGCCAGCTTCTGTACAAGGAATGGGAGGATGCCATCTTGCCTCTTGCCTCAGGCAGCAGAACGTCTTGGGCTGGCCTTGGTAGCCATGACAAGACTCCCAACCCCACTCTAGTCTGAAACACTTGCATCTCTCTTCAGGCCAGATAGATTCTGAACACAGGGCCTGACTTCAAAGTTAACTGCAGTATAGAGGAGAGGTTAATGCTAAAATATGTTGCTTGCAGACATCAGAACCACCTCCCAGACCAAAATCACCAGAAGCCCTCAGGTAAGATCAATAAACTGCAGAGAACCCCAGCATTCAGTAGCTCCCATTGGTCTAGAAAGTGATTCGTAGGAGATTCTGCTCTCCTATGACTAGATAAGGAATAGAGAAATAAACCCAAAAATCTGTTTAGAACTGAGTACAGCACCATGAAGTCTGGATGTCTTCATTATGAGGATATGGGTGGTATCTGACAAAATATTTTTGTTAGCACAAGGATTTCCACTTCTGCAATGGAACTTCCTTTCCCTCTCCTCTTCCTGTGTGTCCCCCACACCCTCCCCAACTCTGCTCCAGAGGGTGGATTGAACCACCATAATCAGTTTAGGGGGCACATGGGAGATGCATGGGGAGAAAAGAGGGAGGGGAAGTTCTGTTGCACAGCCAAAGGTTATTGTTCTCAGACAACTACTTGATTGGATACTGACCTATGAACCTACACCATCTTAACAGAAACACATTTTATCCCCCCACCATTTTTTGCTTCATTAGGAAAAAAAAGGAAATAAAACATTTCAAACACGTAGTGATATGAAATACAACTTTTGAAATACAATAGTCTGTGCTTGGGATGTTTGCACAAACTATTCCACTTAGGATTTGCTGTTTAATACAGGCTGTTTCAACAATATAAATAGGTGACCTCTGGGCACATGTGCATAATAAAAGAAAGCAGCCACCGGACTATTTCCCCACACATCTAGCTCACTGGTGGGATGGTTTTTGCACTCATTCCATTGCGTTCCCAGTGACTTGGATGTGCACTAAAGCAATCAGTTGATGATGATGATGATGAAACTGTCAGCTGATTTGTCATGCAGGGCCCTGCAAGGAGAACCTCACAGAGTCCTGTACGAATTCATACCAGAAACAGCAGCGGAACTTGAAGTCCTTCCTGGAAACATTGTTTTTGTCTTGAAGAAAGCGAAAGACAACTGGGCTACTGTTGTCTTTAATGGGAAGGTATAAGGCCAGCAAGGGTAATTCTACAGAGAACACCTGCACTGTTGTTCCACTGGCATGAACTGTTGGTACCATTTTGGGGTTGCATTCTAGTTGTCTTGAACTAAACAGTAGATAGCGGTCTACTCAGGATTTACTGCAGGGGGTGAAAAACCACATGTGCACTAGGTGGCACTGTTGAGCTACATCAGATATAGGGGCTCAGCACAGTGACACGTAGTCTAAAGTGCTTGAAGTTCAGAATGTGCTGTGGGCTTGAGTTCTGATGTGGACTAATTCTTCTGAGACAGAATAGTACCATCCCATAGGGTTGTCTCCTGCCCAGCTCTGCTCCTGGACCCCATGTAAAGGAGACATACCTTATTGGATCCAATATATGGTAGCATAGTTGCAGGTGGGTTTGCATGTTCATATTTGGGCTGTTTTCTGCTGTACAGTACAACAGTTGATAAAGGGTCTGGAAACCAAGCCTTATGAGGAACAGTTGAGAGAACTGGGTATGTTTAGCCCGCTAAAGGTAATTGAGAGAGCGGTTGCTGAACAGCTTGGTAGGTTTCTGGAGGAAACATCGGCTTTAGATCCATTTCAGTCCGGTTTCCGTCCTGGTTTTGGGACCGAGACGGCTCTGGTTGCCCTAACAGACGATCTCCGTAGACAGCTGGATCAAGGTGGGTCAGGACTGGTGATCCTTTTAGATTTGTCAGCAGCCTTTGACATGGTCGATCATGATCTTCTGGACCACCGCCTCGCAGACGTGGGGATACAGGGCATAGCCCGTAACTGGCTGTGCTCTTTTATCTCTGGTCGGGGACAGAGGGTGGCACTAGGGAGGGAAATGTCGTCGCGCCATTCCTTGGTGTGTGGAGTGCCGCAGGGCGCAATTCTCTCCCCAATGCTTTTTAACATCTTTATGCGCCCCCTTGCCCAGATTATCCGGAGCTTTGGGCTGGGCTGTCACCAATATGCTGATGACACTCAGCTCTATCTGCTGATGGATGGCCACACCGACTCGGCCCCGAACACACTGACCAGATGCTTGGAAGCTGTGGCTGGATGGTTTCGTGGGAGCCGATTGAAACTAAATCCTTTGAAGACAGAGGTCCTATGGCTGGGTCGGGATGGCATGGGGATGAGGGACCAACTCCCTTCTCTTGCGGGGCCCAATTAGTGCCATTGCCTTCCGTTAAGAGTTTGGGTGTAATCCTTGATGCCTCCCTTTCCATGGAGGCGCAAGTTACAGCAACAGCCAAGGCGACATTTTTCCACCTTCGCCGCATCAAGCAGTTGGTCCCTTACCTTTCCCGCCCCGACCTGGCCACAGTGATCCATGCGACGGTCATCTCCAGGCTTGACTACTGTAATTCGCTCTACGCGGGGCTGCCCTTGAAGCTGACCCAGAAACTCCAGGGGGTGCAGAATGCTGCAGCGAGGCTGCTCATGGGGTCCCTGCCATGGGAGCATATTCACCCAGTGCTTTTCCAGCTGCACTGGCTCCTGGTGGAGTACAAGGTCAGATTTAAGGTGCTGCTTTTGACCTTTAAAGCCCTTCACGGCCTAGGACCCTCGTACCTATGGGACCGCCTCTCCCGGTCTGCCCCACGGAGAGCCTCAAGGTCCATAAATAGCAACACCCTAGTGGTCCTGGGCCCTAAGGAAGTTAAATTAGCTTCAACTAGAGCCAGGGCCTTTTCAACACTGGCCCCAGCCTGGTGGAACGCTCTGCCTCATGAGACCAGGGCCCCCGCAGGGCCTGTAAGACAGAGTTGTTCCGCCTGGCCTTTGGCTTGGAGCCAATTTGATTCCCTCCCTCTCTTTCTTTTTTCTTTTCCTTCTCCCTCTGCGATGAGGCTACATTTTAATATTTTAATGTTTCAATATTTTAATGTTGTATTTTTTAATTTTGTTTTTAAGTTGTAATCATTTAACTTGTTTTTATTATTGCTTGTAAGCCGCTCTGAGCCCGGCCTTGGCTGGGGAGGGCAGGGTATAAATAAAAATTATTATTATTATTATTATTATTAAAGAGACCAAGCGGAGATATGATAGCCATAATATCTGAAGGGCTGTCACATGAAAGATGGAGCAAGCTTGTTTTCTCTTGCTCCAGAGGCTAGGACCTGAATCAATGGATTTAAGTTACAAGAAAGGTGATTCCAACTAAACATCAGGAAGAGCTGTTCAACAGTGGAACAGACTGTCATGAGAGGTGGTGGACTCTCCTTCCTTGGAGGTTTTTAAGCAGAGGTGGAATGGTCATCTGTCATGGATGCTTTAGTTGAGATTTCTGAATCTAGATGTCCCTCAGGATCTCTTCCAACTATACAATTCTTTGATTCCCCACAGCAGGGAAGCACTACACAAAAATTAGGTAAAATATCAGAAGGGAGTATGAGAAGTTGCCCTGAGATGAAAGAAACTGAGACCCCCCCCCCAGCCACCTCTCAGCACCTGCAGGCAACTTTTCAAGTAAAGCGACCTGCTTAGGCCTGATGGAGTGAATCAGTGAAGTTAAAATGCTGCCGTTCAAAATCTGGAGATTAGAATCTGGAGGGGTGACAGAGCCCCCTGTGTGCAGTCTTGGAGTCTTTTCTTTGCCCACAATGTACAACTCTGACACCATCCTGCCTCCTAGCAATATCTTGGTTTTGCTTTTCATACAGCAAGGGATCATACCCTGCAACTTCCTAGAGCCAATGGGAATGAAATTCTCTTCAGGCCAGGTAAGAGAATAAATATTAATTCTTAGGGCAAAACTTGACATGATAATTTATACAAGGCTGCTTGCCAAAAATGGGAGTGTGTGTTTGGTTCCCCTCTCCCCTCCGTAACCCTGGCCCTATTCAGCCATGGACCAACATCACCAACATTCTGTGTTTCCCTGGCAAGGATGTCAGGTCGGGAAATGGCTACTCTTGTAACATTAGTGGATGGGTAAGGTGTCTTGAATATTATGGATGAAGATGCACACCACTCATTTCCACTTAGCCTATGTCTATTTCCACTTTTGCTGTTACAACCAGGACACTTTGCTTTACGGTCCATATATTATTTGGTCTAGTCTCTTGTTATTATTCTGGATAGAAAAGTAAGTCTGGGAATATAGACATTTAATTTCACATTTATAAAACAACCTATACATCTTAAATTATAAAACACTAAAGAAATAAGGCAAACATACAAAATCATCACAGGAGCAAATATAAAGTACAGTGGTGCCCCGCAAGATGAATGCCTCGCAAGACGGAAAACCCGCTAGACGAAAGGGTTTTCCGTTTTTTGATGCGCTTCGCAGGACGAATTTCCCTATGGGCTTGCTTCGCAAGACAAAAATGTCTTGCGAGTCTTGAGGTTTTTTTCGCTTTCCCCCCCTTTTTCTAAGCCACTAAGCCGCTAATAGCCTTTTAGCCGCTAAGCCGCTAAGCCTTTAATAGCCGCTAAACCGCTAATAGCGCTAAGCCGCTAAGCCGCTAATAGGGTTGCTTCGCAAGACGAGAAAACCGCTAGACGAAGAGACTCGCGGAACGGATTAATTTCGTCTTGCGAGGCACCACTGTACAAGGAACAGATAATCCTGGATAATGCTACAGAGGAAATATTCTGAATTGTCAATAATAAGACCATTATATTTAATATTTTTCTTTCCCTGTTTGTAAAACCCACAGGCAAAGGAAAGCATCTGGAAAGATAATAACTTGCCCAGGAACAGCTGAGATTTGAACTCAGCCCCCCCACAGTGAGGGTCAAATGATCGCCTTCTCACATGGTCTCTTTTTGAAGGAATGGCATGAGTACAATGTGTGTGACTGGATTATGCATGTAAAAGTTCTTCTCAGAACCCAATAGGCAGGATCTAATATAAGCTCATTTGCAGGCTCCTGGAATAGTTAACTGGATAACTTGTTGGTGAACGATTAGGCAAGGTTTCAAGTTTAAAACTCTTCCATCAAGTTAAACACTTTCTGTCTGTGGAATATTAGAGAGTTACTCCAAATCTTGCCTGTTCTTTCGCTTCCAACAAAGAGGGGCTGCCTTGCATATTTTGCATTGCTTATTTCTGCGATGCATGACAGTCATGCTTGTTTCCATTTCATACAGCAAGGAATTGGTGCAGATGTTGACATCCCTCCTCCACCCAGCTTTGCTGCCCCAGATTGCCCTGAGAGGTGTCCCTCAGGTGAGTAAGAGTGACAGACAGTGAATCCTTTCTAAGGTCCAATGCATATATGACAGTAGCTCTACTTGGCATGCTGCAGAAGTATAAGGACTACACAGAAAGAGGGGAAGCAGGGACAAATGTACTAAGCCCTTCCCTCTCTCCCCGTCACTTTGCCCATCACTCTTTATGAGTTGGAGTGAAAGTGAAGTTTCTGAAGTGGGGAGCCTTCTCTGCATGATTTAGAACACCAATTTTGTATGGTTCTAAATCACGCTGAGAGCAACAGCCAATGCCTGTGTACCACCCAAGAACATTTTTTTGGTTATTCCCTGCTCACAAAACTGCTCTTCTTTTTCTTCCAGATGAGGAAAGAGCACCACAGGTAAATGACCACCTTGCAGTGTGAGCTTCTGGACATGGGACACAAGCCTAAGACTTTGTGTGATGTATTGACGCATAACTGAACCAAAACAAATTGAGGCAGGGCTGGGGCTGGGAAGTTCTCACACTCTGCATTTGAACATGGCCAACTGGAAACCTAAGGGCCCCAGAGTTTTGATTTCAGTTTTGATAGTTCAGTGTCCACATGTAATAAATAACAACAACAACAACAACAACAACAATAAATTATATGCCACCCATCTGACTGGGTTGCTCAGCCATTCTGGGCATTTCCAACAAATTATAAAGCCATCATAAAATATCAAAAGTAAAAAACCCCCTATACAAGGCTGCCTTCAGATGTCTTCAAAAAATCAGATAGTTGTTTACTTGTTTGACATCTGATGGGAGGACATTCCAGAGGGCAGGCGCCACTACTGAGAAGGCCCTCTTGCCTGGTTCCTGTAACCACACTTCTTGCAATGAAGGCCCTTGGAGCTGGACCTCAGTGTCCGGGTTGAACCATGGGGGTAGAGACACTCCTTCAGGTATACTGGGCCGAAGCTTTTGTATTGATAAACAAATGGCATACAAAGAAATAGCTCTTGCGGTTACCCTTGGTTTTGTAGCCCAGCCACTCATCCTTTAACCATGCCAATTTTCCTTGAAGTCAAAATTTAAAATAAAAACCTTAGGGATTACCAGTCAACTAACTTTGATTTCACTGATGTTCGAGATCCATTTAAGTTGGCTTTCAAGCCTGATTTGCCATCCTGTGGGATGATCTTTGCCATGAGAGTGGGAAAGGCAATCCTGTTGATTCTCTCGGACCTCTCCATGGCTTGTCATACCAGGATATCCCTTTGGACTGTAATATTCATGTTGGAGGCAACTTTCTGCAGTGGTTCTGCTCCTTGGAGGACCAGCTACAGAAGGTATAGCTGTGGGCTTGGTGATCAACAAGTCCCTCCCTTTCCCCATCCAGTAATTATGCTTTGGGGTCCTACAGGGTTCTGTTCTATCACCCATGCCCTTTAACAGCTACCTGAAACCACTGGAAGAGGTAATCCAGAGTTCGACTGAGATGTCACCAAGATGCGAGTGACACCAAGTGTTCTCTCTCTTTCATCAAGCTCAGGTGTGGCACAGGGTGTGCTAAATCAGTACCTAGGCACAGTGACGGACTGGTTGAGGCTCACTAAACTGTGGCTCAGCCCAGACTAGATGGATGTTTGTGGGTGGTATTCAATTTGTTCTAATGGGGTTTGTTACTCCCCCAGCCCCCAAAAGCAAGGATAGGGAGCCTGTGCTCCTCCAGATGTTGCTGGGACTACAGTTACCATTACCCCTGACTGAGGCTGAAGGGATTTGCGGGGGTCGTAGGTTCTCCAGTCTTGCAGTAAAGGGTCATGTTTGCCACCCAGAGGTGCTTTTTAACCCAGCAGTGTGATTAGAAGCCCCAGTGACCTCTGAACACATTTTAGCAGCTTAGACTGATATGCGACCTACCTGGACAGAGAGAGTCTTGTTTCCATTATCCATGTTCTGGTGATCTTTGCTGTGTGTCTATGAGGCAGAAGGCCTTTTTGGTAGGAACACACTGACTGTGAGATACTCCTCTGGTGCCTACTTCCTGGTTTTTTGGGCAGAGGTGAGAAGCTTTTTGCTTTTACTGGCCCTTAGTTATACTGATTTTGCTACTTCCTTTTTTAGTCTTTGCTTTTATGGGCTATCATTGTAATAGCATGAGCTCCCCATAGAATTTTGCAATTGGATGGTGTTGTAAAGATTGTAAATAAATAACAAGTTGCCTCTGAGCATATACAAACTTTAGATTTTTAAAGGACAAGGATTCCATCTCATGGCAGAGTTCCCAGTACATCACCATTTGCTTCAGAAATTAAGCACTCTTTCCCTTCTGCTGAACAGGATCCTGAGAACACATTTCAACTTATTTTTGAAAAATTAAAAGACCATGGCACTCCTGTGCCATTTCCCTCCTCCTACAGTTCATTGGCCTGGACACCCCCTACATTGTCAAAGTGCATTACAAATACACCATCGCCCTGCAAGGGAGCCCTGAGATGTCCTACTGCAGCCTCCTGGAGAAAGTGTGTCTGAAGCTGGGACTCTCACCCCAGCACACGAAACTGAGGTAGGAGATGCGCCCTGGCCTCCCCTTGCCAAATCCGCCTCGACTGAGGAGAGAGGGATGCTTCTGTATTCACTTGTTTCTGCTGTCTGTTGTTCAGCTACCGACCTACAGACAGCAAGGAACTGGTGCTGCTCAGTGAGGATAGCAGGATGGAGACCGTGTGGACTCATGCCAGGGACAAGTGCTTGACCTTGTGGTGCAGCAGTGAGCAGGTAGGCAATACTGGAGCAGAAGGCATTCTGTCACCAATCTCCGCCCACTTCCCCAAAATATTTCAGAGCCCTTTGCTGAAAGTCCAGCTTCTATTTATTAACCCTTGTTAACCAGAATAGCAAAATGTGCAGGTGTTTTCCTGCTCAGTCACTCAGAAAGAAGCCCTGTTTCCTCCTTTCTTCCTGCAATCTGGCCTACGAGAACACTGGCAATGGGATAATTGACAAGCACTTTAATATTTATAATTGGTTTTTTTATTTAAAAAAAAACATTCACTTTAATTAAACATTGCTTATATTTAGCTTTTTATAGTTTTGAATTGACTTGATGGCATCAGTGATGTTGGTGGATAAATATTTGAAAATATCCCAGTCTATTGATTGGAAGAGAGAGAACTGCAGCAGAGCTTTCGTTTTTGTCCCCTAACTGTGCCCACAGTGGAGTGTGTACCAAGTGTGATCTTGGAAACCTGGGTTCAAATCAAACTAAGTTCACTTCATGGCCATTGCCAACTTGATTCTCAGTCTAACCTTTGTGGGCAAAGCAAAAAAAGAAGAAGAAAAAAAGTGTGTGTGTGAAAATAAACCTGTGTATACCACCTGCAAAAGTACTAACAATCACCTTTGCCTTACCTCTTCTCCTGCTTGCCATCACCCTGCCTTCACTGAATAAAACACTCGCAGTTCAGGGTGGAAAAAGCATCCAAAGTACATGCATGAAAACTACACACAGATCCAAAATTGCTGAATGGGCATGTCCAGTTGAACACTTTTATTTCTACTGAACTGCAGGCATTTTGGAAAGAAGTTGCCATCTGGCATGGCAGGAAGTTTCTATTTAATACAAGCCTAAAACTGCTGCCTTGGTCTTGCACAATTAGCTGCACAGTTCTTTGGATCCCAGTCATTAGGCAAAAGCATACAACACTTTAAAGCACAAGATTTATTTTCTTCATCTGACATTTGTATTTCCAAGGGGCAGAATAGTCCTGGATATAAATCTCAAGAGATTTCCAAAGCCATCAGTAAAAATTAGCTCCTATCTGGTGGCCAGCATTCCAGGAATATTCTGGAATCTACAGCTTGTGTGTGGAAGAAATTGAAAACAGATCATTCCCTCAATAAGCTGGCCTCAATAAGTGTGAACCTATAGAGGTTTGGTGCACATTTTGCACAGCAAGGGACCAGGAGATGATGGCAAGGTTGGTAGAAGTGTTGTGCTGAGCTGTTTGCTGGCTTCTTAGCAACTCTCACCTCTTTCCCAGTACACAACTCATCTTTTCCCTTGCCCATACAATTGTGACTAAGGTGGGATACATGGAAGTAGGATGAGGCTGCCAAGCTGGTGTCAAGGATATTGCTCTGCTTTCCTTTGGACCACGTCAGCAAGGCCAAGAGAGTGGTCTTGTCGTCTGGACAGCCCAGGATCTCCATACACACTGCCCAGGCTTGCACCCTGGAGAGGTCACTTTGCTGCTGCTAACTCAGCAGTTTGACTTCACCCTTGGAGACACAATCCATTGTTTCTCAAGACAGATGGATTTTTCTGCACAGTTCATTGCTCTGGACTTGGGACCTTTCCTGTCAGATGCCCCTGCAGGTGGGTAAATCCGCTGCACACAACTTGATATTTTGATCACTCCCAACACGGCGTTACCTGAATGCCCAGAACAGAGTGTCATACAGAAACATAGTGGGCAGGCTCCTCTGATAGGAGGTAGCGCTCTCTTGCCCATTGTAAACACAGCCCTTCCTGCTTTGAAGGGATGGAATTGTGCCTCAGACACCTGATGTTTCCAAACCATTTGCCCCAACCCCTCTAAAAAAAGTTTGGGACTCTGCTGAACTTCAGCATACAAACATGATATCCATGTGAAAACATGAGAGAGGAGGCCTAATACTGGCTCTGTGAATAACTTAATTTCTGTTAATCCTGATGAATATTTTCCAGTTGCAGGTGCAAGATTAACTGAAAATCTTGCATTTTTACAGCAGTATTAGATAGATATGAAGAACGTGGGAGGCTTACTTGTTTTTTTAATGTACTGCTAATTAAGGAAATGGCTAAAGAGATGTTTGAACTGGCTGTTTCTTACACCAGGCAGGCAAAGACAATCTAAATATGGAAGATGGAAAGGAGGCTGAGCAGAAGATAACAAAACAGACAGATGCCAAACAGGTTGTAGCACGGTATACTTATGAAGCCAGCCAGCCAGAGGACTTGGAATTCCAACAGGGGGAGACAATACTTGTTCTGGCTAAAGGTAAACTAACCCTAAATCAGAGAACCTTACTAACCATACATGGGGGATCTACCACCCTACACAATTTTGAGACATTACGCAAAAGTTGCCATAACTCGCATCTATTGAGAGAACTTCAAGGATGCAAATTCATTTTCTTGACGAATCAATTCTAACCTATAATTTGCTATATTCACTGTGTTTTCTTCAAGAGTGTGAACATGCAGTACTTGAAGGCCATGACCTGTATCAGGCATGTGTATCGATGTTTCTAAGCCCAAGAACCATGCAGAAGACCTCTTCCTTAGGGTCAAGAGCTCTTTCAGAAAGTGGTGCTGGTACCACTTGCTAATCCTTCTGCCCTCCATTTTGGACCCCACCATCATCAGGAGAGCACCAGGCTGCTAAGTCAATAACTGGCAACTATGGGCCCCTTGCATCTTCTACAGCTACTACTGCCCTTCTCTTCTGGGCTCCTTCTCCTTTTTAGCTCCCATGGACCAAGAGATGCAGAATTGCCAGACTGCAACCTGGAGGTCCTGCTTCTAGCTTTAAACCATCTGATGCAGGAGTATTCTAGACATCCTGCTCTAATTCCCCCACTGGTCATCTCACTCACCTATGCTATGGAGTAGTCCCAATGCTCATGCTCATTCCAGCAAGTACTGGAAAAAGGGCAGACACAAAGATCAGCGAAGGAATGGGGCAGGAGGTGTTGCAGCTGCATTCTCTCTTGCTACCTCATGACCTTTAAAGAAGTGGTGTAAAACCTGTGGCCCTACAGGAGTTGGTAGATTAAACTCCCATCGGCCACATCCAGCCTGGCTATTGGCCAAGGATGGTGGGAGTTATAGTTCAGCTACGCTGCTCATGTGTTTTAAGGTAGCAAACATGATTGCTAGGCTGTAATCTGACAATTTAAGGCTGGGCATGCATGGCAGAAAAGCCAGCTGCCTCTTGCTGGGAATCAAGCTTGAACTTCTCACATTTATTAGAGAATTCACGACCATCACTGTATAACACTTTCCCACACTTCTCAATTCAAGTGCGTTTTGTAGGTTGGGAAACAATCACTGATTCAATCAGCAGTCACCTGAAAGCAAATTGGCTTCCACTGGTAGGAAACAAATTCCTGCTGTCACAAAACTCCATATTCTGTTTTGGCCATTGCCATCTTATCACACAAACTATGCTGGTCAAGAGAGCTTGAGGAACCATCAAGAACACATTTAGTGGCTTGAAGCCATGAGGGTTGCTCCATGTAGAGGGGAAGAATAGCTTCACAGGCCAATGGGAAGGGGAAATTGCATCTTGTTGTGGAATATATCCTGTATGAAAGTTCAACCATCTTATGCTCATCTTTGCATGTCAGGAAATGGCAGAATAGAGCTCAGGACAAAACCATTATACAAGTAAGAAAATAACCATATACACAGCAATTTGTTGCTCAGTATACTTCCTGTTCCATATGAAATTACTTATGCTAAACAGACATCCTAGTTTCACAATACCAAAGTAGATGGGTGAGTGTGCTTTTGAAAATTCTAACAGAACTTGTCTGCCTCCACCTGGATAATTCTGTGTCTCATCATATTCTCCATCCGCAGATAAAATAAGAAGGGCAGTTCAAAGACTACCCACTGTTTTGATAAGGCTGTTAAGGGAACCCACTGTAAGATAGCAAAGTACCAAAGAAGCCAAGGTACTCTTTCTCAGATGCTTCCCCAAACATCTTATTGAAGGGACTCTCTGTTCTGAAAGACATCTGAAAGCCGTTGCTGTAGAACGTCCTTATTTTTCTGGTGTATCAGCTATGACTTCTCAGTAAGACTTGCAGGGGAAACAGCCTGTGGTTGGTTTGCTATGTTTACGTGTATCTGGACCTTAGACTTCGTAATGATCCAGTAATTCTCCAAGTTATTTCTGCAACCTCATTCTTTGAGTTTTCACCTGCCATTTATGCTGCAAGTGGTTTTCTTCTAACAAGACCCCATTATTTTAATTTCAGTTTCTCTAAAGGTAGACTATATTGGCACTGGAAGAGCCAAAGAGCTCCACTCAGTCCACTCAGTGCAGCCCTGAATGGCATTTTCAGCAACACAGCTTGAGGGAAGCAAAAAGCTTCCCCTCTCAAAATACTGCCGAGAGGCAGTATTTCAGATGTTAACAGATGTAGCAATGTTAACAGATGAAGATGGTTAGTCTGTTCCTACTTAACTGTACAAAAACACACACAATTATAATTCTTAGTCCTTTATGAGTATCAAGTACTGAGCAGATGATCTGGCTCTCCATTATTCCCAGTCCTTGTTCTGACATCAAAGGTATCTAGCAACAAGAGGGGTCACGGCCTCTGTACCTTCAGGAGTCGTGAAGCAACTGATAAGTGCAACTTGTCATGTTGGGATAAGAGAAGTTGTACCTTCAAAAATTCCCTCTGCTGCAAAACTATGAGAGGCACAAGGAGATCCATTCTCCTTTACATCTTGGTTGCATTTCTCGAAGGCACTGCAGAATCTGGTTGGATTCTTTACATTCCACCTCTTCCTGATTCTTGCCCATTAATGGATTAAGTTTGTGACTCTAACACAATGTTATTTCATCTTCTAGTGAATGATGATTGGCTGGAAGGGGAGTGCAATGGAAAAGTTGGCATTTTCCCCAAAGCCTTTGTTGAAGAAGACAGCAGCCAAGATCCCAAATCTCTTTCTACAGTGTAACAAGCTCAAAACCCTACAAAGAACCAAGAGGACCCCGATGCGTTTTCCTCTGAAGGCAACTCATCCCATTATAAGACATTTAATCCATGTTCGCTGAATCTTCTAGGGATTGATTTATCTTATTTTTTGAATTTTATATTCTGCTTAAATGAATATCCATTGAGGTCTGCACTGGGTTTTTTAAAACTCATCTCCTAGCTAAAGCATGAGCCAAATTGGTTATATGAAAAAACTGTTGGGTTGATCCTTCTATGTCCAGTCATAATAGTTACAGCAACAGCAGATATCATGGTTGTCCATTTCAGTTTCTGGTAGGGGTTCCCAGGTCACAGTCTATAGAGGACATGCACACAGCTTTAAATTGTCTAAGATGACTCACCCTTGGCTTCTGAAGTCTGTTCTGCATCCTCTTGCTGCTATAAGGGTAACACCTTATTTATCAATCAGGGCACCTTATTCAAGATGAAACAAAAGGTGCAGGAGAAGCTACAAGGCCTCTCATGTCCTGCAGCCAAAGAGTTTTGGTTGTTTTTCTTAACTGCATGTGTGTCTCTGGGATACCACCTGGGAATCCTAGTTAACAGTCATGAAAAGTTGGTTTACAAGAATTCAGCTTCCAGGTGATTAATAATCAGTGGTTTAGTTACTCTGCAATGCCTTTCCAGAATGACAGCTACATTTTGAAATGCTTAATAAATACTTGAAAGCCAGTAAAGCTCTCAGTAACTTTTAGATGTTTGAAGTTTCCACAAAAAGCTGCAGTTCTGTCATTTTATCAATAAAACTGCATTGTTCTTTAGTGTGTGTCTCCGTATTACCACTCAGACTTAAAGAAATCATGAAATGACTCCTTAGTAAAAAGGGCTGGCATTTTCACTCGTTACAAAGAGTTAACATTAGATATTTATAGTATCCAAGTTCTGGAAAACTATTTAGTAATGTGTATGCCTCTAGCATTTTGTCATCACCAGCTGAAATCAAACAGGAGATAATATTTTGCTTGGCATCGAGACTGCAACCTAGTCTGCTCTGGACTTGTCCCCACCTAGATGCTTAAGTGCAGTCAAAGCTTTCACTGCACTATAAACCCCTTTCACTACTGAACAGAGTAAGATGTCATAATTTAGCACTTCCTCTTTTGGGGGGCGGAGAAACAATACAGTTTTCAATTGCAGCTCAGTGATGAAAGAAGATGTAACTACACAAGGCTGGCTGTAGAGAACATGGTTTAATTAAAGGCAAAGCTGAGTTCAGCAGCTGCAGGTCTCGCACAGACAGACAAAAACACAAAAGAAGCTTACGACACAAACCAGTTTTCTCTGCTGGGGGGGGGGGGGAATCTTCCCTTCCCTTGAGGCTCCTGACAGCAGGGTGTGTGTGTGTGTGTGTGTGTGTGTGTGTGTGTGTGTAAGGGGGAGGAGAATAGGGAGCCCTGCTCAAAAGATCAAGAAAAACATTCTAAACACCAGACTTCTCATGCAGAAATAGGAGCCTATGGGCTGGGACTCTGGCGCTGCTGAGAGAATCAGATGATGAACCTGGTTAGGTTGCCTAGGGTGCAAGAATCGGTGGTGGTTCAAACGCTGGAATGTTGCAGCTGCCTCGATGCACAGCTCAAATACACAAACTGGAAGAAGGGTGGGCTGGAAGCAGGGACAGGGCATCAAATAAGCACAGAGGGTCTCAGCTGAAGATTACAACCAGGGCAGGAACTTAATCCTTGAGACTTTTGCTTCGGAGGAACATCGTTTAGAGATGTGATGCAGAGCAGCAACACTGCTAGCATGGGGAGGCAAAGGGGGTCCAATTCCTATCCTAGACAGAGCACTATGCATACATCTTCCCTTTTATATCAAGTCTATATGGGGCTGCTCCCCGACTCCACAACGTCCCTTGTGGACCCTGGATGTGCTTTGCTCTGCAGCCATTTCCCAGCTTGCAGATCCTGAACTGACAGACGCGCGCACACACACACTCTCCTGCGACTGCAGCAGTTTCTTGTATTTAGGTTGCTTCCGTAACTACGCTGGGAAACAAAAATAAATGCTGTCCTTTTATCCTATGCAAGAAGATTTGCAGTCTTCCTTCTGCGCAAATAAATATATCCAGTGGAACCCTTTGTCCCCATTGTGCACCCTTGTAGGGGCAAGTAGGACAGTTGGCTTCTGTGCGCGGGTTCCATGTGATGTGTCCTCTGCTGCCTTGAACTTCCGTTCCCAAAACCTTGTGGCTACAGGTGTGTGCAGGCCTGTGGAGTGGGCATACACCTATAGGGAGAGGGATTGCACACATCATCCTGTCCAGACTAGCTCTTTTACTCCCCATTATCCTGCTATGACTGTGGGATGCTGTATATGAAGAACAAAACTACAAGCAACCAGCATGGAAAGGGGAAGGAGGGGAAGGGAGAAAGGGGGTGGGGTAGGGTGGGGGGGAAGACACAAAGCTTTTTATCTACCTACATAAAAAGGGAGTCAGGCTGTGAATGCACAGACCAGCTTGCCATTTCATGAGGCTGGTCACTACACTATCATAAAATGTACAGGAATCTGAACCATTTAACTTAAAACCCCGTAGCAGTGGTTTGCTTGCCCTAACGGAGAGCCCTGCAGTGACCACTGCACTTCAGTACTGGAATCTCTCCCGCTTGGGGTTATTCCAGGGACAACCTCTGAGAAAAAGGTGGAAGTGGTACTGGAGGGGGCAGGTTCTCCTTCACGAAACTCCTTACCTAACTTGGGAGACGGACGCTAGCACCCCCACCCAATCTACCCCCACCCACCTTGGGCTGGACCAGCGACTGGAGGGGTTGCTACACACTGACTACAAAGCACATCTGTGTATGGAAGAATTCAGTGTGGCCTTACAACTGAGAGAGGAGTAATTGGAAACTTAGATGTTGAGGAATAAATTTCAACTACATTCTCAGTCAGCAAACCTATCGGTAATAGACTCCTATTGGTTTCCCCAGAACTGAGGAGGAGGATCGAGAAGTTCTCAGTGGCTTCTCCCATCTGCTCTTCATTCTCAGCATTTTATTTTCCCACATGGCTGGGGACATGCACGATGGAGAAGGTGAGAGGCGGTGATATCAGGTTACCGTGAGACAAACAGCAGTCCCTCTCTCCCTCCAGAGGGCCCCGGAGGGATGGGAGAGTTCCTGGTGTTGGTTTTCCATTGCACTGCAGACATTTTCGTGCACACTCAGTGGGTTGGTGGAGCACTTACGCCCTCCTGACGGCAAGGAACAGAAGAGAGGGCTGCCACGCGCACAGGGCCGTGTGAGACAGTCCTGCAAACCCAACATGCCATGATGTATGGAGCTTTTCGGTTGCAAAGGTTGCCACCCTTTCGTTCTCAGTGCGGTGGATTCATGGCACCTTGCCCACGTTGCTGCTTCTGCTTCTGCTGCATCAGCAGCTGCTCCAGGGCAGAAGGTCCAGGGTGCATCATCGAACTGGACCAGATAGACTAAAAAGAAGCACACACCAAACATCCGCTAACGTGAAAGCGAAAGTAGCAAGAGAAAATGCCAAAACGGTCAAAATAAGTGAACTTTCTTCCATGCTCTCGCCACCTCCTCTCATTTCTACAGTACTGCAACAGTAGGCAACCGGCTTCCCCCCACCCCAGTGTAGTCTCCCATCCCAATTCCTCGCCTACTTTGCAGCACCCTCAACTGCTTTCTCCTTAGGTACAGGCAAACAGGTCTTTAACTGCATCATCCCCAGTGTAAACAGAAATAAGCCCTTCAACCTTTGTTTCTGGCCACCCTGGCTAAACCGGATGGGAGTTGAAGTTCAACAACTTTGGGGTGGGGTGGGGTGGAGAGGTTCCTCATCCCTGCTCCGCCAGGGTAAACAGCAAAGGAGACTTTGGCAGCACCTCTGTCCAGCCTTTTGCCTTAGTTTGAGTGTGTGACTCAGCCTGGCGCCCCAATATATAACCTACCTTCAGGCTTTCCATAAGCACAGCTGACGAATCCTCTACAGACGGGCCATGGGCTGACCAGGTACCACTGGGAGTGCTGGCTGGGTGCCAGCTACTCTCTGATGAGGAAGATGTTGCTGGGAGATAGTCCAGGCCAAATCCTCCCATTGCTGAAAGGGAGAAAGGTTAACAAGCAAGTGATCCAACAAACCACTGAAATGATACCTCATGCTAGAACCTCCTGCTCACCTGGCTTATCAGTCTTCCATCGATCTGCGACCCTCCGATCCCTGTTGTCTGGAGTCCCAATGGGCCCAAAGTTGGAAAATGGAACAGAATTGTGGTTGTGGGTTGGAGGAGAGCTTGGCAAGCTGCTTGGGTTAGAGGAATGAGGAGACTGGCTAGCTGGTGTTGAATGATCTATTAGAACAGAAGGTTAGAGAAGAAAGTCAACACAATACCCCAAAAAGTACAGATTGCTGTTTTTTGAGTCTACACACACATCTTTGAACTTTTTATATTAAACTGCAGTAGTTCCATCTGGGCCTGGTGCTTTATCCATCTTCATTCAACTTATCTCCAACTGCATTTCCAACATTGATATGGATGCATTTAACGTTCTCAAATCCTCCTTAGAAACTTTAGGTATATTACAGCCATTTACATAAGATTCAATTTTCTCAGGATCTTCCTTCGCACACCGATATAATGCTGTGTAAAATTTTACAAATACCTTTCTTATCTCTTTCAGGCGTATCAAATGTTTCCCTTCATCAGTAATTTTATTTATTATCTTATTTCTCCTTTCCTTTTTAAGTTGCCAAGCCAACAATTTACCTGGCTTATTTGGAGATTCAAAGTTTTTTTGTTTCATTAATTTTATTTTCATTTCAATCTCTTGCTTCACCAACATTGAGAATTTTGCTTGTAATAATTTGGTAGTCTGCAGTTTCTTTATTCTCTGGTTTTATATTTAATTCCTTCTCTTTGATAATTAATGTGTTCAAAATCTCTTGTCCCCCCCCCTTTTTTGGTATTTGTTTGATTAAAAAAACCTCTTATTACTGCCTCACTAGTATCCCATACTATATTTAAATCTGTTTCTTTGTTAAGGTTGAGGTAAAAAAACTCTTGCAGGGAGCGTTGCCCCTTATTTACAATTTCTGTGCTGTGTAATATCATGTCATTTAACTGCCATCTAAAAGAAGAACACTTCTCACTGCTGTCTTTTGAGTCTTTGCCTGGCTTTGTTTCCTCATTGCAGCATTCTTACATATAGGATCTTACATATAGGATCAAGCAGACTAACAAAACTGAAATTGTAGCAATTTGGGACATGGGTTTATAATGCTTACATGACAAAACAAGTGGCTGACATGACCAATCTTTGAGTGGGAAACTCTTTGGTCAAGGCATAATTGTTCCGCACCTTTGGAACTTTCTAGAGCTAAACCTTCCTTACAAATTGGTACTTATTGCTTGTCCTTTCAAGTAAAAAAATTGCCAATGCTAGGCCATGCGGAGTGGGGGAAACGGCTTTCTGTTCAGTTCACTTCCCAGAAAATACAGCAAGTGATAAAATGGACATGGGCAGCAAGGAAAGAGGGTGGGTTGTGTGACTGCACAGAAGAAAGTCAAACCACGCTTGGGTTCTGAACTAGTTAGTGAAAAATCTTAATACATGTTATACATATATGAAAGTGTATTACCTGAACTGGCTGGAAGAGATGGAGACCATGGAGTACCTTCAAAGAGGGAGTAGAGTGAAGTCTCCTGGTGAGCAACTGATGGAGCGACCTCTGGTTTTGTGCTGGCATTGAGGTTTTTCCCATAAACCTCATTGAACATGCTGTTTGGGTATCTTTCCTGCAAGAGCAAGAGATGAAAATTAAACCTGCTCCCTAGACCTATCCAATACATTATTGCATTTGGGCAGTGAAGTAAGTTTTTCTGTCAGAATCAGGAAAGATATACCTAAGCTGGCAAGCAAATGTTACAGCTCTCACAGCTCGAGAAACATGCCATTTAAAAAAGGATTTTTACTGTTATTAAAGACACAGAGCTATTTTTGCATTTCACTACATTTTTTAAAGAAAATCTTTTTAAAAAGAATGAAGGAATTCTGGGTGATAAGACATAGTTATCACAACTTCATGTGTCCTGAATCACACATTATAACCACACTGGAGATTATAGCACAGCACATGGATATAACACAGCCTTGTACCTTTAATCATTTTAATTATTTGGGGGTATTAGAAAAACAACAACACCCAAGTCCCCAATTTTTAAAAAGAGGATTTTTTAAAAATAATAATAATAATAGAGAAACAAAATGGTGCTGAACATGTGGTTTGTGGTTTGAAATGGCAAATGCAATGTTTACAGATGTTTTGCTTCATCTGAAATAAGTTCTGCTTTGGGAAAATGAAATTCTCTGGAAGGTGTGATTGGCTCAAGCAATCACTCCCAATGCAGATGAGCTGGGGAATTACCTGCTCCTTAGAAACTCAATCAGAACAGTGACTCACACAGAGAAATGCAGGAACAGGCTCCCAAGTATGGCTGGGCGCTCTCAGCATTTCAACACTGCGGTGTATCGCCAGCCAAACATCATGGTCTGATGATATACTGCGATGTTGAAAAAACAAGCAGCATTGGCCTCTGCCCACGAGACACCAGGGGAAACTGCCCAGCTCTCACCTCAAGAGCTGAGAGAGTTTCACGCAGGCTGGGACAATGCAGCTTGTTTGCGCCACTCAGCTGGGGGGGGGGGGAGGGAGGGTTTCCCCCACCCAGCGCTCTTGCCCATCGGCAACCCTGCTCCCCTCAGCTGAGCAGTTTCACAGAGGCCCCCCCCCCCCGCCGCCGGCTTGATGGGCCAGCGCCGGGCTGGGGTGCCTCTTAACTGCTTGCCTGAGGCAAGGGCAGCTGCACACTCCTCAGCCGAGCAGTTTAAAGATGCAGAAGGAGGAACAAGCTGGATCGGCACCTCGCCAAAGGAGCTCTTGACTCCCTCCAGAGGCACTGCTGGCGGTGGCGGCTTCACCAGCGATATACCGCTGAGGGAAGCCGACGTTGTGGTCTGCTCCTCATACCGGTCCTGGGCAATGTATCAATATATTGCCCAGGCCTACTCCTGAGAGCACGTAGGGCTTTTTCCTCCCTTATTTCTTAAATCTTTTCCTTGAACAATTAGCCGATGAGCCAACTGCAAATTGCAGAATAAAAAAACCAAAAAACGTAACATGAACATATTAGACTGAAGTTAAAGCATCAAATTGCAATTCTTTGTATTATTATGTATTTTAATTTACTCATTATATTTGTTATTAACTTTTTCTTGTCCAAGGAAACTCAAAGTGACTTACAACCATACATTAAAACCAAGGAAAAAATACATTTAAAAAATCAGCAATTGAAATACCACATGACTCAGGTTGTGAAGCTTTCTTCAAAATTGTATTAAAAGTTGTGAGAGATTAATACCCAGTACATGAGGTGATAAGCCTGTGTTTGCAGTGCACCACTTCAGGTTGTAGAATGGTGTGCGTGTCACACAACAGAGTTCTCCAAATGTTAGGCAATTAAATAAGCAGCCTATCAGAAAGAAACGCCCTAACCCAGAACTGCCAGCACTAGGCAAGGATTTATATTGAAATTCTTCCCCTCCTCCAACATGAGATTCCCATCTGAAGAAGCTTAGTCCAGACTCCTACAAAAATTAACACGTGAACTGATGGCACTGTCCAAAAAGAGAGAGAAGCAATCTCTATAGTTAATTACCTGATTAAGAGAGAAGCCCGTGAGCGACAGGAAAGAAGATGACTGAGACATTAGATCTGATGGTTTCTCCAGCAGCGATTTCTTCAGAAAACCAAAGGAAAAAACATTATGCATTATTGACCGAAAACATGGGTCACATTTCTGGATAAAAGCAGATGGTTCTAGCAACCATCATAAGAGTGCTCAAACAATTGTGTGAGAAAAGGAAATGCAGCGGAGACTTTTGCCCAGTTCTTTTGTTACACAACAGAGATGCTTAGACCATACTGTGCAAAATAAATACAGAAGAGTTATTTTGCAAGTGGGAAGCAAGGACGTATTTGCAAATTTGCGAAGGAACTCAGTAAATTGACTAGAAAAATAAAAAGGAAAACACCTGGGGAACGTCATTTTAAAAATAGGGTTTGTCCCAGCACCTCAATAACACATCATTCAGTGCTTGAAGGCACCTAGACTGTAGTTTGTTAATTAAAATGCTATACTAGTGGTGTGGGCCCTCATGCAAACGTGATTACTTACTGACTGAATTAGCCGTGTTTTCCCAATAATTCCTGAAACTGTCTTGTTCGTTAGAGCACAAAGTGCAAAATATTTTACTGGGTGCATAATCCTTCATGAGAAATCCAGCTTTCCTTTTTTAAAAAAACCTAGCAAGTTTCTGCCCTGTTTGTCTTTAAAGGAACAACCAATACTATGTGACAAATGCCTGCTGAAAGATCAAAAACCAGAGGGATGGCTGATATTTGAAATCATTGGCAGCAAAGCTTCATTGCCCTTATAGTTCTTTGCTCAATGATAAATTATGCAAAAGAATTATGCAAAGCTGCTCAATTTGCATAATTCATACAAATCATAATTCAGTCTTGCCTATCAGAAATTTGGGAACTTCCAAATTTTTAATGCCCGGGGAAGATAATCAATTATTTTCCAGCACTGAACACATATTATCCCACCTTCTATGGTGTGTTCCAGTGCAATATCATGTGCTGCCTTGAACTGATACTGACTAGTGCTAGATCTGCAGCAAAGAAAGATGCTCTTCACTGATTTAATCATGCAAGTTTCTAATCATAGGTGAATGGTAACCGTGTGCCTTTGCTTACACAAATAAAGCCAGCTACGTAATTCAGGACATCAGACCTAAACTGTGATGAGCAGACGAAGGATACTCTAAAATTATCTGGTAGCAAACCAATGCAAACATTTGCTGGCATGTGTACCTTGTGATGGCTTATGTAGCTTGGAACCCAGAACAGACTGAGAATTTTGCTAATGAACTAGATTTAAACATTGACTTTGACAGTCACTCTGGTCAGTTAGTAGTAGTAGTAGTAGTAGTAGTAGTAGTAATAATAATAATAATAATAAATTTTATTTATACCCCGCCCTCCCCAGCCAAGACCGGGCTCAGGGCGGCTAACAACCAATAATAAAAACAAGTTGATTAAAATACAATTTAAAAAACAAGATTAAAATACAACATTAAAACATTAGGATGCAGCTTCTTCACAGGAGGAGAAAGGAAAAAGAAAGGGGGGGAGGGAATCAAATTAGCTCCAAGCCAAAGGCCAGGCGGACAACTTTGTCTTACAGGCCCTGTGGAAAGAAATCAGATCCTGCAGGGCCCTGGTCTCATGAGGCAGAGCGTTCCACCAGGCCGGAGCCAGTGTTGAAAAGGCTCTGGCTCTGGTTGAGGCTAATCTGACTTCCTTAGGGCCCGGGACCACTAGGGTGTTGCTATATATGGAACTTGAGGCTCTCCGTGGGGCATACCGGGTGAGGCGGCCCCGTAGGTACGAGGGTTCTAGGCCGTGAAGGGCTTTAAAGGTCAAAACCAGCACCTTAAATCTGACCCTGTACTCCACCGGGAGCCAGTGCAGCTGAAAAGCACTGGGTGAATATGCTCCCATGGCAGAGACCCCGTGAGGAGCCTCGCTGCAGCATTCTGCACCCGCTGGAGTTTCTGGGACAGCTTCAAGGGCAGCCCCGCGTAGAGCGAATTACAGTAGTCAAGAGTTAGGCACTCTTTCTACACCTCGTAGGCAAAAATCACCTTGGCTTGTGGAGGGTTCAGCTCAGGTCATTGAAGGAACTGGGAAGGTAGCTGAAGTAATACCAAAACTAAATGAATGCTACTATTCACTAAGTTGAACAATTCAGTATTACTCATCCAAGCTGGTACCTTGCTGGTGTAATGTACCAGTACCTGAAGCTTCAGAAGCCACCACTATACCTTAACACTAAAGACAGAGTAGGAATGTGTGGGTTTATGTGGCAGAATCTCTATAGGCAGTATATTTTGTGTAGGTAGAAATAAAGGATCAAGTCTATCATCCAAACAGAGATGACTTCCCTTTTATAACTTCAGTTAAACAAATGTCCTGGACTAATACATTTGGTGCTTATGAATGTTAGAAACCTGTTTTTAGTACAAATCAAGCATTTTATACATGGACCACCTCACCTTCCCAGAAATCAAAAGCCTTGAGCCACACTTGAAATACAGTTTATTCACCCACAGTATCCCCACTCAGATGTTCAGGTTCCTTGTAGCCCTCATTGTGCTAATCCACACAACCACCTTGTGTGGAAGGATAATTGTTAACCCCATTTTAGAGGGTAGGAACCAATGCTGAAAGACAACGACCTGCTCAACTGATGAATGCCAATTAAATGTAACGTTCCCTCACACCCCTTCAAGTACTAAAGAGTAATTCCTTGTTAGTGATGTTTCGTGTGGCAGAAATAATGCTGACAACATCTCTGTGCTGGCCCAAACATGGGCAGCATTGCACACTGGTACCACATCCCCAAGTGCTGGCTGCTGTGGAAAAGACTGGCTCAGGCCAATCCATGAAGATGAGGAGCATAGCTTGGGACTTATTTTGGCATAGGAGCTGTAATGTTTCAACTGGCCTACAGTTCATGGCCACAGATATTTGGTCGATGTCTTCAAGAATCCTCTGGGCTACAACGGCACTTGCCAAAATTCCCATTTGGCACCTTGGAGAAGCATTTCAACAGACCAATTAACAGGAAAAGAGAAATTTCATCAAGTGCCTATCCTCCTAGTTATAGAGAACAGAGTGGATACTTCCCAGATGTGATCAAAATGGTCTTATTCCCTTGGTTTCCATAATGCATGGGTGAGAAACCTCCAGATTTTGTTGGACTACAATCAGGCCCAGTCAACTGACTGTGATGGTTGGGCCTGAGGGGAGCTGCAGTTCAACAACATCAAAAGAGCCACAGCCTGCTCATCCCCACCAGAACACAAGCAACCCTACCTTTGTATTATGTTTGTGCCCGCGGCTTTTTTATATATATAAAAAAACAAGCTTTAGAATTTCACCCAAGGTAAGAAAAGATAAAAGCCCCTAAAACCCATGATCTTTTTCCTCAGAAGGATACTATATTGAACATGTTACTATCTTATTATACGTTCAATAATACATTCAACTCCTCCTGTCAGACAAGTGTGTGAATACCATATGGTACATTAACATTTATATTTTGACACTTGACAACAAGGCCTCTAGAGGTTAGGCTACACGGATACTTGATCTTATGCTTATATAGGCAGAGGTAACTTGCACAGACCTAGACACCATCAATGGGCTCAATGAATGTGTGGGCCCCATAAGTTAATTGCTGAAGTTGCCTGGGGATCCTTCAAACAAGGGATTAATGGTCCACATGCAACCTGAGGCGTATATTTTTGCACAGGTGTGCAGGGTAATGTATTCCAGTATCAAAACCCACCAAGCACCAGCAAAACTGAAAATTTGTTTCTCAGTTTCAGTCTCCAACCTCCCATATTGATACAAGCTTATTCATTCGTATTATAAAAGAGAAATGATACAGTTTTGTACAAGATAGTAACTCAACCTGGAATTTCTCAGGAAGGCAAGAGATCAGGATTTGGGTCATCTAGAGTTACCGCTTTTTGATTCTGAGACTGTACCTGCTTAAGAGCTCTGGAACAGGAGCTAAGTCAACTGGAACAGTTTCTCCTGCTCCCTCACGGAGGAGTAGGCCTAGAAAGTCAAGGTAATTCCAAACAAGAAGTACCACAAGGGAGAAGTTTACTAACAGCCCCTCTCTCTTCCAGAGCTTTTAAGGTCTCAGTTGCTGGGTAAGAAAATAGCAATCCTAGGATTGATAAAAGTATTACAGCTATGTTAAAGCTACTTCCTCTTAGCTGATATCTATGATCCTGAGCATATGAGCTCTGCTTATTTAAATTTCCCCTTAACAACTATTTCAGGAAGGGACATGGATTTCATGTGTCCTACTGACCTTTCAGGGAAACGGAATATAAATAAAAAAAGATATGCCAAAATTAGAATGAGAAGCAGCAGAATTAAGTCAAATACATACAAAGAGGCTTCGTCCAGGAAGAGAGGCGAGAGGACCCAGCAGAGCTGGGTAAAGATCAGGAGGATTAGAGAAAATCAGCTCTTCCTCCTCCTCCAAGGCAGCCAGACTCTTTAACAGGTCCGGAGGAAGCAGAGGGGAGCTCTTGGGGTCCTAGTGACAGAAAGGAGCACAGTGAGATGCAGCAAGGAAAGAAGCGAAAGCAAGACTAGCAGCAGGTAGGCAAGGAGTCTACAGGAATAGAAGGGGGCCCAGCAGTAACGCAAAGCAGAGAAAGGGAATGCAAGGAAAGGTATGCCAGCATGCAAAAGCAGCTTAAAGAGAGAACAGAGCAGGGGCACAAGAACACCAAGGGGAGAAAGAGAAAAACTGAGTCAAACAAGTCTCTGTGTGTTTGTTTTAGGAGCAGCTCTGCTACCCACTAAGTTTGAATCTGCATACAGCAAAAATTACTGGGATCTTCTTTGGGAGAATGTGATCTCCACTACTGCAGCAATAAATATGTGGAAAATTAATGCGTTTTGTTCTTCAATGTTCCAATATCTTAGTAGCTTCGTTAACTGTAGTTAGAACCAAAATGTGCCTGTATGCAGTTCCTGATCATGTGCTCATGATCAGAGCCGGATGAACTACAAGCAGGTTTCATCATCTACACCATGGAATCTGGGCTTTAAAAATTATTACACAAGCAAGTTTCAAGAATTTGTTGGAAGTTGTGCAGAATGACAGCATGTTCAGGGATCAGGTGTTTTGCTCCTTTTTGTGGATAACTACTACTTCTATCTTGGCCTGTCTACATCAGTAACATTTTCTCCATGAATCACCCATTGCTCAACATTGCTCCTTGCCAAATGCCTCAAATGTGGCATGAGGTCCACACTCAAGGATAGGGAGGCTAACCTAAAATTACAGAATTAGATACCCAGGCATATGAAGTGCTATTGTTTGGGCCACCTTCTTGAAGACAGCCACGGGGCTCTGTGGTGGCCTTGTAAAGTGTTCCCAGTGAGCTCTCATAGAGTTCTGTTTTATTCTTTGAAATCTGGGCTTCCTGCCTCTGCGTCTTTGCACATACAACCTGAACTCCAGGTTCGTTCTATAGGATGAAATTATAGGCAAAGATTAGCTATAATGGCATTTGCTTAGCTGAAGGCACAATCAGGGCAACAAATATCAAAAGATGACACAAAAAGGAGGCTCTTTGTCTTCTAACCTTTGGTAGCATTGTAGCACACCACACCAGGGCTTTCTTACAGCCAGCATCTATCAGGAGTAAGTTATCAGTGTACTCAGAGATGCAATTGGTCTGCTCAAACAGAACATTGTCTCAATAGATCTGTGGTGGACCACTGCTGCTAAAGACGATTTTATTAAAAAAAAAAGAGGGAGGGGGTTTGTGCATTGATCATTCCATGAATGTGAGAAACAATGTCAAAGCAAGAGCAATAGCTGCTGCTTGCTTCAGAGTTGCCAAAGAGTTGCCATTTCTAAAAGCAAATAGGGTATTTATACTGTCATTTGGTTTCTGCTCTGCAGAGAAGCCTGCATATAGGGGTGCAGACAACTGGCAAGCAAAGTGTGAATTCCTCTATCCAACACTTTTTAATACAGGTCTTGTTTGGAAAGGACCAAGTGCCCTATCAACACATGCCAAGTGCTGGGCCTCTTCCACCTTTTCACAAGTTTCAGCTTTCTGGCAGCATCTACTTTGCCACCTTAAGTGACACTTGTGTTTCTTCTTCCATCTCCTTCCTCCCAGACTGTGCCAAAAGCCAGCACTGCCAGAGGGAATTACTATATTTGCTTTTCTCTAGTTATACTTGGGTGATATCTAACAATTCAAATCATGCAGGTTCTCTGTGATAAAATTTGAAAAGCCTCAACAAATTGTGTTGATTTGTGAAGTTCTGGCAGAAATCCATCCTCAAACCGGACTTTACAGCTTTCCCAAGTTAATATTCAAGTGCATATCCCTTGCCAAGATGACTTCCCCGGGGTTCCATCCTAGTGGCAGACAAACATGGAGTGAGTGTGTGGGAGATTATGAGCTTTAGATGGGTTATTTGATATTAGTTTCAGCAGCATCTTAAAAAAAATGTACTGTGGTTCTTATTTTGTACCTCACAATATAAAACATGTGTACATTATATGCCCTTGATCTTGACGGTTGGGAAGAGAATGATTGAAGCTGCACTCTTGTTGGGGGAGGAAGGAGCCATTGCAGTCACTACCAGCTGCCTACTGCCTAGATAGGGCAGGGGGTTTCTTGCTTGCGGCTCCTGCCCCACGCACCATCCCTCGCTCTGTGTGTGTGTGTGTGTGTACAGGTGTAGATAGCTTGAAAAGTTGAATAGGTTGTTTTGGTTTGTCAGTGTTATCTTAAAAATGATGCTAAACCAAGTTAGTTGATTTTTTAAAAAAGTGCTTTTGGAATGCATTTAGGTTTTTTTAAAACGCACGTGCACCCCCCCCCCCAATAGAATCAACAACCTAGAGATTAATCTGTTTTTACTCATTGGTAGTCCTGTGAATCACCACAAACTGCTGCACTGAAAGCAACTTCCTCTGAAGTTACAGTGTTTCTTGCCTTTGAGTGATAGGAGGAGCTAAACCCACTTGGAGACATCTATCACTCAAAGGAGAACCACTTTCCTTTTCCTGAAGATCATCAATTAATCACACATTTACCTCAAAACTCATCCTAGGCACTGGATCCTGCTCTGGGCGGAAGACTCCTGGCTGACGTTTCCCTCTGCGGTCCATGTTAGCTTGCTGCTGCGCCATCATGATGCGGTTATCAGCCATGCCATAGGAGTCCCAGTAAAATTCTGGCCCCTTAACCTCTGAGGGATTCTGGTTATATGGCTCCATGGGGAAAGGCTTCATCTTCTTCTCCAGAGGCTGCTGCTGTTGCAGGAGGGGAGGCTGCATGGACTGTTCAAACAGTTTTAGGGGGTCTTGGCCCTGAAGATAGTAGGGCTGCTTCACAGGCATGATCTTCCCCAACGGGCCTTGGACCTGAGGAGGATTCCAGAGCTGCTTGGAGGAGTCTGCCTGGGAATACTGAAGTACAAGCGCCTCTGTGTTGAGCACAATTCATTATGCAAAACTGGAGAGCATCTGACTAATTTAGGTTTCTAGCTACCAAGAGACCAACCGTGGCAAGCTGCATATTCTCTTTCTGCCAAAAACAGCCTGCAATTTTGTTTCTCTGCTTTGGAGTTGATTAGCTGATTGAACCCCTTGACTTGATGAAGTAGATTCCGCAAGCAACATTGCACAGAAAAATACTATTGGTTCCTCACTGTCCAAAAAGGCCTGCTACACTCTCTAATCTGCACCACCTGATCTGAGAGCACAACATGCCACCACCTGATCATGTGCAATGTACTTGAGCAAGGCTGCACATTCTGTGCCACTGAGCTGCAAAGCTTATGGCTTTCATTTTCGAGACCTCATGTTCGAGAGAAAATCCAAGGAAATGTTTCAGAACCCACACAACAGGTGAACCTTCCAACATGAGGCTTCACCTGTTATTAAAGGGAAAGGATTTCATGCAGGCACTTGGCCATGTGAAAGTTCCGCGGTTTGAAGGGCTGTACCTACCAAAATTCCCTCCCAGATGCAAGGGGCATAATACTAGATAAATAATGTAAGTAAGTAAATACTTTTAATTAATAATTCTAATGATATAACAATAATCATATATGATAAAAACAACAGTACAGTGCTTTCAAGTGCTCACATGTGATCTACAGTTGCTAACCTTATAGAAACTCTATAAGGTTATTAAAGCTATAGGAACCCTAATATTCAAAAGGCTAGCCACCCCAAATTTAAAAAGAGCTTCAGGGAAAGCTTCGGTCAAACTTAAAAGGATTAAAAGCTGTTCTTCTCTCAGGCACTTTTGGGCAGAGAGGGGGAGCCTTCAAAGTAGTAACAGTAAGTCCACAGGCTCCTGCACTGCTCCCCTGTCCCCACAATGCAGTTGGGCTCCTACTTTATTTGTACTCTCTCCCCATCTGCTTGCCCATTCCTTCTCTCCATCCTTGCTTGCACCTTTCCATCAGAGCTACTCTTATCTGAGCAAAGAACCTGCACTTCCCTGACCCAAAACCAGATTTGCACCTACAGATGCACTCTAGCCCAGATTGGGTCCCTCTGGCACTTTCTTCTCCTTAAAGCTCACCTGCTGGAATCCGGAGTGGTGTGGAGGACTCTTCCCTAAGGCCTGAACAGCTTTTGTAGGGGACTGTTGCTGCTGCTGCTGCTGCTGCTGGGCCAGAGCCTGGACCTGCAACTGGCTTGCAGACTGTGCTGTTGCCTGAGCTGGTAAGGATGCAAGGGACTGTTGAGAAGGGGATGGTGCCTGAGGTCCCTGGTTCATTGGGCCTGGTCCAGAGGGCCGCTGCTGGCTGTAAGGAATGTGGGATTGTTTCCCAGCTTGCACCTGGTTTCCTGCAGGTGAATGAGCTGCAGACTGAAGAAAGGTTCCTGGGACAGAAACGCCACCTGGGAAAGTATATCCTGAGCCCATAGGGAAAGCCACAGGAGGGGGGATAACATAGGTGGGAGGTGGGAAGCCTGGGAAAAAGAAAAGAAAGAAATACAAACAGACATATTTTTTAAAAAGGAAACTACTTTTTCACGCATGGAATGCTTAGGGGGCTCTTCAAATGTTACTTCCTGTCTCCTCTTCCAGGATTCTCCCCTGTGAATGGGCCTTTGGCTCCTCCCTGGTCCCTGGTCCCACTCTTTCCAGATTTAAGGAATCTTAAATCAGCATCTGATTCAGCCATTTATTAAGCCATTCATCTCTGCAGTAAGAGAAGGGCATGTATACAAGCAAGCCTTCAGCTCCAGTTCCAACCCCTTTGGGGGAAGGATTCCGGGATGGAGTGGGGTGCCACATCCTCTCAGACCCACAGTGATGGCTTTCATCTTCGAAGCTGTATACTACATACAAAGCAAACACTTTGTCACATTATGGGCTGCCTGTTCTGCACATTACTTTTTCAAACACCAAGATTAATATCTGTGACAAAAAGGTAAGCTTTTCGTGACAGCAGAATTGTCTTTTCCACCATAGGTATGCACATTGAGAAAATTATGTGTGAGGTGGCTTTCCACTCTGTGCACCTGTGGCAGAAAACACACATGTGCTATTATCTAGACATTGCAGAGAGATCATTACTATGCACCTGGGTATAGATCATGCAATATAGTACAGTGCTAGGCATCTATCATGCCCACACCCACTTGTGTTCCAGTTAAAGGAAGTCAGAGCATTTTTACAAAGAAACCTTTTCTGTTTTATTTTCCTACCTAGAAAAAGGTAGGTGGAAGGCATCAGCACACAACATCTTGAGTTTTAAACAAGGATAGATATGATTTTAATACAGAGCACATGGCTTTTACCTGGCCGGCTAGGAAGAGGAGGGAAAGCTCCTGGGTGATGGATGGGTATGAACTGGGAGTTGCTGGCCTGGTTGGGAGACTGAGTGACTGGCGTTTTCCTAGCTTCAGACACGGGAGTCTTCCTCAACTCAGTCTGGGATTTTACCTAGGAAGGCAAGCCATTTAAGCATTAATATTACCTGTCCACACCTTCTTATGGTAAAACTAAAGCATGATTACAAGGCATTGATTCTTTCCAAGTAATTCTAGTTCCCCCTTTGCTATACAGAAGGGACCTAAAATTGCTGGGTTTCCCTGATAGTCAAGCCAAAATTTGTGGCCACCTTCAAAACTCAGTATGAGGTCCAGGCCAATCCCCCTCCCCTCTCCCGCTTAGAGCTAGGGTTGCAAGGCAATGCTGGGAATCCAGCCCTGGCCCTTCTCTCCACAGTGGAGATGCAGAGGACTAGGACCTTCCTTCAGATCTGCACTCCCAAGGCACTAGGAGGGCCTCAAAGTCAAAGCAAACCCCTGGCTTCCTTCCAATCCTGGGAAGGGGAACACGATAGGGGAAGGGTTTGTCCCAGTAGTTTTGCTCACGGCTACAGAGCATGTGAAACTAGAAGGACAAAACTCACCTCCACTCCCTACTGACAGATAGTTTGGGTTCCATGAATGTAAACTCCAGCCTATTTGTCTGAGAAACAGGAGATAAGCTCAGCTTTCAAAAGATAGCTAAAACACCCTTACTTTCCTGCTCTGGCACAAACTGACCTGTGTGTCGTGTGCATTTTACATATAAATCTATTATGCAAGGATTTTTAAAAGATCACTGTAGATTGCAACCCTACACTCACTTACTTGGGAGTAAGCTCCACTGAACACAATAGGGACATTTCTCATTGAAATACATTTTTATTACAGAATTAGCGGTAACTGTTTCTGTACACCGAAAACAAATGACAAGGAGTATTTTGTAGCAGTTTCAGCATGCTAGAGGCCATATAAAATAATATACCACCACTGAATGTGCATGAAGAGGAGTATTAAAATGCAAAGGTAGTGTGAGCCAACAATTAACAAGATTTTTTAAAGAAAAGGTTTTTCAGCATTCATCCAACCACTGGATTTTTTCCCTTTTTTACTCTACTTCCAATGAAGTGTAACAAATCTCTAACTAGAAACATCATGTCTCTGCAAGGAATGTAAGCTTCTATCAGGCTTGGCTTAGGTATCCCCAACCTTTTCAGACCTAGGACTCACTTTTGACTCAAAGATGCATTTGGGGACCCATTTCCTTTTTTACCATATATTTGCATGATAGTAGAGTCTCTGTTGTGAACCACCTTGGATCAGGCCACAATCCACTAGTGGGTCTCAACTCACCAGTTGAAGAACGGTTGTTTATACAATACTGTGGGTGTAGAAGTGCTGACCTTAAGGAGGGAATTGCACTCATCTGCCACATCTGCTAGGCATGTCAGATGTTTACATGCTAGGTACAATTTTTTGTACATTATGCATGTTGGGATTTTATGCCTGCAAGCGCCATATAAATGTTACAATAGGGACACGGGTGGTGCTGTGGTCTAAACCACAGAGCCTCTTGCGCTTGCAGGTCGCAATTTGAGTCCGCGCGACGGGGTGAGCTCCTGTTGCTTTGGACCAGCTCCTGCCAACCTAGCAGTTTGAAAACATACCAATGCGAGTAGATACATAGGTACCACTGCAGTGGTAAGATAAATGGCATTTCTGTGTGCTTTGGCATGTGTCACAGTGTTCCATGTGCCACAGTGGTTTAATCATGCTTGCCACATGACCCAGAAAGCTGTCTGCAGACAAACACTGGCTCCCTCAGCCTGAAAGCAGAGATGAGCACTGCATCCTATAGTCAAATTCGACTGGACTTAACCATCCAGGGGTCCTTTACCTATAAATGTTACATCTAATATGGGCTTTCTCAAACTTGGGTCCCCAGATATTGTTGGACTACAACTCCCATCATACCTAGGCTAGCAGGTCCAGTGGTAAAGGATGATGGATGTTGTAGTTCTCATCATCTGGGGACTCAAGTTTGAGAAAGGTTGATCTAAGACAAGGAAGCCTGGCGGGCCCACCCGCAGGACAGGTGGGTTCTGGGGTTGAGCATGATCCTGCCTCTGCACTGAACACAGCCTCTACAGTACAAATGGCACGGGCCATAGAATGAAGTTAGTGTCTGATCCTCACTGCCTCCATTTCTTTCACCATCAGCTGCAGGCTCAAAAGTGACAGATCTGTTATATTGAGGCTGAGGGAAAGTCCTTAATGTTACTTTTTTATAAGCCACTTAGCCAATAAATAGCAGAATCAAGTGGCTGAACAGGAGAATTTGAAGATTAAGGAGGAATCATCAGAGTTCTTAGCTAGAGATTAAATAAAATACTCAGATACCAAAGGATTGCTAAATGGTTTAAGATTAATGCTAAGCTTACATCTCCCTTGCTAAGAATATTATTTCCTTGAGGACATAGGTATGTTGCAGTGTTCCTTTTATGGCAATACTTTGATTGTGGTCCTTTCACCTCTTGCCTCAAATGTTGGCCTATGACTCAGCCCTTTCAAGTGGTGCTACTCCCTGTGCACCCAGAAAAAAGGGAGGGACTGACCCACCTGAGTTTCCCTTCTTCTTGTAAAAATGTTTGAAGGAGCCGGTGAGTCAGTACCACTTTTTCTGGGTGCAAGGAAAAAAATCCCTCGAAAAGGACCACAGACCAGCTTTTGAGAAAAGAGATGAAAGGAAAAAACTCCTCAAAATACATTTAAGAGGTTCTAGTTTCAGCCTGACAAGTAATTCCCCAAATTTACTAGCCCACAGTATTTTATTTTTAAAAAAAATAATATTTATTGAATTTTAAAGGGTTACAAAAAGAAAAAATTAAAAAACAGCATATTTAAGAAATACAAAACATCACATCACAATAATAAAAAAGAAACAAGAAAAAAAAGAAAAAATACAATGAATCTTCCCATAACTTATCTTTCATTTGCTTATTTCCTTGACCTCCTCACACCTCCTTTTTTTGTATTCTAGTTCAATTAGCTATTTCAGCAAATCCTTTCCATCTTTTCCAGTTTTTGTCCTCTATTTTATCTTAATATAATGTAACTTTACTTTCCCTCCTTAGCCCACAGTATTTTTTATTCACCTGTTAATCATTCTTTTATTTCACAAATTTATTGTACACAATAAGGAAAGAAAAAAGAGGAATTGTCTTCCAGTTGATGAAGTCTTCACGTGAGCAGGCAAGAGACCATTTACAAGCTGCCTTAATTCCTATATGCTTTCTTTTGAATAACCAAGTCATTAAAAAAAAACCAGGGAGAATGAGACTAGACAAGTTTCTACCTCTTGTCCTTCTCTAGGACACTGAAAGAACTGTCTTAACCTAACCCTGTTTAAATATGGAAGTTAAAACACTTCCTCAATTGTCAGAAAAGTGATGAAAAGATACAAACAAATATAACTGGTGCCGAAGCAATTTACTGTTGAAAAGGTCAAAAATATTTTTGGAAACTAAGAGGGCAGTTGATGACTAACTCTTCAATAGCTACAGCTACAGCAATAGCTACAGTTTCAGCATTAACAAAGCATCATAGAGGACTAAAACTGAAAACTGATTAAAGCTATTCTTTTGTTGGTGTGGGAAGGAGAAGAATATACCAAAGAACAAATACCAAAAGAATTCATGTCTATCAGCCTTATCAGTCAATGAATGCCAAAGAACATCAACAGTGATGCTGAATGATGAAAGAAGTTGGCAGTGGTTAAAGTAAGAATAAAATAAAATCCCACTGTAATATAGTACAATTCACAAATTACCCTCCTAATGAGAGACCACACTTGCAGAAGCCTCTCTATGCCTGTAGTGTCTACTGCCAGTACAGACAGTCAACGTAGAAGAGACTCATTCTAATTCTATCCCCAGCTTCTGTTAAGGAAAGAGCTGCAGTGCACTTACTAGCTCCCCCTCCCAAATGAAACAAGAGCAGCCAACTTCAGAAAGAACCAAAGCAGCTATTTCCTTTGGTCCCTTCTGTCAATATGTGAGGTGGTGTTTTAAGGGTAAGTGGGCAGCAATTATTTCCCTGGCAGAAGTGAAGAGCAAGGTGAAGGGTGAGGGGGGGTCCGGTTGTCTGAAATTGTGGTAACCAAATGATGGCTCAGGGACGCCTTCCTTCCATCCTCACTGAGAGTATAACATGTGAATCACCTTGTTTAATCTCCAAATAAAGGTCATCGATCTTGCTATAGCAGGAAGAGGCCTGCACAGATTTGCAAGACCAACTAATTCAAATGACCACATGACAAATTTCACTGGGATGATACCATGCAAAAAGTCTCACCTGCACCGCTACGTTCTGCTTCCCTGCTTCCTGCATCTTTTCCATGCCACATTTCTTGATCTCATTCTTCCTCTTGTTGTTGTTGTCCTTCTTCCCATCATTTTTATTGGCTGTTATTCCTTTACTATAATCCCTTCTTTCCCTACCCACTTCCTTAGTCAGATAGCTTCGGCCTTGCTCCCTGTTTACCTCTCGAGGTTTAATGTTCTCTTTGAACGTCACCATTGGCTTATCTCCTGCATCACAGCTGCTGCTCAGGTTTCGACCTGTTGACAGCACTGACTTAAGTCCTGGGCTCCCGTCTGCAAACTGTGGCTCTGCTGCTTCCTGCAGAATGTGACTCTGTTTCAATTCACTATAGTCATCAAGCAGCAATTCTGGGATCTCTGTCAAAAACAGAAGTTTCCCAATCTCATTTTCACATTGGATCAGCCTTTAACAGAAAGACAAAAGGAATTGACACATTACTGATTAAATCTTCAGGTACAAGCCAACCATCTCATGCACAAAATTAAATAGAAATTACCGTATTTTTCGCCCTTTAGGACGCACCGGCCCATAGGACGCACCTAGATTTGGGGGGGGGGATAAAGGAAAAAGAAATTATTCCCCCCCGCCCCGGCACGGGGCTGGGGAAGTCCGAGCTTCCCCCACCCCAGCCCCCAGAACAAGCAGCTCTCCACAAGCCGTTGGAGGACAGTGTGAAGTTGCGCCGGGCTCCCACAGCTTGCGGAGAGCTGCGCGAAGCCCGCTCTGGGAGCTTGCGGGGCTGGGGGAAGCCCGCCCCCAACCTCCAAACCACGTCGGGAGACAGCGGGATGGTGCGCTGCGCCTCCCTGCTGTCCCCCGAGCTTGCAGGGCTGGCGGCAGGGAGAAGCACGCTTCTCCCCGCCGCCAGCCTCCAAACCAGGTCGGGGGACAGCGGAATGGCGGCGTTCCGCCTCCCCGTTGTCCCCCGAGCTTGTGGGGCTGGTGGTGGGGCTCTCCTGAAGCCTGCATTCGCCCCATAGGACGCACACACATTTCCCCTTCATTTTTGGAGGGGGGAAAGTGTGTCCTATAGGGCGAAAAACATGGTAAATAGAAAGCAAGCATACAAGCTTTCTGATGTCAGACACAGTTTCTGTGAATTGAGGTGACACAAAGGGAGAGATGAGCAAGCAGTTTGTACTCTTAGTCAGTGAGTTAGCCTAAGAAAGAAGCTTTTAAAGCAGCCAGGGGGACCACCTCACCCACTTTGGCCTATTGATACAAGGAGGCTCCTTTGACCAGAGAGAGGTGGTGGAATATTGGCTAAATCCTTCAGGTTACCACCTCAAGTTCAAATGTGGGTTGAGTTCCAACATTTGTGATTAGGAAAACTGTACTATACCACTTCAATTCAGTTTTCAAACTTGCAACAGAGCAATGAAGGCACTCCTCACACCGTTACTGCTAACCTTGTTGGCCTGCTCTGCGACAACGAACAGGAAGACGCCCATCATTACAATATTTCAATGTGGTTCCCAGGTCCTTTCAAATGCAACAGGCTAATAAAAATTTAGCGACTGGGGGAGACAAATTATAATTTCGTGGACTTATTTCCGTGGCCAGGAGTATTTTGGGGATTGATGAAGACTCAAGGAATCTCATCCAATTTTAATGCTCAAGCCTGTGTCACTGTTCCCACCCCACCCCCAAACTTAATTTTCCTAAGCCTCCACAAAACAGAGAAAAGATGAGTGAGGTTAAATCAAGTCTAAAAAACTTAATACAGAGCACAAAACTTCAGTTTTCACCTTGGAGAAAAAGCATTTAAAATGTATAGCAAAAAGTCAACAATGAAACTAGCCTAGGTCAGAGAGGAACTAGCTTACAATTCTCTGACCAATCAACCCCAAGCTAGATGGAGTAACACTCTGATTCAGCACCATTAATCCAGGTCTGCCACTTCTGTGTGCATGAAAGTTATGCAGATTACATTACTGACTTCAAATTAAAACATATAATTTAAGTTCTGCCCTAGTGATTCAATGTAGATTTCCAGCACTGTATTAAGTGCCAAGCAAGCTGCCCACACCTTTAAAAATTGATGTGTTTAAAATTATGTACATTCTTAGTAACTACCATGTTGCCACACATTCCTTAAACTGTGTTAAAAATAGTGTCAGACCGCACATCTTCATTTAAGCTCCAATAATGTTCAACTCATGTCAATAGTAACAAGCAGCAGCAGAGAAGAATATGATGCACAGAAGAGTGAGGGGTGATGCCAGCAGCTGTGCAGATACCTTGGCTGGTTGTCAGCAATCCATTTGCCTGTGAAGATCAGACGCTGTTGCCGTATTCGCCGGTGCTGCCCTTCTTTGTCTCCTGAAATCCCCTGATGGCCTTTCGAGAAATCCAAGTTCCTAGTTGTTGCCATAAACAAAGAATAGAAGTCGGATTGAAATGGAAAGGCAGGCAACAAGGAGATGTATGCAAGACCAAACTAAGTTGGTGGAGCTTAAATGAGACTTCTGATAGATTTATTTTCAGTCTGTATACCAACCTGAGAAGGTTAGAATACTATTTAAAGGTAGTTTGTGACAGTGTTTCACAGATAAATATCAACACAATATGTTTCTATGTTTCACAGCAGAGGGCAAAATCTCCAGCTATATATAAAACCTTGTCTCTTCTTTTAAGATTGCAAGTCTGTTGGAGTAGCGGCCTGTGAAATCTGTCCTTTGTAAAGGATCATGTATACAGATGGCGCTAGAGAAACAAACAAAACAATTCACTTCCCTTAAAAAGGTAAGATCTCTTACACCCGATTCCTAAATCTGTTTACTTCCAGGTGGGTAGGCTTAGCATTGCAGTATAAAGGCCTGGCCAGATGTTACCCCCCCCCCAGAGGGCGATGGTAACACAAGGCAGATCAGGAGCGGACTTTGGGTCCTCGTATTTCTTATCCCTCAATTAACTAGAGAAATCTGGTGTTTATTTGAACACAGACTATTCCTGGTACTGCACTGCAGAATAGAAATCACCCCAAGTTCACTTGGTACTTCCTCCTATTACGACAGGAGCAAGGGAGAGTGCAGATCCCAATATTCGCTTCTAACCTGCCCTTAGAAAACTCTGAGGGCAAAGAAGTGTCTGAAAGCCCCCAACGTCTGAGCTAGCAACAGAGAGGGCCAGATTTGCCCCAAAGGCCACCAATTGTTAATCCCCACTTTTCAGTTAACTTTCAGACTCTTGTCACATCAAAGTTCCAGTGTCTTATCCTTGTTCCTGTCCTCCATGTCTTCTCCATGCTAACAATAAATATCAAAACATGAAAATACACGAGACTGGATTTGGGAATTTTTCCTAAGATATAATCCAAAATAAAAAGCTGTCATGCATGCATTTTAATGCACACTTGGATATCTCAAGCTATTATAGTGACTCTCCTAGACTAATGATGATAATGCCTTTATTGTCAATGTACAACCTGTGTACAATGAAATTAACCGAGCCTCCCCCCCTTCCCCACAAACACTCATGCAGGGGAGACCTGCAGCTACTGAAGTGACTGTGGGAACTGCATTGCCAAACCAAAGTCTCTGTTGGGCTGGAAGAGAGGTATCTTTCTATGACAAATGGAATCACACTGCCTAAATTCTCCTCCTTTTCTCACATTTGCTTCCAAACAGCAAGATTATCAATGTAACCCGTCACAAACAAAAAGTTGCAACCTCCAGCAGTGACTCACCTGAAAGAGGGTCTCAAAGCTAAGAATCCCTGCAGCTCAAACTCTTCTGGGAGAGGGGTGGCTAGTGAACAATCAGAGCAAAAAGAAGAATAACTATACAGGACTGCATTCCTCACCAGGTCTGAGCCCCTATTAAATTAGGATCCAACACAGTGAAAGTCAAGCACTTTCAAGTCTCATGAATTTCTATTGAAGAGAATCACAGAATCATAGAAACACTGAGTGCAACCCTTTACAATGCATTCTCAGATAAATGGAATATATAAAAATGCTAAACTTTGCTAGGATTGTACCCTCATATTTTGGCCTCAGTTAAAGTTTAGTATAAGATGAATGTGGTTATTAGTTATTAATTTATATACTATTTAATGCTGGAATAGGCTTCCAAAAGCAGTTTACAAAAGAATAAAAATAAAGATACACAAAGCCGTTAACATTGCTAATATACACACTATAACAGAAATGTTAAAGCAATACAACAAGTAAGAGAGTTAAGTCAAGAAAATTGTTTATTTGCTGCAATTTTAGCCAACAGGTTGAAAAAAGTTTTAAGTGAGTCAGTCTATAGCGACCAAGAAGGTTTTCTACCAGGTTGACAAAGGAAAGACAACATAAGAAATGTAATTAATTTAATTGAGTACCCGGAAGTAAAAAATGAAAAACAAGCAGCTTTACTTTTCTTGGATGCTGAGAAAGCTTTTGATAATATATCTTGGTCATTTATGATCAAAGTGTTAGAGACGATGGAGATAGGTAATAATTTCTCAGCAGGAATTAAAGCAATTTATACCGATCAATGCAAAGAAATAGAGAAAAACAATAAAATGGGAAAAACCAGAGATCTGTTCAAGAAAATTAGAGATATGAAAGGAACATTTTGTGCAAAGATTACCATAATAAAGAACAAAAGTGGTAAGGACCTAACAGAAGCAGAAGACATCAAGAAGAGGTGGCAAGAATACACAGAGGAATTATACCAGAAAGATATGGATGTCTCATACACCCCAGGTAGTGTGGTTGCTGTCCTTGAGCCAGACCTTGAGTGAAGTCAAATGGGCCTTACAAAGCACTGCAAATAACAAGGCCAGTGGAAGTGATGACATCCCAGCTGAACTATTTAAAATTTTAAAAGATGGTGCTGTTAAGGGGCTACACTCAATATGCCAGCAAGTTTGGAAAACTCAGCAGTGGCCAGAGGATTGGAGAAGATCAGTGCACATTCCAATCCCAAAGAAGGGCAGTGCCAAAGAATGCTCCAACTACCGCACAATTGCACTCATTTCACACGCTAGCAAGGTTATGCTTAAAATTCTACAAGGCAGGCTTAAGCAGTATGTGGACCGAGAACTCCCAGAAGTGCAAGCTGGATTTTGAAGGGGCAGAGGAACCAGAGACCAAATTACAAACATGCACTGGATTACAGAGAAAGCTAGAGAGTTCCAGAAAAACATCTACTTCTGCTTCATTGACTATGCAAAAGCCTTTGACTGTGTCAACCACAGCAAACTATGGCAAGTTCTTAAAGAAATGGGAGTGCCTGATCACCTCATCTGTCTCCTGAGAAATCTCTATGTGGGACAAGAAGCTACAGTTAGAACTGGATATGGAACAAATGATTGGTTCAAAATTGGGAAAGGAGTACGACAAGGCTGTATATTGTCTCCCTGCTTATTTAACCTTTATGCAGAATTCATCATGCGAAAGACTGGATTGGATGAATCACAAACCGGAATTAAGATTGCCGGAAGAAACTGTTAGCATATAGTTCTGTTCCACCTTAAAAGGGAACAGGCATGACTGTTGTGTGTCACATGCCTGTTTACTTCCAGCACAGGCTTGCTGGGAACTTCCATTTGTATATTGCTTTTGTGTTGCTGCTGTTGTGCTTGGACACGAAGGGAAGCAGACATGTTTTTCCTTTGTTTCTGAACTATGCTGAATAAACGCCTGTAAATAATGCTTACACATGACTCTGTCTGCCTCTTCCACTGTGAGAAGATTTAGTCATTCTGCTGATAAGAGCATGCCGAGTCTCTAAACGTATCTGAGGCACGTGTCGCTAATTGATGCTGTACTGGAGATTGCCCGGCTGCTAGCCAGGGCTGGAGCCAGCTGGGGGCCTGCCTGATGCCCCCATTTCCCTGGCAGTATCCCAACAGAAATATCAACAACCTCTGATATGCAGATGACACAACTTTGATAGCAGAAACTGAGGAGGAATTAAAGAACCTCTTAATAAGGTTAAAAAAAGAGACAGCAAAATATGGTCTGAAGCTCAACATCAAAAAAACTAAGATCATGGGCACTGGTCCCATCACCTCCTGGCAAATAGAAGGGGAAGAAATGGAGGCAGTGAGAGATTTTACTTTCCTGGGCTCCATGATCACTGCAGATGGTGACAGCAGTCATGAAATTAAGAGACACCTGCTTCTTGGGGAGAAAAGCGATGACAAACCTAGACAGCATCTTAAAAAGCAGAGACATCTCCTTGCTGACAAAGGTCCATATAGTTAAAGCTATGGTTTTCTGAGTAGTGATGTATGGAAGTGAAAGCTGGACCATAAAGAAGGCTGATGGCCGAAGAATTGATGCCTTTGAATTATGGTGCTGGAGGAGACTCTTGAGAGTCCCATGGACTGCAAGAAGATCAAACCGCTCCATTCTGAAGGAAATCAGCCCTGAGTGCTCACTGGAAGGACAGATCCTGAAGCTGAGGCTCCAAGACTTTGGCCACCTCAGGAGAAGAGAAGACTCCCTGGAAAAGACCCTGATGTTGGGAAAGATGGAGGGCACAAGGAGAAGGGGACGACAGAGGACGAGATGGTTGGATAGTGTTCTCGAAGCTACCAGCATGAGTTTGACCAAACTGCAGGAGGCAGTGGAAGACAGAGTGCCTGGCGTGCTCTGGTCCATGGGGTCACGAAGAGTAGGACACAACTAAACAAAAACAATACTGATCAATCTGCACGGGTTTCAAAATATATACAGATAAAACAAAAATGTTGGTTAAAAGCATGGATGAGCAGTCAAAAAAGACCCTAGAAAAGATACGCCTAAAAATAGGTTAAAAAGTAAAATATATGGGGATTTGGCTGACAGTGAGGTAACTCAATTTATTTCAAGATAATTATATTAAACTATGGAAAGAGATCAAGAAAGAATTGGAGATTTGGGGTTGGATGAAGCTTTCACTGTTGGGCAGAATCTCAACCATTAAAATGAACGTACTACCTAAGGTGCTGTTTTTACTCTAATCAATTATTATTATTATTTTTAAAAGAAAATTGTGTGTGTAATCAGAGGAATCTTCAAAAGACTGTAGAATGTCAATACAGATTCTATAGCACCAGTGCTATCAGTGAATAAACCTACCCCTGCATTACCACAAGCTGATAATTTATTTCAACATTTATTTCAATTATTTGCACACTGATCAACCACAGTTGTCTAAGCAGCGTACATCAGGCTGCAATCATCAAGCTATGGACAAATAAGACAGAATCAAATAATTGTAGAGTTGGAAGGTGCCTCAAGGATCATCTATTTCCAACCCCTGCAATGTAGGAATCCCAGCTACAGCATCCATGACAGATGGCCATCCAACCTCTGCTTAAAAACCTCCAAGGAAAGGGAGTTCACAACCTCCCTAGGGAGACTGTTCTTGGTCTTATTTACCAACACAGTAATTTAAACCTGAATACCTTACCATTAGGGCAGGAGAGGTCTTCTTCGTGAGGCTGAAAACTATTTAGCAGGGAAATCAGCCAAGGCCAAATACTGCAAGGCAAGAAGAGCAATTTTAAATTTGTGCAATATGCCAATGGTTGCTTTCACAGCTCTCCCACTCCTTCCTTTGATACACTTCCCTCTGTGCCTGAACAGCCTCTGCTACCTCCACTTCCGGTCTATCAGGTCTTCTCCAAATCCATATTTTATCTGCAATACCCACAGTGCCCTTGTTGTTACATATTACATCTCCTCTTACTAAGAACAGCCTTTGCAAATTTCCTTTTCTGGATTGTGCCAGCTCACTATTTGCCCTAAACATTAACACACTAGTAGAATTTTATGGAATGCCCAAACACTGGAAACCACATGGAACCCTTGAACAAAAACAACCAAAGATTGTTACATGCAGGCGTCAAGTGGAAGAATTCTGTTTTACAGGGCTGAATGAAATGTAATTGCTGCCAGACCTCATGGTTGTACATAATGTAGCATCTTGTTAATGGGAAGGCTTTGTGACTCTCTTTTGCAGAATATCAATTTGACTTTGGAAGGTTTATAGCTTTGTTTACTTGCAAGTTACACAGTCAAAAAGTACTGAAAGTTGTTTCAAAAGCCAGGTTTAATGAAGATCCTGTTGGAAGCAAGATGTGGACAGCATCAACCCAATTGAGTTTGTTTTTGTTTCATTTAAGAATATGACTGGTAATGTATAGTTAGTCATGTCACAAATTATGCAGACACATACCTCTGCTTGCCATTGCTCCCCGACAACTGTATGATGTATGTATCTACAAACATGCACTGCATTCACATTCTACATTTTAAGGTATACACCTAAATATTTTAACTATGTAGCCCTGGCACCTGTGTTGATGGCATTTTGATATCAAGCTTTTAAAATTCTTGATTGTTATAGCTTGATCATTGCTTTATAATGCTGATTTGGAATGGCTATGTTGTTGGTTGTCTCTTTTAATCTTGTTATTTTATCTTTATCTTTAACTTTGCAAAGCATGTCCCTAACCTCATGTTTACAAAGCATACTGCACCCTCAGAGCGGGATGAAGAGTGAAGCTGAATGATAAGGCCTTCCAGAATTCTCCACACTGTATGTGGGCACTAGTGGAAATGGCAGTGGGGTAGGGCATCCAATACTTGTGTGCACACATGGAAAATTCTAAAACAGTTGTTCTCAGAAAACTCAGAGTTTTCAGGTTAATTAATGTATGAAACTCTACTGTTTGTACTGGTGGATGAAGGAAGCGATGGGCTAGGAGCAGAGGGCTGGAAGGAGGAGGCGCCAATCCCACTGCTTCCTTCAATGACATTAAAATATTACAACTGGATGCACAGTGGCATCCAAATTTTAAACATGGCAAAATTGGGGAGGCCATTTCACCAAATATCCTCCAGAGAAGGACTGAAATTCTACAACAGTTCAGAGGGCACTTGAAAAGAAAATAATCAAAAGTTTGTCAGAAATTGCCTTTAAGTAGTGTTTAAATGGGACGCGGGGGGCACTGTGGGTTAAACTACAGAGCCTAGGACTTGCCGATCAGAAGGACAGCGGTTCAAATCCCCGCGATGGGGTGAGCTCCCGTTGCTCGGTCCCAGCTTCTGCCAACCTAGCAGTTTAAAAGCATGCAGTGCCAGTAGATAAATAGGTACCGCTCTGGCGGGAAGGTAAACGGCGTTTCCGTGCGCTGCTCTGGTTCGCCAGAAGCGGCTTAGTCATGCTGGCCATATGAACCGGAAGCTGGACGCTGGCTCCCTCGGCCAATAAAGCGAGATGAGTGCCGCAACCCCAGAGTTGGTCACGACTGGACCTAATAGTCAGGGGTCCCTTTACCTTTACTGTTTAAATGAGCATTAACAGCCAGTCAGAATGTGGAAAGCAAGGGCCATGCCTCTCTTATCTCCCCGTCATACAGTCTAAAATGCTATAGCTTCAGGATTATGTTTCTGCACAAATCCAATTCTATGCTAAATTTTGCAATACGGCAGGCTAGATGATTCAAAATTATGCATATTTACAAAAAAGGGGGGAGGGTTACTTTAGGAGTAACTGTAGGTTCAGCTGTTAGCATTAGCATGGATAGTCTTGGGAAGCAGTGGAGAGACGCGCACTACAGCTTCCACTAACACTTCTGAAGCAGAAGTAGCATGACAATAAGCTTGCAACCAGGCGCAGAAACTCTGGTTTTATTTTCTATCCTCTCCCTTTATACTTTTGTATCTACTTTACCTGCTTTTCTCACAACCTTCAAGAGTCACAGTGAACGTCCCCTACTGAGTAAGGCTACATACACTTCTGCAACACATTATAATCTAGCCATCAACATTTCCCTTTAAACTTCCATCTGTACATATTAAGTACTACCACCAGTGCTGAAACACACACACTCAGAGTAAAACAAATCAAACGTAATTGCTGTAATTGAGGAAGCCAGCTTATTAGGAAACATCCAGAGTGTAAACAAAGTATGTAATTTGTGCTTTATATAGAACGTAAAGTGTGGTGCACCACAAGATGTCACCTACAGTGATGCATGCTCTTCAGGTCAGGTTTCAGAACCATATAGTGGAATAAGAAGTGTTGATTAAGGTGCTATCACCCAGTCTTTAGCAAATTGCTGCCCCGCCGCCCCCACCCCCACCCCCAGCTGTATCTATTTAATAAGCATCTCCTTGAATGAGTACAGCCAGCCAGAATATCCTCAAAAAGACTACACAATTGCCAACAACTTCTGGACCAGGGGATGATTATTATAGCACATATATCAAGTACAGGAAGTCTCCCACACTGGCACAAGGCACTGTGGATGTGCCTCTAGATATTTAGAGTTGATTACAGTGGGGAAGCATCACAACTGCCCACCTTAATTATTGGGCATGCACTCACAGATAAGCGTATAACATTGCCATTGGAGCTACGTACAAGGGCAGTTGTTTTCCATATTTATGGACCCTAACAAGGGGCAGTTGGGGCTCATCATCCTGGGAAGGTAGCCCCTCTAGGAGATGGAACACACTGATCCTAAAACTATCCTGCCTTGTGAGGTATCTTCAGGCTATCCAGAGTGGAGTCGCTAAGACAGTTGGATGTTTCCGTTTCTTGTGAGGCTGAGAGGGGGATCTTGTTGTCTGGGCAGCCCAGGGCTCCATACACACGGGTCAGGCTTGCTCCCTGGGGAGGTCTCTTCAGTGCTGTCAACACAACAGTTTGACTTCACCCCCAGAGGCGCACTCCATTCTCTCTCTCGAGACAGACAGATGCCAACAACATCCTAACAACTGCATGCTTTAAGCCTAAGAATACAGGACCTTATGTGAATAGGCCTCAGCCCAAGGTTACATTTAATGTGAAAATATTCAACACAGGTGTGGAAACCAAACAAACACACACTCTGGGTAGGTCTAACGTGATGTAGGCTTTACATACTTGTCAGAGAATAAGCTGTAAACATTTAAAATGAAGGCATAACAGTGTCCCAACCTGTTGAAGCTAAGCAGGTCTGCTTAGCACCAGGATGGGAGATTGCTGGGAAACACTATTTAAACCAAACTGAATGCCATCATGGAACGAAGGTGGCATATAAGTCAAACAACTACTACTGCACACATATGATAGCCACCATCTCCATTCAGGGAGAGCAAGTGCCACATTGGTGGCTGGAAATTCTGACTCAGGAAAACACTTTAGAAAACTACTTTCCCAGCCTAGGTCAAACTCACAGTATCACTCAGGCAAGTAATCACTGTAGTGGCTGCCTAGAATAAATAGCATATTTTAGGAGAGAGGTATAGAAAAACAGTGAGTATTGAAGAACCTTGGAAGCAAGTGGAAGAATGTATCCTGCTTCTGGAACTGACTGGGTTATTTATCCTGCTGGAACAGGATAAATTTATCTGTGCTGCTGGGTCCAAAACACATTGCTAGCAAATGGGTATGACGCTGGAGACCATGGGTGGGGATGCTTCTGAAAAGCAGGTAAGATTCAGGGAGCAGTTAGCTCACACAGAACTGAAGGTTGCAGTGATCCCCACCCTTACTGACAACTTCTGTTATAGGCCCAGTTAGCACTCGGAAGCAGTTACAGAGGAAGTAAGGTAAAGGTAAAGGGACCCCTGACCATTAGGTCCAGTCGTGACCGACTCTGGGGTTGCGGCGCTCATCTCGCTTTATTGGCCGAGAGAGCCGGCGTACAGCTTCCGGGTCATGTGGCCAGCATGACTAAGCCGCTTCTGGCGAACCAGAGCAGCGCACGGAAACGCCTTTTACCTTCCCGCAGGAGTGGTACCTATTTATCTACTTGCACTTTGACGTGCTTTTGAACTGCTAGGTTGGCAGGAGCAGGGACTGAACAACGGGAGCTCACCCCGTCATGGGGATTCGAACCGCCGACCTTCTGATCGGCAAGTCCTAGGCTCTGTGGTTTGACCCACAGCGCCACCCGCGTCCCTACAAAGGAAATAAGTTTCTACTATAAACCTGTGTATTCATTGGCTCAGTAATCCTTACCACCACCCTGAAATGTTTTGCAGATATTGCAGATACAGGGTTGCAAGTAAAATGTGGTGGCTTGCCTAGGACCACCGGAGAATGTTCATAGCAGAGACAAGATATGTACCAGGGACTTCCAGTTCAAAACTCATGTCAGTTTGCTATACTAGCACCTATTCAAATGTCCAACTTCTATCACAAATTCTTCATTGGTACACCATTTCATCCAAATGACAAACGGGGGGGGGGGGGGACACCCATGAAAACACAAGACTCACTATTGTCTTTCATCAACCACAGCTTCCTGAAATACGCTGGGTCTAAGTTTCAGCCAGTCCATTGAGACTTTAAGTGCAGGAAGGGGATAGGAACCCCAAGACTCTTCTTGGTAATCATTCTGGAGAGGACACTTGCACAGGATTCCAAGAAAAGACACTGGAAGAAAAGATATATGCTCTCATGATGATCAGCAAGCATTATACATTTGGGTATGCTACCTCACTTTGCTACTTTATCCAACCCCAGTTCTCAAGGGGCAGAGTTGGATTAGGTTTCCCTGTGAAAAACACTTTAAAAAGACAATATGCAGGCAGCAGATAGCAAAAAATTAGGTCCTCATCAACAGAAGGCAAAGATGACTGCAGAAATGTTTCAGACATATAGCATTTAGTGGGTTACAGTCCTTTCAATCACTAGTTAATACCATACAGTGGTACCTCGGGTTACAGACGCTTCAGGTTACAGACTCCACTAACCCAGAAATAGTACCTCAGGGTATGAACTTTGCTTCATGATGGGAACAGAAATTGTGTGGTGGCAGCGGGAGGCCTGATTAGCTAAAGTGGTACCTCAGGTTAAGAACGGACCTCCAGAATGAATTAAGTTCTTAACCCGAGGTACCACTGTACAATGTGGTTTCAATTTACTTTTTACCAAGTACACCATACAGGTTAAAGGGGGAGGGGTTATTGTTTTTATTATGTATTTTTTGTTTTTATCTTGCATCTTATATTTGTATGCTGTGCACCCTTGAGATGTACAGATGAAGTACAGTATACAGTGGTACCTCGGGTTAAGTACTTAATTCATTCCAGAGGTCCGTTCTTAACCTGAAACTGTTCTTAACCTGAAGCACCACATTAGCTAATGGGGCCTCCTGCTACTGCCGCGCCGCTGGAGCACGATTTCTGTTCTCATCCTGAAGTAAAGTTCTTAACCCAAGGTACTATTTCTGGGTTAGCGGAGTCTGTAACCTGACATGTATGTAGCCTGAAGTGTATGTAACCCGAGGTACCACTGTACAAATAACTAATAATAATAATGTTACAAACCAAACTTTAATTTATCAAAAGCTGGACAGCAGCTATTGCCGCTGTGTCGTAGAGTTATACATGTGCAACCCAGTATATGTGGCACCTGGGAAGAACTTGAGTCTACAAGCTGATTTCATGGGCACACAGTTAGAGTATAACACATTGATTTGGACATGAATACATTTAAAGCGTTCTCCGATAGTAAGAGAGCTATGGACAGCTGATGGGTGTTCCGATACTGTTTCATTCAGGATCCCCACTAAGCTAGGGCAGGAATGGGCAGACTTCAGGTTGTGTGATCACCCTACTTCTCTTCCTAACAGGCTAAGGAGGTGGGGGAGGTATTAAGAGTTGTTGATGCTATTCCAGCCACCACAGAAGCAGCTCAGAAACAGTTAACATCACTAGGAGCAACAGGATGCTTCTAATTTACTATTTCCCATCCTGTCCCATAAAACAGTAACTATTTGAATCACCTGGCTGGACAGTTATCTTGCAAGCGCAGCATCTCCTCCTCCTCCTTGTGTGGCTCAAGAGAAATTGACTAGTAGTCAACAAGTGAACTAATTAATCTCATATCTAGTTTCCAGCAGACTTGACTATGTAACAATCATCCTTACAGCCTTGCAGCACAACAGGATAGGTTTTGCTCCAAGATCTGTCAGCTTTAGTACTTACTGAATAGAGCCAGCAACTGTGTCCAGCAGAGCTGTTCATCCTGACTGTAACTGTGCTGCTCAGTCTCATTGCTAAAGTCTCGTAAGTGATGCAACTGAAACAGGTTGATGACGGTAATGTGGACTAACTGCTGAGAATTAAAGGTTTTTTGGAACAGCAGCCTCTGTAACAAAAAAGGAAGAACATACACCTCAGAATGGGACAATGCATATAAGAACAGGCTTGACTGCTGGTGAGTAAGGACACTGACTATAGGTGTAGCCTTGCCCTAAGGGTGTCTTTTGAGGCACCTCTTTGCTTTTTCTCACAGAAGTCCATGGCTGCCACATGCTTTTATGGGAGGAGCATTGTGCAAAAAGGGCGAAACCTGCTGCCTGGTGCCTACCTCTGGGTGGTCTTCAGACAGGAATCAACACAGGTGGATGCAATATATATCTGAGCAGTGCAGGGAATTATTTTATTCCCTGGCTCCCTAATTCCTTGCAATGTATGACTCTCCCTTCCATTCACACCTTTAACAGTTGCAACAATGGGCATGTTGCTAGTTTCCGATGTTTCACACTTATGGAGAAAGTGGCAATCCACTTTCTCCTGCTGACAGATGATACTAGGGATGAGGGAACCTTTACCACTCCAAGACCACATTGGCTACTCCTGGACTATAGGTCCTACTCCCATCATTCATGACTACTCGCTCTGCAGGCTGATAGGAGTCCAACAACACCTAAGGGCCAAAGATGTTCTGTCCCTGGTCTGGACATGCGGAAATGTCAGGCTCATCTAGCTCAACTCTTTGCTCCATATTTAACAGCTTTGCCTGGGGTCTGGAGAACAGAGGTGCACGCATGAGATAGCAAGCCAGACTAATTGCCACGGTGCACTTTCTGGCTAGGACTTCAAATTCCAGCTGGAATAATCACTGCTGTAATTGTCACACTTATGCAGACTGTTCTCCTGTGTGCAAGTACGGCAGAATTGCAGTGCTTTTCCTAGTATCTAGCCCAGGCTGGACAAAGCACTGCTGCCGCATTAATGCACTTAGGCCATGAATTCAACATGTGGAAATGGCATTTTGTTATCCTATTCAATCTGTACTTCACTCGCCTTCCAAGCTGCATAGGGGCAACCATCATAAACCTTACCACAAAGTCTCAATGTGTGACCTAGTACTCCTGCATGCACTTCAATTTTGAATACAAAAGCATTTTTTCCTTTGGGCTTGTGTGCTTGATATTTATAATTATTGCTATTGAAGTTTAATAATAGTCTTTCTACAAGAAACCTGTATTCAAGGCAACGTGCACTACCACAACAAAACAGAACCCTAAGCACTTTTAACACTAATAAAAAGCTAAGAAGAAAGAACCAGTAGGCCAGACCCAAAATCAGGAAGAGGAGTACAATTTCAGTTCAATCAGCCAATGGGAGGGGAAAAATACAAGAAAGAATTAGTCTTTCACTTACGATTTCTTACTACTGATAGATGTCTGTTGGCAGAGTCCATAAGTGGGACACTCCACAAGGCTCATGGTTCAAGCCCTTATTAATCTTATTTCAGTCACAAAAGAACATGGATCAATGCATTCTTACCAGATTTTTAAGAAGCATGGGGTGGGCGATAAATAAAAGGAGCACCTGTGTTCCTTCAGAGCAAGGGAACAAAGTACCCATCCCCACACGAGCTGCTGGATAGCTCAGTTGGTGGAGCATGAGACTCTTAAGCTCTGGGTTGTCGGTTCAAGCCCCACCTTGGGCAAAAGATTCCTGCATTGCAGGGGGCTGGGCTTGATGACCCTCGTGGTTCCTGCCAACTGTATAGTTCTATGATTCAGCATGAAAAGCAGGGCACATCTTGTGAAACCAACCTTGAACTGCTCCTCTAATTTCTCACGGAGAGGGTTCAATTTCTCCAAGTTCTTACTCAGATACACATGGCCATGGAATTTTATAAATGCCTTAATGAAATCAGACACTCCCCATTGAGTCTTCACCTCATCACGACTGCAATTAAGGAGATAAAAAACACACGTATTTTAGTCTTTGTAAAGCTAACCCTGGCACAAAAACAAATGCATACTGCTGACTAGCACCCTCTTTTAAGAAAGTTGGCGTCTTTGAAACAGGAGAGGCTGTAGCTGTGATTGATAGTTTTTCCCAAGACAACTGCACTGAAGATAAAAAGCAGTATTAACATTTAGAAACTCTCAAATTAAAAGAATTCAATCATTTGTGTAGACCACAGACAGCCACTCTGTGTAACCTGAGGGCATGTTGTGTTCTCCAGACAACAATCCAGAAGCAGTAATAATAAAAGTTGCCTCCATCCAGCAGAAAACACTTCACTGTTGGGAATAACCACTCCAGCAGGCATTTCAAGGTAGCATTTGGTTTACTGTAATCTGCCCAGTGTGGCTGGGGAAACCCAGCCAGATGGGCAGGGTATAAATAATAAAATTGTTGTTGTTTGTTCCATTTTCTGTGGATTGTTTTTATGTACACCACTTGGAAATGCAAGTAAGTAGGTGGAGATATATTCATATAGACAAGTTTTTGCATTTACCAATCTTCCTATAGACATAAAAATATAAAGCTGTCGTTGTGCCATCCCCTTTGGAGGATTTGGAGTGTTACATCACAATCCTGGATTTGCATGAAGGCAGGGTAGTGGAGGGGAAGCAAAAGATAAGGCAGGTTTTAAAATGGCAGCAGAGGTTTGGATAAAGCAAGACCCTGAGAATATGGGAGGGGAATGAAGGAGCTGTGAGGATATACCCACCCACCCAAATATTCCATAGTACCTTCCCACACATTTTTCACTCCTGGTATCATGTGTTGTCTTCATACATGAAGTTTCAGACTCAATGAAGTAATTTAGAAGATATAGCTTGTGCCCCAAAGAGGTCACTTTGGTGCTGCTAACACACCAAAAACAATGTGGGAGCAAGCAGTTACAAGAAGAGGAGGAAGAAGAAGAGTTTGGATTTGATATCCCGCTTTATCACTACCCGAAGGCGTCTTAAAGTGGCTCACATTCTCCTTTCCCTTCCTCCCCCACAACAAACACTCTGTGAGGTGAGTGGGGCTGAGAGACTTCAGAGAAGTGTGACTGGCCCAAGGTCACCCAGCAGCTGCATGTGGAGGAGCGGAGACACGAACTGCATGTGGAGGAGCGGAGACGCGAACCCGGTTCCCCAGATTGCGAGTCTATCGCTCTTAACCACTACACCACACTGGCTCTGGTCTCTGCAAGTTACTGGTCTCCGCAGCTACAAAAGACGCTGTGATTCTACAGCAGTTTGACTTCACCCCTGGAAGTGCACTCCATTGTCCCTCAAGACAGATGAATGCCAACATCAGCTGCACTTAACCTTCTCTAAATGAACAAGCTAATATTCTATTAATCTTAAGGATACAGTGACATATGCCAGTATTGTGTGCATGCATGAAGGAGGCTGCACAGAAGGGAACAGGAAGAAGTATGGAAATGGGGGTGCCAGGGACAGTTAAGAAAGGAGGAAGAAATAGAAGAGGGTGAAAGTGATTATGGTGTGTGTGCGCGCACACGGGGGGGGGGGACAGCACAATATGAGGGAGAAGACAAAAAAATGGGGTGATCTCTGTAAGGAAGACTTGAAAAAAGGAGTGTGGAGGGAAAATGTAAGAGGGTACAAAGGGGGCTTGAAAAAAATGAGTAGGGGGAATGGGCATGGGGCTGAAGATGAAAGCAGGGGCATGAAAGGGCCTGAAGAACAGGATGGGGTGGTGGCTTCATAACTTGGTGGAAGGTGAAAATGGTGCTTAGTGGTTGCATTGTGTATGGGGGAGAAAGAAAGGGGAGGAAGGGTGGACACGGGGGAGAAAGTGGTTGCTGCAGAATAAAATAGGGAAGTGGCTTCAGCAATGGAGTTAGGAAGGTGAAAAGCAAGCTCCCAGTCACCAGTCCAGCTGGCACATTCTGGATTAGTTGTAGTTTCTGAGTCACCTTCAAAGGTAGCCCCACACAGAGAGCCCTGCAGTAGTCCAAGCAGGAGATAACCAGAGCATATACCACTCTGGAGAGACAAAGCACAGGCAAGCAGGGTCTCAGCTGGCGTACCAGATGGAGCTGGTAGACAGCCACCCTAGACACAAAATTAACCTGCAACTCCAAGGACAGCTGCAAGTCCAAAATGACCCCCAGGCTATGGACCTGGTCCTTCAAGGACACAGTGACCCCCATTCAGGACCGGGGAGTCCTCCACACCTGACCCCTGGAAACAGTACTTCTGTCTTGTCGGGATTCAACCTCAATCAGTTAACCACTATCCACTATCCATCCTCCAACCACCTCCAGACACTCACAAAGGATGTTCTTAACCTTCACTGGTTCCAATTTAAACGAGAGGTCCAGCTGGGATTCATCTGCGTACTGGTGAGCACCCAGCCCAAACTCCCTGATTATCTCTCCAGCGGCTTCATATAGATCAGACATGTCCAACTTTCAAGAGACTGAGATCTACTCCCACTATTAAAAAACTGGCAGTGATCTACCAAAGTGGCTGAGTGTTTTTTTTTTAGGGAGTCAAAGTTGTTGAGGTTTTTTAGGAGGTCTATGTTGGTATCAAAAGCTGTTGAGAAATCCAGAACCAGGGAACAGCTTTCACCTCTGTCCCTAGCCCATGGGAGATCACTGGCCAGCACAACCAAGGTGGTTTCAGTCACATGATAAAGAACTCTGAGAGGAGTCTGGGGTGGGGGCACTGGCGGCAGAGCTTGTATGCACTCCTGCAACTCTATTTTTAACCACTGTGTGTTCAGGCAAATACCTGTAGCCCATTTTGCAAAAACGTAAGTATACTGACACATCAAAACCTTGCCCTGTGTGTAACTAAATTGTGTGAAAATTCAATGGCACTGTCATATCAAATTTACAATCACAGGGGCAGAATAAATGTTTTGTTGCTACTATTAACCTGTAGAAGGCACAGAGGAAAAGAAATTACTTACTTGTAACTTGATGTTCTTTGAGAACTACTTATAAAAGACACATATATAAGTATTGCAGCATCTTGGAGAAAAGATTTATATTGTAGCAATAGCCTGAAGCTTATAAATGATATCTCACTACCTAGAAAATATTAGCCTTACCTTTCCAGTGCTTTAGAAAGTGCTTTTTGTAGGTTAGTAGAGGCAGCTGGGAAAGGGAACTTCACAGCAATGCTTCTGCAGTAGTAGAAAATTGTGGTCAGGTGATCTCCTTTGGAGGATGCTAAAATAGCCAGCTGATTGTAAGGCTGACCTAAAGTTTTTTTTAAAAGGGAAGAAAAGTTTATGATAAAGTAAAGGACTCACTCTGTAAGTACAACCCAATTATTTTACCATATTCTAGGCAGCAGCTACTGTTGGAGTAACAGTTTTTGACCATGGTCAATAATAAGCAGGTCAGTCCTAATGTAGTAATGAGGATTGCTTCAAAAACTGGCTTGCTAACATTCGTGTTATAACTTACTGAAGCAAAGGGACATGTAGTTAGCAGGTTGTGCCATGGGACACATCTCCCGCTGCAATGCAAGTTTTTTTCTGATTCAAGAAAGGGTTCACTTAGGGGGTGGAGGAACAGAAAGGAAGAGTCTGAGCAGGGGACTGGACATGTTTGGAAGCAATGGAATGGCAGAGCTTTCCTGAAGAGGGAGGAAATATGTAGGTGGTTTTAATAGATAATAAAATACAATTAAACTATTTAATGGAAGCCACTATGGAGATCCCTCTGGATTAAACACAGAGAAAAATTGAAAGAATGATAATGAAATAAATATCCAGTTGATATGAGGTATGAACATTTTAGCTCTATTATCTATTGCCAATCCCATAGAATTAATGTGGTATATGGACATCCTTCTTCCATGGAGTTCAGTGTTGAAGTAGAGTATGAAGATGGAAACTAAGCTTCACAGAACCAGCGGGATAATGCTGCAAACAACTGATCAAGAATTGGCAAACTCACCCACACAGACTGCATTCCATAAACTCACCATTGGATGGGACAAGCTGAGCTGCATGCCTGTAGTAGGACTCAGCCTGGCTGGTCTGATTTCTGTAGCGAGCTGAAAAATCAAGAAGAATTGCTGAAACAGAACATTCTACACTACTAGTCAATGTGCTACACCCCACCGTTTCTAAAATAAATAGGTTTTGTGGACAATTATTCTCCATAGTGCTGGACTAGGAGCCTTGGTTTACTCCAACCTGGCAGGTGCTCCTATTACATATTGCTATTAATACTTGACATAAACTCTATTTTTCACTGTCACTGCACAGCTTATGTATATCTTCCTCCTGCAGATTCTACTGTCCATGTTCATGGTACTCACCAATGTCTCCAAGGTGGACAAGGCAGTGCTGGCATATATATGAGCAGGAGCTAGATTGTGGCTTCACAATGGCGCTGGTGTGCGTCTGTTTATTGCTGATAATTCCCAGTTGGGAGGACTTCACACGACAGGGCAAATCTACATTAAACACTGTGCACAGCTCCTGCAGTAGCTAAAATTAGAAACAAATCAATTTTAATAGTTATAGCAAAACTAGCAACCAGATAGAAAAGCCTGAAGGAATTGGTCAACTTTGAGTGTTATCCTTAACCCCACCTTCACTTCCTTCACTTCTATATAAGATTTAGAAGTTCATGAAAATCTAAAGGACACAGAGGTCATGTTGTATCATTCTAAACTCATTTCACCTCTCCTCAGCTAATATTATGGGAAAGGCCAGTGGCTAAACACATGCTTTGAATGCAGAAGGTCTGATTCAATTCATGGCATTTCCAGTGAAATGACTCTCTGACTGCAGGGCTGAGGCAGACCTTGAAGAGCTGCAAGCAGTTATGAGGAGACAATGTCAAACAAGGCAGACCAATGGTCTAACTCAGTATCAGTTATGTCCATAGGGTACCTAATGTTTCTATAAAAGAGAGATATTGCAAAAGCAAAATGGAATACATGCATGTAAGAACGAAAGGCAAGTGCTTCTGGATTGAACCAAAGGCGAGCATCCTGTTTTGCAGTAGCTAGCCAGGTGCCTATGGGAAGACTCAAGCAGCCCCTCTCACACTGCTGTTCCACAGCAACTGAATTTTAAGATGGATGCCTCTGAAACTGTGGGGTCACATACAACCATCATGACTAAGCACCAACTGACAGCTTGGTGAATTTGTCTATTCCCCTTTTAAAGGTGTTTAGGTTGGTAGTCTTTACCACATCTTGCGGGGACAAGAAACATACAAAACCTATTTGGTGCCATGGAAGTTATGCCATTTCCATGCCCCATGCTCATACTGCAATCCCTCAACTCACCTGTGTGTAGAAGCCACTAGCTGCCTCTAAGAACAGAGAGAGGTTAGCCTGAACTTCACTCCGATTTGGATTTGATCGGTTTTTTGCTTGACCCTGTAGAGTTGTGATCTGATTCTTAAAGGCATGATTCCACCTATAGGAAGAAAGAGAAGTTTAGTGTCCAATGTGGGACACTCTGCAGGCCTCACTCTTTACAACCCTGCCTCCTATTCAATAAAACAGCTTCACATGTGAACAGTTCATCCAAATAACAATACATACTTTTAGCTCAATACTATATTACACATTTGTTCCATGTTACTACCAGCCACATGCAATATAAAAAAATGAAATAAAATAATCACTGAATTATTTATGGTTTATGTCAAACCACATTTCCAGTCAAACTTCACCTTTTCAAAATAATTTCCCAAGTGATACCTTGAAAGTTCTGTTAAGACCAGTTAAACTTTTTAAGCTGACACACTCAGAGATAAAAGAATATCTTCTGAATATGCCATTAATTCTGCCCAAAATTTCAGGGATCTCTTTGACAAACAGTACATGCCCAAGTTTAAGATACTTACAGATCTTGTTCCACTTTTTTGTCCAATGCATACTCCAAATCTGTTACCAGCATTTTCTGGTATAAGTCCTGCAAAGCCTGTCTGGATGTCCAGGCCTCAGCTGGACCCAGCTTTGAATCTGAGTAGCAAGAAGATCAAGGTTTTATTATGATAGCACAACAACTGCATTTTCTTTGCCATTTCCTCAAAAGAGGATTCACCGAGATACAACACTTTCCTTTCTACATCAGCAAAGGCTGCAGCTGAAAACACCCTGTAATGCAAGATTTTGGTCTGAAACTTCTCAGGGTGAAGGAAATGTGGAAAAATTAGGTGCCAGTGTATTAATTTGCTTACTCTGAAATAATGATGGCACGTTATCCTAGCTCTGAATTTCTTGAACACCATTTTGCGAGTTATGCTAGTACATCTCTTGTGTTCTGGGTGCAGAAAAGGGGGCAGATATCAAAGTTGTCAGAAGCATTGTCAGAAGTAGAGGGCACACATTAAAAGGAAAAACACAGTTTACTGATCCTAGTTCATGTATTTTACAGTCATACCTCGGGTTGAAGTAGCTTCGGGTTGAGCGTTTTTGGGTTGCGTTCTGCGGTGACCCGGAAGTAATGGAATGCGTTACTTCCGGGTTTTGCTGCTCGCGCATGCGCAGACGCTCAAAATGACATCACACGCATGCGCAGAAGCGGTGAATTGTGACCCACGCAGACGCGGGTTGCGTTCGCTTCAGGATGCGAACAGGGCTCTGGAACAGGTCCCATTCGCATCCAGAGGTAGCAATTGTGGAAAGCAGACCACCCAAGTTTCTGGCTGATTTGAAATGAAAAGCAAAGCTCATTACCCGTCATGTCAGCCTTCAGGACTTCTGCCTGCCTGCAAATGAAATACAAAATAATAATTGTCAGAACCAGAAAGGGCTGATGAAAGTAAAAATCCAGCATATTCACATCTTAGGTGCCCCATTTTTATGGGCACAGTACAACCGATCTGAATTTCAATCTGGAAGACTCAAGGGTGTCAAAAAAGCATTTCCTATAACACATTAAGTGGGAGTAATTAGATGCTCAGTATCACATATCCAAAATTATAATTAGAAGAGGATGCATTTAACCATCTTACTGAGATACCAAACAATAGAAAAGTAGTGATTCTCTCTCAAAAAAAGAAAGAAAAGGAAGCCCACACTATAATATTTCCTCTAGGTCAGGTTTAGTGACTTTGACATTTACTTCTATCCTATTAAATGCCCCCTGAACACAAGATTTGTAATTCTGAAACTATATATTCAGCAAGACTCTTACCACCCCACTCCCCATGCCATCCCTCAAAAAGTATTACCATAATGCAGAACCAAGATATTGAACTCATTTCAGTTCTGTTGAGAGACTTTGCATTGGAATAAGCATATGTAAACTGCCAAAAATATAGAAAAAATAAATTTCAAGGGTTTTTGGTCCAGGTAATGGACAATGGTATTAACCTTCAAAAGCAGTGGCAGAGAAAGGGGGGTGGGCCGGGTGCCATCCTGAGGGGGGTGACGGCTGAACGCACCCGCTCCCTGAAAGAAAGCAGCGGCCTTGGGCAAACAACATTGCCACGCTCCTTCTGCCCCCGCTGCTGGTTGCCCTGGCGGGAAAGGAGAAGCGGGGCAGGGTGGGGGTGGAGGCTGAGGGTGGGGAGAGGTCAGCGCGAGCCCGAACCTCCAGAATACCGACCCTGGAGCCCCGCCTCTGCCTCCTCCTCTCCTTCTCAGGGAGCCCGGCTGTGCACGTGTCACCTTGAACCAGGAATGCATTCAGCAGATTCCCTGGTTTTCCAGAAGTGGAAATGGTGGGTTGGGGAGAAGCCTCGAGGGGTCCATTACCCCCATGGTGGATTCAGCTATAACTGTTTACATTGTGTTACTTTGGTATTTCATAACATTTATCTTATTGTAACTAGTATTTAAGACGGTTCTGCAGTAAAACTTTGAAACTCGTTCATCCGGTGAAGAAAATTCATTTCTACACAAGATCCAGCTGAGGGATTCCTCTGAACTCCAACAATCGGATATCTTGGAATCCATATCCCTAGAGGTTATCATCCCATTTCTTAGTGTTTAAACAACTTTCTCTCTTTCTTTCTTTTTAAAAATGCCCCTTAAACAAATGGTGCATTTCAAAACGAAGCTTCTCTCTCACCCGCCGCCCCCCCCGGACGTCTTTCTCCTTCATTTCTTTCTAGCACAAGCCTCTCTAGGCATTTGTTTCAGTTTCTTTGCCTGCCTGGCAGCAAGGAGTCCTGTCCCCAGAAAAGAGAGAAGTGGGGCGAGAGGCCCCAATCCTGGCACAGTGTCATGTGAAAAGGGGCTTTTAAAAAGAAGTCACACGCCTTGCAAGCATCAAAGAAGGCGTTCTGCCCTTTTTCTTCTTGGGGTTCATGGTGAGAGGAGCCCCCATCACCCTTTGAGAGACAGAAGATTACTCCCAGCAGCCCTGCAGGGTAGGCCTCCTTAGGGCCTTTGAAGTTTGGCTTTGGGCGGGGAGTGGGGGAGGCATACCAGCAAAGGTAAGCGAGGCAGAAAAGATGGGCGGACAAAGGCAGCAGAGGCAACTTTTTCACTCAGTGCCCCCCCCAACCCCTTTGGGGTGTTGGGGCCTGGGATTGTGGTCTGTATATGCTCAGAGGCATGCCTTCCCTGCATGGAATTCCAGTTACAGAGCTATGAAAAGAGCTCTCCTGTGGGGAGAAAGTGTGGCCTGCGCTGCAGGGTTGCTGTGAGCCCCCTACCGCCACCCCACCTCTCAGCCACATGCACCAAGCTGCCTTGGGGCAAAATGAGAGTGGCTGTTGCAAACCCTTCTCAGCCACGATCCTCCTCCAAGCCGCAATAGAGCATAATAATACAAGTGGTCTACACAACAGCATTGTTTTATGTTACTCTCTCAGGCTGCCCACTGTGCAGTATAGAAAGCAGACTACATGGCCCGGCTGCTGTAGTCCACTGTCACCCTCTGCACCTTAAAAAAAAAGTTGAATAAAGAAATACAAAGTAAAAGGCAACTTAGGAAGAAAAGCAGGGTTTGATTTGATTTAATATTTGTATTTTGCTTGTCCAAAAACAAATGTTGAGCTCAAAGTGTTTCACAATAATCACAAACAGCATTATTGCAATCTCTAACATAAAACACAGCATCATATAAATATAAATAAGACAATGACAATTTCATTTTTAAAAAAATTATACAATGCAATAAAGTCACAATACTGTCCTCCCTTTGGTGCTGCCTTTTTGTTTGCAGCGGGGGTGAACACAACAGCCAGTTGCCCAGCTGGTCCAGTTTCACAGGTGGGGAAAACTGAGGCTGCTCAGAGCCTGCCACTCTTTCCCCAGGCAACCTGGGATGGCTCTGGCCAAGACCCTCCCTGCCCCCCTGGCCTCCGGCTCCTGCTCCCCCTCCTCTCTGGTCTTGAGACCCACCAGCCTCCCTGGTCTCCTCTGCTTCTTCCTCATCTCCCAATGACTTCAGTTTCCTCCAGAGATTCTATTTGGTGCTGATGTTTTAAGAACGCTTTTCAAAAAATCAACAAACCAGTATAATCCAAGAAGCAGTCCCCAGTCTGGGGCCAGCGTTCGAAACTCCCATTGTTCTAGGCGCATTTTGCAACAGGGAATTTCATTAGTGCAAGCAGTTTCTGAGCTCTGGGTGCCTAAGATTTCAGATTAAAACTGCAGAGTGGAAGGAAAGGAGGACCTTTTTTGGCCTCCCCACTTCCAGCCACTCTCTGAAGAATGGAGAAGAGACCCTTTTCAGAATATTAGTGGAGTGGGCAGGGGAAGGATTAGAGCATGTGAAAAACAAACATAAGATTTTAGCTGCAGTTCATTCATTTTCAGCTTTGTATTCTTGTTATAAAAAAGTACGCCTAGACATTCTGTTGTTGCGCCCATAACCTAGGTTTAAGGTGCCATTTAGCTCCTAGCTTCCATATCTGATGTGCCTCTGCTCAGAAGGTCCTGGGAAGCTCCTTCAGAGCAAGACTGAAGCAGATTCCTCTTTTCCCAGCTGGGTTTTGCTCTTTTGCTCTTCTGCCCCCCTACTTTAGCACCTGAAGCAGCCTTGTCTCCCTGCCTAACAGGAAGGCCACCCTTTCTCTCTTTCTTTGGCCTTCGCTATATCACAGGCCTAGATGCATAGCAAACGTTTTCGGGGAGCAGAGGCAGGAAGAGAAAGACTGGAAGCAGAATCAGAAAGGGCATCAGGTTGAGATCGGCAAAGCTCTCTGGCTTAGCCATCTTGTCAATTGAAAACAAAGTAGCGAAAGGAATTGATGATGTGATTTCAAAGTTTGCAGAGAACGAAGTTAGGAAAAAACGGTTTTAAGTGCTTATGCTCACAATATTAAGTAAATAAACCTGAAAATTACACTTTCCACTGTGAGTATCTTATTTTTCCTTCTTTTAAGAATTTCAATGTGGGGGGGGGGGCAAGAAATTTTCCGCACCGGGTACCATCTGACCTTGCTATGCCACTGTTCAAAAGTACTACATAATATTACATTTCGGAACTCCCCTCATAATGACATCAAGCAGGCACCTTTGCTGCAATCTGTTCAGCACCTGCTTAAAACATTTTTGTTTAGGCAAGCCTATCCAGACATGTAGAAGTTATATGCGTTTAATCTCTTTTTAGCTAGTGTTCATTTTAATAATCTTGTTGATGCTTTTAAATACCTGCTTATAACTGTTTTTAATGGGAAATTTAATGTTTAGTATTTTTGCAAACAGCTTAGAGGTTCTGTTTCTCTATAATCAAACGGTATATAAATTTTGTTAAATAAATTAATAAATAGATCCTATGGATTGATTGAGCCTATTATGCTTCCCATCTTTATTCACATACATGAAGTTTGCCCATCATGCTAAACCACAACATGAATAAGCCAGCACACTATTCACCAACCCCCTTTCCTTTCCCTTCCCTTCCCTTCCCTATGGGAGGAGTTTTGCTTTATCAAAATCAAAAGTTCCGATTCCCATCCCCTTCATTTACTGTAACAATAAATGAGCTATGGAGTGATGACAACTTTTTCTTGCACAGATCTTGACAACTGCAAGTACCACCTCCTTAAACTTCACCATATCTAGGAAACTAGATCACCAAGTCCCAACACCCCTTCCCCTTTCAGCTGCTCCCCATGTCTGCTTTGCCAATTTTGAAAGGAATGCTAAGCGTACCCGATAGTCTAATTCAGGGGTCGGCAAACTAAGGTCCACGGGCCGGATCAGGCCCAATTGCCTTCTAGATCCGGCCGTGGACGGTCCAGGAATCCAGGCAGCCGGCATAGCGCACACACGTGATGGTTTCTGCGACTCAGCCAGGCTTGGGGGGTCAAAAGTGAGGCGGGCGGCTGCTGGAGACAAGCCCCTTCTCCGTCCGCTGTGCGCGCAGCAATCTTTTATTCTGGGGTGGGGTGGGGGGGAGAGGGAAAAAGAGCCACAGTTCAGATTTCCACCATGGAGCTGCCGGCAACTGACCTCAGGAAGGGCACTTGCGACAGCAGGGGCTCGGAGGCGCCTCGGGAGCGACGCCCGCTGGTGTCTGTGGCAGCGGTGCTCCCTGCCAGAGGAAGTGGGGAGCACCTGGGCAGCTGCACTCCGAAGCAGTTCTGCTGGGGAGGCCGCTTGTTAGCTACACAGTGCAAGCCGCGGAAAGGTAAATAGCTGCAACCGCCTTGTCTTCCCTCACACAGGGAAAAGAACGTTTTTGCTTGAGTGGCACTGGCCTGACTTAGCTTGGCCAATGGTTTTTCCCTTCACCCACCCATGTGCGCACACTCTCAAGGGCTGACAGAAATGGCGCGCTTACCTTAGCCCCCACCCCCCACTCACGAGATAAACAATAACTGTCAACATGGGTTTTTGCCAAAAATGCGGGTCATAATCATGGCAACATATAGTCCGGCCCCCCACAAGGTCTGAGGGACACTGGAACAGCCCCCTGCTGAAAGAGTTTGCTGACCCCTGCTCTAATTAGTAGTTTCAATGTCGTACAGCAACAAGCGGTTGTGTAACATGCAAACATGATTTGATGCAGAAGTCCAACTTTTAGTTATTGACACTACTATTTAACCATATTTTGAGACAATATTTCACAACACTTTTTATGGGTAAATTTAAAGCCTTAAGAGAAATTATCAGAATTATCGGAAATTATCTACAGTCTCATTTCTATCAAGAAATGATGCACTGTCAAGTAGTTAATTATCTGGTTCTACTAAATATAATAGAACTGGTCTTGTCTTATCTTACCAAGTGCTGTGTTAACTACCTGCTTATTGTCTGTCCTGAATCTTGGACAGATTCTAGTATTATGAGGAAGAAAACTACTAACCATCCACTTTTGCCACACCATGCAGTTTGCAGTTTCTATCTGAATTAAGTACACTAAATTCTAGAGCCAGAGGAAACCAAGTATCAGTAGCTTCAGTTTTATTCAACTGATTTATAAACCATCACCACTCTTCAGGATTATGCAGCTATACTGTAGTACCTTAGAAAAAAACCTAATGAACTTACAATGTGACCCTCCCTTCTAAAACACTCAGGATGTTGAAAAACCTGCATTTTCTAAGACTCTCAGAAAATATATCAGATAAAATATGTTCTAGAGTTTTTGTCATTTGAACTATAGAAGAAGAAGAGAAGCGTTTGGATTTGATACCCCGCTTTATCACTACCCGAAGTAGTCTCAAAGCGGCTAACATTCTCCTTTCCCTTCCTCCCCCACAACAAACACCCTGTGAGGTGAGTGGGGCTGAGGTGAGTGGGGCTGAGGTGAGTGGGGCTGAGAGAAGTGTGACTGGCCCAAGGTCACCCGGCAGGCTGCATATGGAGGAGCGGAGACGCGAACGAGACTACCACTCTTAACCACTACACCACACTGGCTCTCATCCTCATCCCATCTTCTCTTTGTCCTGTGTTTAGAGAAAACATTTTGTTGTAGATAAAAAGTGCAGTTATGTTTTAACCAATGTATAAAAACAAAGATTTCAGATACATTTGAGTTATTCTGGTAAGGTCTAAATATTGCTTTGGTTCATCAAATGCAATCTATATTTTACATATAGCTTTTGCAAAGGCGGTTTCAAAACAAACAGACTGCCATGCCATGCTATGTTTGTATACTTTCCCCTAAAAATAGTCACAACCTTGACGCTCCAACACCTGCTGTCAAGGCTCCTGTCTCAGGGCCTGCTTCCTGGCAGCTGGTACTTTCACCCCCAACGTATGCACCTTTCAATTCCTGCTCTTCCCTTTAGCAGTTTCTCCCACATTAAAATTACTTTAACTGACAAGATCTCACAATTGTCCAATGGAGAATCTGTGTGAGATGATCATTTAGAATAGTAGATGCAAGACTAAAAAGGGCTCCCTACAGTCACTCGTCTAGTTCAAGAAAACCAACAGCTCCTTAGGGGTCAAAGGGAGTAAGTCCTCAATGATCCATGCTTTGCAAAGGTTCTATGCTTCTTCATAATGCACAAATAAACTAAACTGGCATGCCAAATGGGTAGGAGAGAGCCAGTGTGGTGTAGTGGTTAAGAGCGGTGGCCTCGTAATCTGGTGAACCGGGTTCGCGTCTCCGCTCCTCCACATGCAGCTGCTGGGTGACCTTGGGCCAGTCACACTTCTCTGCAGTCTCTCAGCCTCACTCACAGGGTGTTTGTTGTGGGGGAGGAAGGGAAAGGAGAATGCTAGCCGCTTTGAGACTCCTTAAAGGGAGTGAAAGGCGGGATATCAAATCCAAACTCTTTTCTTCTTCTTCTTCTAGGAAGGCTTAACTTTGCAAGCAATGCATCAACACCTGTCCAGAATGTGGGACACTCTGGATGCAGAAGGTCCCAGCCTCAATTTCTGAGACAGCTTGTTTTTGGGTTTGTTTGTTTTTTTTAAAAAAGAGACTAGGCAGATGGTGATGGAAAAACGTCTACATATGACTCTGGAAAACCACTGCCAGTCAGAGTAGGCAATACTGAGATAGAGAGACAAGCAGTCTGATCTAGTTTATAACAGTTTCCAGTGTTGCAATGAGTTTGCAGGCAACTAGGGGTCCTTGTAGTAAATAGGTTTGCCCTTCACGCTACAATGCTAGGCATTCTGCTAGTTTGAAATAAAAGATGGCTCCCAGTGGAAGCAACCCTGCTTTGTGAATGGTCCCCACTAAGATCAGCCATTTTACAAAGTATGACCAAAGTAAAGGTTTGAAACAAACAATGAATACAGCTAAAGAGCTTACATGTAGAACATCACATTTAAATAACCTGACCGTATGCACCAGCCTATTTGCTATGAGCACTACCACAACAATACCAACACCTGCCTAGGCTGACATGCTAACACAAACAATATTGTTTGACTTGGCCGTTTTCTCACCATTTCATATTATGCTTGTAAAACAGCTCTGGAAACTGTCATTAAAGGTGCACAATATATATTTATTTAGATAAACAAGCACACACATTCATCAATGGATTGGTGCACACGTTAAGAACATTTACACATGATAATGTGAAAAAGCAAATTATTTGGCCTGTGTTTTAAGATATTGTTAATAGTGCTGCTATTGTAAATTTGTTATATCGTGTTTTTATGCTGAGTACACTGTCTTGAGTAAGCTGTGCCTAAAAAGATAGCTTGTAAGTCATTTTATATATGTGTCATACCAATGGCTGTTATGCCTCAGATTCCAAACACTAGAAATGCTGGAGGAGAGAGGAAAAGAATGTGATTGCACTCTTATGTTCTCCCCTACCCACACAGTGAGGTCTTGCCAATGAGTTGCCTTCACAAGCAAGAAAGAACATCCTGCATGAGAGAACAGAAGCTACAATGAGAAAATTTCTTCAAAGATGAAAGAAATACAGTGGTACCTTGGTTGGTGAACTTAATTCATTCCGGAAGTCTGTTTGACTCCTGGAACGGTTTGAAAACCAAGGTGCGGCTTCCGATTGGCTGCAGGAGCTTCCTGCACTCAATCAGAAGCTGCATAAGCCACGTTGGATGTTTGGCTTCCAAAAAATGTTCACAAACCAGAACACTCACTTCTGTGTTTGCGGCGTTTGGGAGTCAATTTGTTCAACAATTAAGCCGTTCAACAACCAAGGTACCACTATATATTTGAAGAAACATGAAGAAAGCTAAAGAAATGTGAGGAAACAGTATCTTTAGAAAAGCTGATACAAGTTTTACTGCAGAAAGCATATCTTCAAAAAGTTACCTATCTATAAGACAGATCTGTTTATCTTTTATGGTTACATTGGTTCAAATGTTTGAAGACTACAGAAATACATTTAGGACCAATATAAAGTTTGCAGGCAAACCAATCCCACTGACTTTGCTGTGGTCTAAACCACTGAGTCTCTTGGGCTTGCCGATCGGAAGGTAAGTGGTTTGAATCCATGCGATGGGGTGATTTCCCATTGCTCTGTCCCAGCTCCTGCCAACCTAGCAGTTCGAAAGCCTACCAGTGCAAATAGATAAATAGGTACCACTGCGGTAGGAAGGCGAACAGTGTTTCCGTGCTTAACTGTCCAGGGGTCCTTTACCTACCTAGCTCACAAAGTGGCATAGCATGACAATGTGAGGGGGGGCGATGGCTCCAAGCGCTGAATTCTGATGGGGCACAAAGCAGTGCCCCCATGACAGGCTCCCTTGCTGAGGCAGCATGGCTGCCATCTTCCAGAGCCATGGGAAGGTGAGCTACACCCAGGTTGGGCCTTCAGGGTTGTGGGGGTGCATCCTTCTCCTTGTGGCCAGCAAAGGGATGCCCAGTGGGGTGATGTCCTTGGACGCCTCATGGCAGGAGCATGGAGAGGACAGCTGTCTGCTTGGCCCTGGACTTGCTGGTGCCCACGCTCGTGCTGCAAGTCAAGGAGAGGCAGACAAGTCAAGGAGAGGCAGACAGTCCACTCCCCTTTGTCTGGAAGAATAGGCTGAAATTAGTAGAAGTGTCCCTCTGCTCACAGGAGCTCCCCATCTCACCTGCTTAATGGGGTGTTCGGGGACTGAGGCAGCCCAGGAGCTGATCATGGTACCAGCTCTAGGCCCGCATGCCACTCCGGCTGGTATGAGTGATGATACTCTGGATGCGGCATTGGTTCTGCTGCTGCTGTGCCTCACTGTTTAGATGGGCGCTGTTTTGTCCTGATCACCTTTTACCTGCCCTCATCCCAAGACTGGCCTTACCTTTGTAACTGTAAAAACTACTCTGAAAATTTATTATTTCAAAAATGAAACCTTCATCTGGTTGTAAATATTAAGATTATACCAGCAAGAATGAGTCTTTCTGTAAAAAAAATGATTTAAAACGAGTCTTACTGACTAGTGATTTAAATTGTGATCTAAATCAATTTGATTTAAATCAAATCCACCCTGATACACAGTCTGCAAGAATCAGCACATGGTCAACAGCACAAGAGCACACAATGCAAATCTTCATCCTGAAAAGTGCCATGTATGAAGAGAACTGAAGTCTGATCTATGCATTCAGCAGTGAATACAGGTCTGGGTCCATGGGGTCACGAAGAGTCGGACACGACTAAACGACTAAACAACAACAGGTCTGGGAATCACAGCTAGAATTTTGCAACTGGTAAGCGGCAGGCTGGCAGGCATGATTTCCAGGGGAGGAGCACTGGGCAGGAATAGGTGCCTCTTCTCCCACAGTCCTTTCAGCAGCCACTTTACCCCCAGTCATGCCTGGGGATAGGGGCTTAAGTGCACAGCCCTGCATGTCACTGCCCTGCAATCCACCGTGGATCCTTCAGTTTTCCGCATGAAAGTGGCTTCCAAGAACTACAGACCTATGTTTATTACAATCGAACCTCCATTTACATAACCCTCTGGTTACGTAAACTTCAGGATGTACATGCGGCAAACCCGGAAGTATTTTACAGGGTTTCGCCACACGCACATGCACAGAAGCAGTCCTCAAGTTATGGAAACCTCAGGATCTGACCGGACCTCCGGAACAGATCCCGTCTGCAACCGGAAGTACCACTGTACTACTGCATGGCCACAACGTAAACACAAGCAAATAGCTCTCAGCCACTGGTTATGGCTAACACCACAATTTGCACAGGGGACATTCAAAGACTAGAAAACACACAATCAAAAATATTTCATGTAACAGACACACAACTAGATGTTTAGTACAATTATGCATGCAAAGCACACTTAATTTTCCAGTTTCCCTTAATTAGTGAGGCTGAATACATAGTGTATGAATTCCGACAATACGAGTCCCAGTGAAGAAAAGGGAACCAGTATGAGTGCAAGAACTCTTGTAATTTCATGGGCAGACTGAAATAGGGGAGGTAGGTGAAGCACAAATCTGCATGGAAGCTTTTTCTGAAGTACTAGAAGAGGAGAATAAGAAGCAGATAATTTCTTTGCCAGAAGAAATGTTTTATGCTACCATTGCTGGCAACATTTTAAAATCAACACTCCAATACTTGAATTTCTAGTGGAAGGTATATGTTTCTGGTACTATAGTCATTCGATCAATGCCGTACTTTCCACCTTTATCTAATTTATGCTTCCAACCTAAAGTAAGCCAATGATCAATCAAGTTGGTAAGATGTAATAAAAGACAAAAAAAATGTATGTACCTAATCTACAACCACAATACCCTTTCTCAAAGAATAGTGTGCTTTTTGATATTTTAAAAATTCATATTCTGCAGTAAAATCATATCAAGGAAAATACTGCACAACCACCTTTTGAAGACCACTGGGATAGCAGCAGGACTCCGCCACAGAACTGCCACAATCTGCAGCAGTCCCCTATTAATTAGAACTACCTTCCTATACCAAATGCCTGGGGATAGCCAACATGCTATGAGGCCTTCAATTCACAGCGTACCTTTTCTAAAGCTTCAGGACTCTTTTGACTACTGGTCTTGAACTCAGGAAGAGACAAAACTGGCAGAAAGCCATCTCTGTCAGATCTACAGCAATCAATCTATGGAAGCTACAAGACACCCCCATTTTTCTCATCTCCCTGAAACAGTCCCATAAAGCATGCACTGGCAAAGAAAGCCAAAAAAGTAATTTGTTGGGATGGGACTATGTAGATAGATCCTCGAGTTCTCAAAAGGGTGCACTTTGTGAAACTCCCTCTGATAAATACTCTGCAACAATGGTTACCACCAAAGTCAGACTGCATCCAAGCTGTAGCAGGAGACTGTAAAACAGACTGTAGTTATAAGGTGTTAATGTAGTCCAAGAATCCAGACTGTTAACATGTATATCATATAACTTAGAACAAGAGGTGTTTCCGCAGAATGCCCTTCAAATGTTGTTGAACTCCAGCTCCCAAGAGTCTAAGCCAGCATGGCCAATGGACAGGGGTGATGAGAATTGTAGTCCAATGGCACACAAAGGCAATAATAATAATAATAATAATAATAATTATTATTATTATTATTATTATTATTATTTGTACCCCGCCCACTCTGGGCGGCTTCCATAGAAACCAAAAATACAGTAAAATATCACAGATTAAAAACTTCCCTGAACAGGGCTGCCTTAAGATGTCTTCTAAGAACATCAGGTTGGCTACTCCTGATTTAGAAAGTAGCATGCGTGGCTATCTGGATCAAGGAAAAAGATTAGCTAGGTATGTTAAAACTGGCACAACTAAGCAAATACTACCATTGCTGTTATTCTCCAGCTTTCTTTGACAACAAAACTTAGTATGAATAAGAATACAAAAACACAGAGGGCCAGAAGTCTAAAAAAGTGGGAGAGGAAAGAAATGCTGAGTAGTTGCAGCTCTCAGGGAAGGTGACGACCGGGCATTACCAAAAGAGATCTGAAAGAAAACAGAAGGATAAAACACTGGTTTTCAAACTCTATTCAGTGAACCCCAAGGTGAAGCTTATCAGGGATTCTTCTCACTTAATAGCAGTAATAGAAGTCCAACTTCCCCAAAAGACAGCTTGTCAAACAGCAAGTGTTCCAGATGCACTGGACAAAGATGAGGCTCATGTTCTGTATGAAATGACTAACCCAAGAGCATGTCTCAGAATAATCTTCTACCCCACACAGGTTATTTGGAAGACAAATCAATGAGAAAGAGTTCCCTAAGAGGAGAAAGTTTAAAACCACCGTCACTGAGCAAGATAAGGAAAAAACACTATTCAATTAACTCATACGCCTTTACTTGATTTTTAAAAACTGAATTTGTGCAAAGACTAAAGCAGAGGTAGGGAACTTGTGGCCCTGCAGACACTGGACTCCAACTCCATTAAGCCCAGACAATAGTCAGGGAATCTACAGTATTTATCCAAGATTTATCTAATTATAATACCAATCTCGATATTCATCAAGCCTTCCAGCTCTTGATACATTTCCAACACAATACCCAAAGACAAACAGATTGCCAACCCCAGGGCTATGGCAGCAGTGACTTCCGGGTAACATAGGTTGGTACAGTTTGAAACCTATGTCAAACTTGAAATTTTGACCCCATGAATTCTAAACCAAGCACATCATCAATAGCATATATTAAAGTTTTAAAAATTTTACTCTTTCTCCCCAAAATATAATTTTTTTACAGTTTATTTTCATTTTCATAGAATCATAGAATCATAGAGTTGGAAGAGACCACAAGGGCCATCGAGTCCAACCCCCTGCCAAGCAGGAAACACCATCAGAGCACTCCTGACATATGGTTGTCAAGCCTCTGCTTAAAGACCTCCAAAGAAGGAGACTCCACCACACTCCTTGGCAGCAAATTCCACTGTCAAACAGCTCTTACTGTCAGGAAGTTCTTCCTAATGTTTAGGTGGAATCTTCTTTCTTGTAGTTTGGATCCATTGCTCCGTGTCCGCTTCTCTGGAGCAGCAGAAAACAACCTTTCTCCCTCCTCTATGTGACATCCTTTTATATATTTGAACATGGCTACCATATCACCCCTTAACCTCCTCTTCTCCAGGCTAAACATGCCCAGCTCCCTTAGCCGTTCCTCATAAGGCATCGTTTCCAGGCCTTTGACCATTTCGGTTGCCCTCCTCTGGACACGTTCCAGTTTGTCAGTGTCCTTCTTGAACTGTGGTGCCCAGAACTGGACACAGTACTCCAGGTGAGGTCTGACCAGAGCAGAATACAGTGGCACTATTACTTCCCTTGATCTAGATGCTATACTCCTATTGATGCAGCCCAGAATTGCATTGGCTTTTTAGCTGCCGCGTCACACTGTTGGCTCATGTCAAGTTTGTGGTCAACCAAGACTCCTAGATCCTTTTCACATGTACTGCTCTCAAGCCAGGTGTCACCCATCTTGTATTTGTGCCTCTCATTTCTTTTGCCCAAGTGCAATACTTTACATTTCTCCCTGTTCAAATTCATCTTGTTTGTTTTGGCCCAGTTCTCTAATCTGTCAAGGTCGTTTTGAAGTGTGATCCTGTCCTCTGGGGTGTTAGCCACCCCTCCCAATTTGGTGTCATCTGCAAATTTGATCAGGATGCCCTTGAGTCCATCATCCAAGTCGTTGATAAAGATGTTGAATAAGACTGGGCCCAAGACAGAACCCTGTGGCACCCCACTAGTCACTCTTCTCCAGGATGAAGAGGAACCATTGATGAGCACCCTTTGGGTTCAGTCAGACAGCCAGTTACAAATCCACTGAGTGGTAGCATAGTCAAGACCGCGTTTTACCAGCTTCTTTACAAGAATATCATGGGGCACCTTGTCAAATGCCTTGCTGAAATCAAGGTAGGCTACATCCACTGCATTCCCTTCATTTACTAGCCTTGTAATCCTGTCAAAAAACGAGATCAGGTTAGTCTGACATGACTTATTTTTCAGAAATCCATGCTGACTATTGGTGATCACAGCATTCCTTTCTAGGTGCTCACAGACTGTTTGCTTAATGATCTGCTCCAGAATCTTCCCTGGTATTGATGTCAGACTGACTGGGCGGTAATTATTTGGGTCCTCTCTTTTCCCCTTTCTGAAAATAAGGACAACATTTGCCCTCCTCCAGTCTGCCAGGACTTCGCCTGTTCTCCAGGAATTCTCAAAGATGACTGCCAGTGGTTCTGAGATCACATCTGCCAGTTCTTTTAATACTCTTGGATGCAGTTCATCTGGCCCTGGAGACTTGAATACATCTAAACTAGCCAAGTATTCTTGTACTATCTCCTTAGTTATTCTGGTCTGTGTTTCCTTTGCTGAATCATTTGCTCCAAATTCTTCAGGTCGGGCATTGTTTTCTTTATCGGAGAAGACTGAGGCAAAGAAGGCATTGAGGAGTTCAGCCCTTTCTGTGTCCCCTGTTTGCATTTCACCATCTTCTCCTCTGAGTGACCCCACTGTTTCTTTGTTCTTCCTTTTGCTACGAACATACCCATAAAAACCTTTTTTGTTGCTTTCAACCTCTCTAGCAAGCCTGAGTTCATTCTGTGCTTTAGCTTTTCTGACTTTTCTGACTTTGTGTCTACACGTGCTGGCTATTTGTTTGAATTCCTCTTTGGTGGTTTCCCCCCTTTTCCATTTTTGGTACACATCCTTTTTTAATCTTAACTCAGTTAAAAGTTCTTTAGATAGCCACCCTGGCTTCTTTAGGCACCTTCCATGTTTCCGTCTCATTGGTATTGCCTGACGTTGTGCTTTTACTATCTCCCTCTTAACAAACTCCCAGCCATCATGAACTCCCTTTCCTTTTAGTATTACTGTCCATGAGATCTCACCCAGCACTTCCCTAAGTTTTATGAAGTCGGCTTTCTTAAAGTCAAGAAATTGAGTCCTAGCATGCTTGGCTGCTCCTTTCCGCTGTATAGTAAACTTCAGAAGAGCATGATCACTCGTGCCTAATGATCCTTCCACTTCTACCCCACTAACCAGGTCATCAACATTGGTTAGGACCAGATCTAAAATGGCTGTTCCTCTTGTTGCTTCTCCCACTTTCTGGACAATGAAGTTGTCTGCAAGGCCAGTGAGGAATCTGTTTGACCTTATGCTCTTGGCTGAGTTTGACATCCAACAAATATCCGGGTAATTGAAGTCCCCATTACTACTATCTCCCTTCCTTTTTGCATGCTTGGCCATCTGTTCCAGGAAGGCATCATCTATGTCCTCCGTTTGGCTTGGGGATCTATAGTAAACTCCCACAATGAGGTCACTGTTATTCTTCTCTCCCTTAATTTTGACCCAAATGCTCTCACTTTGGCTTTGAGGTTCTAAATCTTGGATCTCTTCACAGGTATACACATCCCTGACATATAACGCCACTCCTCCTCCTTTCTTGTCTGGTCTGTTTCTCTGAAATAGATTGTATCCCTCCATTATTACATTCCAATCGTGGGACTTATCCCACCAGGTTTCAGTGATGCCTACTATGTCATATTTAGTTTGCTGTACCAAGAGCTCAAGCTCATCTTGTTTATTTCCCATGCTTTGCGCATTAGTGTACAGACATTGAAGTCCATTAATCATTCCCCCGTGTCTCTTATTTAAGGATTTTTTCCTCCCACCACTAGGTCTGCGTGCTGTTTGCTCCATTTTCAACAAAAGTAACAAAAATAAAAACAAACGACAATGAAAGAAAGAAAAGTATACACAAAAACATTATCAAATCCATAAAATGGGATTCTCCGAATCCTTGCCTTCCCTCCCCCCTGCCCCATAAATTTTCTTCTCAATTTCTTTTACAGTTTAAACGAAGTCCTATTTTGTGTTTTAATGTAATCTGATCTGTTTTATAGGCCAAACATCTCAGTAGGAACAAACCCTGTACAGACTGATAAGTTCATAAACACTAATTCAGAGTTGAACTAGGGCTTAGAGGAGGAGAATAGTGCAAAGTTAAAGTCACAGAAAATTATTTTTTCTTCCTTCTGTACAATTTACTCCCCCCCCGCCGCCCACAACTCTATAGGAAAATACTTTTAAAAGATAAAATACTGTGCAGAAAACATGTTGGAAACAGAAGACATTTTGTAAAACAACCCAGATCGATGTTCCCCATTTCTGGCTCTTGATTTTCCCTAGATTAGGAGGTCAATAATTGATACTCAAATACAGTTGTACCTTGGTTTTCAAACAGCTTAGTTCTTGAACGTTTTGGCTCCTGAACGCCACAAACCCAGAAGTGACCGTTTTGGTTTACAAACTATTTTTGGGAGCCGAATATCTGATGGGGCTCCTGCAGCCAATCATTAGTCTTGATTTGGTTTCCGAACGTTTTGGGAGTTGAACAGATTTCCGGAACGGATTCCGTTCAATTTCCAAGGTATGACTGTACTGGCAGATTTACATGTGCAAAGTTAAGTCACCTTGAGGTGAAAACAGAGAGTGTAAGATCAAAATGGCTTTGATTCACAAGGTATGGCAATTTCACATCAATGGGGAGTTGGTACAATTTGGAACTCCTGTAAGGCTATTAATGAAGACTTTGAAAAATGTTAAAAAATCAACTGTAATACAGTTTCAATTTAATTCACTAGACTTCAAATACAGTAGATACTACTTGACATTCTGAATTAATACTGGATTTCACTTTGAAACAGGCTCAAAGACAACCCCACATTGATAATGAATGTAGTGGTAAACTGAAATTTCCAATTCTGCTCAACAGGTGAACATGAGAAGCAAACAAGGTTTTCAAAGACATTTTTTTGCCGCCCCCCCCGAACCCTTATGATGCATAATTGACAGAACTAAGGACACATTAGCCAGATAAGGATTCTTCTCATTCCTTGGAAACAAATATATTTTGGATTTCATAGGAAACTGGTTTAGTTTATGTTGTGAATGTCCACAGGGCCTGAAGGAATGTTGGGCTTCTTTTTAAAAATACAGTGCAATCCTATGCAAGTTAACTTAGAAGTAAATCCACTACAGTATGTTCAATGGGGCTTACTTCTTCATTCCCTTCTCATTACTTCTGCTTTGCCTCTTACAACTACCACAAATGATTTCACATAGTTCTCTACTTCACTTTTCATTGTAGCATGTGCAATCATGTTTGCCCTACAACTTTACCACTATGACTAATAGGGGCTAACTACTATTGGAATGGCACCAATCACTGCAGAAGCCATACTTCTCCAATTGTACCCATTTATTAGCAGATCTTTATTGTGGACATATCCAGCAGTGGCTAGTTCTGTTTCCAGCTGACTTTGCACATAACAGCAGAGGTGATTTAAAGGGCCTAGAATATTTGTCCTGTCCCAATTCATCTTCTCCTCATTCTTCCCCCAAGAAAGGGATATTAGTCCATTATTTTTTGAAAACACAAACAAAACCAGATGTTTTGGAACTGCTATAAAGGGCTTATGAAGTACAATCCAAACAGAATTGTTACCACAGAATCTAAATATGTAACCTCTCTAGGAATATAAGCAGATGCAACATAAACACACAAGGTATCTAGAGAAAAGAAAGCATTTTCAGAACTTTATGGAGAGCCTGTTGTCCATAACACATATGCTGAGCTACCATTGATGACTGTTCAGAAGCTTCAACAGATATAGAACTCTGCAGTCCATTTTCTGACAAAGCAAGTGTCAAGAGCAAAATTGCCACCTTCAGGTTATAAAACTATGCACTGTCAGGGCCATAAGGGCATCCAGAAAGGAACTGTCAGTGGATTCCCTGCAGTTACTTCAAATATTTATATGCTGCTTTTTCAACATTTTTCACTAAGTGGCTTACAAAGGAAAGATAAAACCATAAATAATGCAATATGGCATTTAACAAAACACATGAAGTCCAGAATAAAGTGTATTACATCAATCAAACATGGAAATTTGAAAAGTAGGGGTCCTGTTGGACAAGGTTTCTCCCCTTCAAAAGCGAGTGCAGATTCTGCAGCAGATGGACTGATACTAACCCAGACTACAGGCAGGGGAACCTTTGGACTCCAAATGTTGTTGAACTACAACTCCCATCATCCCTGGCCACTGGCTATGCTTGCTGGGTCTGAAGGAAGCTGTAGTTCAGTCACATCTGGAGGACCAAAGTCCATATCTGGACTACAGCAATCTGCTTCTCACCAGCATTATCTCTGATTTTCCTGAATTCAGCTTATCGGCTCAATAATTTTTTTCTGAACCCAGCTGCAAAACCTGGTTAAAAAGAGAAATGTTAGCTCCTGGATACTTACTTAATAAGATACAGAACTGGGCACCAGTGTACTGATGACACCCAAAGGTGATACTCCAAAAGTCTGGAGGAACTTGCACAATGATTTCATACAGATGTTAAACAGCAGTAAAACCCTGAGCCCTGTGAAATGCAACACAGCAGTTGTCATGGGGCTAAAAGCCTCTCCAATGGTCTCCCTCTTGGTACATTCAAACTACAAGGAATGAAACCACTGAAGAGCATACCTCAAAATGCTCTAACAGGTGCTGGAGACTGACAAGGTCCACAGTATCAAAAGCTGCAAAGAGCTCCAAGAAGGTCAGCAAGGACAGCTTCCCATGCTGATCTCCAGGCACAGATCTACCACGGCCACTTCTGAAGGCAGACTGAAAAGGTATCAAGGAAGAATGCAGCATCAAATAACACCTGGAATCTCTCTGCTATCATCTGTTCCAACAACTTCCCTGAGGAGGGAAGGGCGGACACAGGTCTGTATCTGGCTAGGTCTTCCTTATTCAGAGATACTTCTTTTGGGAGAAAGCAGATGACAGCTTCTTTTACAACAGAAAGAGCAAAAAAGAGCATCCTGCTGTATCCTGAAGGCTCACTAAGGACACCTGCGCAATTCAGATAACCGTATCTCAGCTTCCTTTGCCTGTTTTTTCTGAAGGTAAAAAAAATCATTTAGAGCTCTCATTTCTGTGCTTCTGTGCTATAAAGCACACTTTTGTTTGTGACAATCTTCACTGCTAGGACAAGACACCAGGATGTGTCAATCTAATGTGTTATCATGCAGAGCAACCATATGACCTACATATATTAAAATAGATGAAAAGCATTTAGCAATGGTCAAATTCTAAAACCATCTAGACTAATATAAAGTTGATCAAGATGGTAGAAGGATGTATTCTTTGAAGCATAACTGACTGAAAACCTTGAGGGGACGCATTCTCTTTGTCCATGGTTATGTTCTGCAACTTCATTATTTAAAGTAGAGTATACACACCTTACAACAACAAATGCCTCCTGGATTATCTCTGCTCTCTAATCTGCTCCCCCATAACTGCTAAAATGTTTACAGTGGTACCTCGGGTTAAGAACTTAATTCGTTCTGGAGGTCCGTTCTTAACCTGAAACTGTTCTTAACCTGAAGCACCACTTTAGCTAATGGGGCCTCCCACTGCCACTGCGTGATTTCTGTTCTCATCCTGAAGCAAAGTTCTTAACCCGAGGTACTATTTCTGGGTTAGTGGAGTCTGTAACCTGAAGAGTCTGTAACCCGAGGTACCACTGTACTACTACAAGCTCACAAGAAGAGGATTTGAGGCTACCAGCAGACAGACTGCTGTTCATTTTGCTATAGCATCTTACACAGAGGAGCTCTAGATGCTTAACCTATTGCAGTTACAGGCTTCGCTTTACACATGAAGTCAGATGCTGGTGCCAAAAGAAGCGGGACTGTTTAGCATGAATGGGGCACACCTATCCAATACTGCAGAACTCATGCAGAAAGGCAAGAGAGCTATGGCAGCAAAGTTGTCATGCTCAGCTTCTTATCCGCCACTACACAGCAGCTTTAAGTGATCAAGGGTCCCTCACTTCACTTCCTTAACAGCCTATTCCTCTCAACCATGCAGTCTTCTCATTTGCTCATCCAACCATCACCTCTCCCATCAGCCATGAAACATCACCACCCTCCTGCACATTCTCATTTCTCACCAAATCTCCCTTCTCAGAAAGAGTACTAGAGCAGTTCCTCCACCATAATACAGCAGCCTAATTCCTCACCCTTTCCTTTGACGCCTTACCATTTTTAATTGCTCCTAATATATAGATACCCCACTTCCCACCCCCAAAACTGCTCTTCCATGCAGAATGCCTTTTTTAAAACTCCTCTCACATTCCTTGGCATGTCTCTGGAGGCGAGTGAAGCTGGTGCGAGCACACCAGTGTGGCTGGCAGGACAGGGAGGCAGATGGTAAGGAGCCCACCTCCCACTTCTCACCTTTTCCTAACCGAATCTTCGCTTCGGGAGGGCATTGTGGAAAAATCCCAAGCAGGTGCAGTTAACGTTGTGTGTGTGTGATCATGTTCACCTTGTATATAGACCCATTACATAGGCAGGCAAGACGATTTCCTTTCCTTTCTTTTTCAAACCTACATGCCCTTTTTGTTGCATGGGCACCTGGCCGCCGGGATGGCACAATGTGGGGAAAGCTCCTCGGCCAGAGGCCATGTTCTTCCGCCCCCTCCTTCGAAAGGGCTCCCGTGTGGCACAGCATCCCCGGCACATGCCCGCCGGCCTCCCCGGGCCTGTACACGGGCAGGGGAGGCGCGCCTGCCGAAAGATGCGGAGGCACCGCACCCGCCCTTCCCAAGAGGTGCCAGCAGCGGGGCCCCTCACCAAGGCCCTGCCCGGAGCTGCCCCCTCGCCCCCCGGCCCACCCCCGGCGTCCCCCGCCGCCCTCCTCACCGGAGATACTGAGCGCAAAGCAAGCTCATCCTCCGCCGCCGCCGCCGCCGCCGCCGCCGCTTGCCCGTTCACGCCGGCCCTGCCTTGGGTCTCACAGCTCGGGCCCGCCTGCCGCCCGGGAGCCGCCGCAGCCCGCGCTGCCGCTGCCGCCGCCTCCGGCCGCCGCCATCTTCCCGCGTCGGGCCCAGGCTCTTCCTGGAGGGGGAGGGGGCGAGGGGAGGGGAAACGGCGCCGCTCTCCGCCTCCCGCCCGGGAGGGAACTCTCGCGAGACCCGCGCGTCGGGGCGGCCCAGCAGGCCGGCGCTGCCAGGAGGGTCGGGCCAGCTCCGCCGCCGCCAAGTCCTACCCCCCCGCGCCCCCGCACCCTCTCGCCCTCAGCCCACACTTCCGGGCGCGGCCCAGGCTCGGCCCGGCCCACTTCCGCCTCCAGTGCGCCGCGGAAAGCCTTCCCCGTTCGCCCTCGCGCCCGGAGTGGCGGCGCGGGGGGAAGAGGGACAGCCAGCCCCCCGTCCCGCCTTCCTATTGGTCGAGGCAGCGCCATGGCAACGGAGGGTGCGTGGCGGGGGGAGGAGGGGTGTGCGCGAATAGCGGCGTGAGCCGTCGCCATGGCAACCGCAAGCGCCGCTCCGGCCTGGCCCGCGGGTGCGCGCGCGGGATCCTGTCCGGCTGCCTCCGCGCTCCCGCCTGCGGGAGAGACCCCGATGGCCCCCTCAAGAGGTGTCGCTGAGCCGATGGCCCCCTCAAGAGGGATCTGCTGGCAGCAAGCGCGGGTGCAGGATCGCACCCCCTTCATCGAATCACCAAGTAGCGCACGAGGGACTCTTCACCGCAGGGTCGCGGGTTCGAGCCCCATGGTGGGCAAAAGATTCCTGCATTGCAGGGGGTCGGACTAGATGACCCTCGGGACCCTTCCAACCCTAGGATTCTATGTGCGGGCAGTTGCTGCTGCAAATCTTAAGAGGATCTGAGGGAGGACACTTGTTGAGTTGGAAGGGGCCTATGAGGGTCATCTAGTCCGACCCCCTGCAGGGCAGGAATCTTTGGTCCAACCTGGGGCTTGAACCCAGGACCCTGAGATTAAGAGTGTCTCCTGCTCTACGGACTGAGCACCTTTGAGCAAGAGGTTGCTGGGGCATCTCCCTTGCCCGCCTGTTTCAGAAGCCTTGGAATCTTAATGTTCCCATTCTAACAATTGGAGGCTGTTGGTTCATATATGTCACTATGCAACTCTGGAGCCGCCAAACAATGCAGCTGTTTGGTTTTTCTTGGTGTTGATAACCAATATTGGCAGTAAATTCTAGAGTCTGCCAAGCTCTTTTGTGGACCCTGGAAGCGGCACACTCATAATCTGCCAGGTTTCACCACAACTCTTTTCCTAAATTGCCAAATTCCGCCTTTACTCAAAACCCCAGCACCACCACCTTAGGAACGGCTAAGGGAGCTGGGCATGTTTAGCCTGGAGAAGAGGAGGTTAAGGGGTGATATGATAGCCATGTTCAAATATATATAAAAGGATGTCACATAGAGGAGGGAGAAAGGTTGTTTTCTGCTGCTCCAGAGAAGCGGACACGGAGCAATGGATCCAAACTACAAGAAAGAAGATTCCACCTAAACATTAGGAAGAACTTCCTGACAGTAAGAGCTGTTTGACAGTGGAATTTGCTGCCAAGGAGTGTGGTGGAGTCTCCTTCTTTGGAGGTCTTTAAGCAGAGGCTTGACAACCATATGTCAGGAGTGCTCTGATGGTGTTTCCTGCTTGGCAGGGGGTTGGACTCGATGGCCCTTGTGGTCTCTTCCAACTCTATGATTCTATGATTCTACTAAAGATAACAACAACAAACATAACGCAACCACCAACCCATCCCCCAGGGTGATGAGAGAGCTAGGTGCTGCTCCTTATATACTACACCCAATTGCTGACACAGCTTAATTAACTCAACTTAGCAGCACCTGCTATGTTTCACAGCTGCAAGACTGGGTCTCGTTATCTGCCCTGGCCCTTAAAGACATACACAACTTGTGAAACAATAATGAACCTTCAATAGGGATGCTTGGTCTGGCCTTCGATATCCAATATCCCAGAAACGGATTTCTGTAAGGGGAATAGGGCCTCTCAGCATCCCTAGCAAATGACCCTTCCCAGGATTTCTTGGGGGAAGCCATGACTGTTAAGCATTTATACTGCTTTAAATGTATAGTGCAGATGGAGCCTTCTTCTGACTAAGCATGTATAAGGTGGAACAAGAAGAGTCATACTAGGGATGCCATCCCTTCTATTAAGTAGTGGGTGGAGATGGCAGACGACACAGAGATTTCTCCAAGTGGCTCTTTAGAGTAAGCTGGAACTGAACTGAACTGAACAGCTCAGCCAGCCTGCTTTCATAGGCAGCCGGCTGTCATCATTGTAACAAGAACACCCCAGGGTTTCCCACCTAAATTAACTGACGTGGACCTGAGTGGCCAGTGACCAGGACAACACCCCTGGTGGCCAGGGTGAGAACTTCAACACATAACTCCTTCCTCCGAGGGACTGTAGCCTGGCAGGTGGAAATTCAATATGTGCACATTTCTCTATAGCTGCATTTCAGCAGGGAGCAGTCTGTTCCTAATTAACATTTAAGTCTCCATTGGAGGGAGAACTCTGCCAACCCAAGGCACACTTTGCACGCACCCTTTTCTACTCAGGGCCAAGCAAAACGCGGTGCTAATTTGGAAGTCCATTCCCCCCCCCTCTAAATAGCTGTGGGGTGTATGTGGCATGATCAGGATCTGGGCTCAGGTGCAGAAGGAGGGGGCCAGATGGCCATGTGTATTACACCAATTGTTTAGCACACAATTAACATCCCCCCCCCCATTCCATGCTTTACAACTGCTTCTGTATTCCTAATATAGCTGTAATTAAAAAGAAAGTTCTATTATAGTTTACACAATATCACATAATCCTGCATGAAGACAGCTTTAATTACTTCTGGTGAAAATTCATAAGATGGCATAAGAATTTGCTGATCAGGCATCAGTTGCTGAACATGGGCAATATCAGTACAGAGGTTTATTATTGCTAGTTGTTCTCAAACCCTTAAGTAATCTAGAAAGCCAGTTAAATTCCAGCTGTGATTTTGGAAGTTAGTTGTGCCACTAAAAAGGGCAGAATTTCTGAAATGTTGAAATATGCTATGCCATTACCTGAAGTCAGATCTTCAGAAGGACGGTGAGTATGTATGAGAGAAAATGTAAACTCAGGGCCACTGAACTTTGGAGCATCGTGCCATAAAAATTCCCCCATCAATGCACTCTAAATGTTTCTATCACCAGTTGAACTCCAGCGGTCTACACTCAAGTGCGAGATGGGGATCCATGCCCACTGGAATGTGTTTTATGACCCAGTAGCAATTTACTGAGCAACAGTGCATAGTTTTGAGTCCTTTAGCTTCTGTTTTGCTATGGAGATTGGTCCCAGTTTGAAGCCTGCCTCCACAGCAGGGGAATAATAATGACTCCCATTTACATTTTGCAGGGTGGTCCTGTACCATACTTTACAGATGACAAGCCTTTTTAAAGGGCTGTAAGAGCAGAGTCTCTATTCCTCCAATCTTATTCTCAGTTTGAAGAGCTGCCTGGTCAAAGTCCTGTTTAAAGATAAATGGGCATCAGAAGGGAGAGCAGGGTCATTGAAGTGCCCATCAGCAGTGAGCACTTGGACTGAGCAGGCACACAGGTCACAGTCTTCCCCACTTGGTAAGATGCGTTGTATTTCTATTTAGTATTCCCCCCCCAAAAAAAAATTAATTATGCAAATTTTAAGCAAATATTTCCACCCAATTTATTTGTTGGCACTCTGTAGGTTGTTGTTGTTGTTGTTTAGTCGTTCAGTCGTGTCCGACTCTTCGTGACCCCATGGACCAGAGCACGCCTGGCACTCCTGTCTTCACTCTGTAGGTGGCCACCCTAAAATTCAGCTAAGTTAAATCAATTAAATCTGGATGATGCATTGCAGTTTCAGGTCCTGGTGCCACACCAGGCTAGATCAATGGGATAGCATGGATAAACTATTTAGGGAATGCATGCAAGGAATCCATCCAAATACAGATTTTGCATGATCAGAAACTAGGTTTGTTTTGCAACCATAACAAGAAGAGGGATCAAACCTTTCTAAAACGTTTGCAAGGATAACAACCACCACCACCACAACAACAACAACAGTAGCTGTATAAAAAGAGTGTATTCTTTATTCCCAATGTAGTTTATGGCTAATCTTTTTCAAAGGATGTGAACTCTACAATTCTGAAATGAACAAATTAAAATTAATGTGTAAATGCATCTTAAAAACCAATGTTAGTATTTTTCAGTAGCATCTCCCATAATAGATTCAGGTAGGTAGCAGTATTGGTCTGATGCAGTTGAAATAAATAAAAAATTAAAAAATTCTCCAGTAGCACCTTAGAGGCCAACTAAGTTTGTTCTGGGTATAAGCTTTCATCTGCATGCACACTTCTTCAGATACACTGAAACAGAAATCACCAGACCCTTGTATAACAGTCATCAACAGGTTTACCATACCCATCTCCTACTACCCTTCTGATAAAAACCCCACCCCACCCTCCCACTGTATATAAGGGTCTGGTGACTTCTGTTTCAGTCTGTCATGCACACGAAAGCTGACACCAAGAACAAACTTAGTTGGTCTCTAAGATGCTACTGGACAATTTTTTAATTTCTTAATTTATCTCCCATAATATGAGTCTCAGTCACTTAATACATATGATTTCAAATAGGCTCTGGTATGGTAAAAATAACGTACTTCACACAACACAATTAACTCAAAGAATTCAGAATGTGTGTTGCTTTAAAATAAAATATTTTAAAATAATTCAATACATTAATTGACCATAAGCATATCAATGGCTATTAGCTGTGATAGCTATATGGAATTTCATGTTCAAAGCTGTATACATCTGAACATTAAATGTTGGGACCAAAGAACAGGAGCTTTTGTCTCACCATTGATGAAAATACTGGACTAGTTCCTGTTGGAATATTATTATACTGGCACAAGCCTGTAGAGATAGTCTCCCTAGCATCAAATTAATCAGCCAAGGGCAGAACCTGGAAGCATTCCTAAAGTCAAAACAATAATTTTAGCTCATATTTAATGTTTGCCCTTTCACTCAATGACAAATAAGTAAAAGTGGATATTAGTAATAATTAGTGCTTTGGGGTTTTCTCCTATAATGATGAAACACACACATTTTTTCCCTAATTCAAAGGTTGGTGGAGAAGCTCACCACCTATTACAGGTTTAGCATCAGGTGTTAAATGGAAAAGAGGTTGGAAAACAGCATCCCACTGCTTGAAGATAAAGTCATGAGTCAGTGGGGCTTTGTTCAAAAAAGTCTGATAACAGTACTTCTGACTCACAGTCGGGGAGACCATACGTGAATGTGTCCAGGGATTTTTACTTTCTGACTCCACTGTTCTAGCTTGGAAATGTCAGGAAAGTAGGAGGGTGGTAAGATTCCCAAGAAGAAATGGGCAAGAACAAAGGTCAGTTTCCACAAACCACTATGTAGCAGCTGAAAATGACATGACTCATTCTCCCCATCTTTCCAGAAAAGTTTAGGATCATTCACTCCATGTTGTAATATCCAGGGTTCTACAAATTCACTCATCAGGTAGACAGTAGAGCAACTGTCCTTCCCCTAAGTTTTCTGTGAATTGAAGAGAATGTGACGAAGGAGAGGAGACTGCCATATTTCACACTGTCTTTGGCTGTGCCAAAGGTTGAGGTTGAGCAGGACCCTGCTTTTCCTACAAATCTCCTGCATGTTCCAAAGGGTTTGCTGTTGGGATAACCAGTCTCATATAACCTACATGCTGAAGTCTAATGCATGAAGGGGTTAATGCCATGGAGTAAGCTGTCCTGCCAGGCTTGGCTACCTCACTCCCCTTCACCTTGGGGGGAAGGTAATCAAGTCTATTGTTGTTGCTCCAGCTCAGACCGCATGGCTCTTACAAGCCACTTTTGAGTTCCTAGACCAACGATTTAGGAACTTCCACCAGTGTAACTAAGCGAAGTTTTACTGCCTGTGCAACTTTTGCAGAATGGAAAAGCA